TGTGTTTCAGAGATACAGTGAGGATCTAAGCTGAGATCCACACTATATGACAACAGAAATTTGAATTAATTTCTATCTGCAAACAGGAAGGATGATCTTACATATTTCGTCGCAGGAGGAAAATAATCCTGCAGTAGGAGGATTTGAATAAATATTTCAAATGTATAATTACCGCCAGGGGGCAGCTGGAAGCTGTGTTTGTAGGCTATACAATGCAGTACCGTACCTAGGGGGTTATGGTTTGGGGAAGGCTCTGCAAACCAGCCGACCTCATACCATCAAGTATCATCAAGTATTCTCACGGCTTGCTAGAGCATTGTGAACAGCCGTAGCGCAGTGGTCTGAGCAGCATGCTTCTGCTCCGAGAGTCACGAGTTTGCGCCCAGTGCTGGGAAATCGTTTTGACACTTTGTATGAATGGGAACTAATGTTGGTGCAGCATACTGTTATTATTTAACCAATCTAAAGGGTGCAGCCTACCTGCCTCCAAAGGCACCTACCTTAGTAGGTAGCACTTTTCCAGTAATTACTGCCATTTGGGACAGGATTCCCAAGCGTGAGACATTTGTAGCCACATTGTAGCCACTGTAGCAGCGTGAACAACTAGTGTAACAACTATCCCAAAATGGAAATATCTGACACGAATAACAAGTAAACAAGTAATAGAATGGATCTCCTCAGAACCTGATAATGAATGAAGTTGGCAGCGACCAGAATAATTATCCTACGGTATAGGGTCCTCGTCTCGCACATTGCTTGGTCTGCTGCTCCATCGTTGTGGACATGACAGGTAAACTTACATGCATGTAATCATGCAGGCTACGATTTTTTGACATAGCTAAATCAGCAATTTTTCTGACTGTTTAAGAATGATTAATAGCCAGAATAGTAGTGTTTCACTGTGAAGCTAATATTGCATTAGAGCTGCTGTTTTTTGCATTGTGATTAATTCATACAACAATCACACCTGTGCATATTATTATAATATAATAATATAATATGCCATTTAGCAGACGCTTTTATCCAAAGCGACTTACAGTCATGCGTGCATACATTTTTGTGTATGGGTGGTCCCGGGGATTGAACCCACTACCTTGGCGTTACAAGCGCCGTGCTCTACCAGCTGAGCTATTAAATGACACTAATGTTCAACATAGTTTTATATTCTTTGATAACTAATATTGAAAGGCGATATGATGCAATCAACTAGGAAAGAAGGTCTAGGCTACTTCATCCTAATATAAGCGAAATGCATTGGATACAACACAAATATTGGCATGTGATAAAGGATAACATGTCCAATGTAATTATATACTGTAAATGCATATCAAACAGGAATATATATTCAATTAAATGAATACAACATTGTAATATTATTGATGCCTTTCTCGCTCCTTGCAGGGGATTACACAGATGCATCCACCAGATGCCCAAGCCTCAAAACCAGAAACATGTGTAGACATCAACACTTGTATCTTTTAATAAATGTTTTTAAAAATATTGGTTTTCCTGTATCTGTGCATGAGTCCTTAAAACACAGTCCATTGTACAAAATAAGTCATTCCCAAGTGAGGGACATCTCAAGGAGATTAACCTCCAACATTCTCATGACAGCCACAGGTTATTTTATATACAGGACAAGAGTTTACAGGTTCTTGTTCCAGCCCTTCACTAACACCTAATTGTGGTCTAAATTGAAGAACTGCACACAGTGCAATCCCCTGGGACAGAAATTACGTTTGTATTTTAGAATGAGCTTCATAAATTACAATGTCCTGACAAATCTGCATGATAAACAGTAACATGGGTGAATCTATTTATATCTAACATTGTGATGTTGCATACTCCTGAATAATATCCTGGGATATGGTGATTATCCTGGTGGCTGGGAGGTTCACAACAAGTTATTTACATCTGCAGGGTGTCAGGGTGGGATGTCCTGCGACCCGGAAAAAGCAGAGACAATGGGTGAGAAATTAACCTCACTGCTCAAATTTCAGTGCTGGTTCAAGTTCAACTACCTTTATTAATGTGCAATCGTTTTGTTAACAGTTTTGCATATTTTTTAACTTGGTCAGGTTGTTTACAGTAAGAGTAGAATAGTGTAGCCTCTAATTTTAATGAGTTACACCAACCCCAATGGTGCAACACAATAGGGGAATGGAAAGTGGCAAGAGAAAGTTAGCTAACGTTAGCTGCATGCAGCTAGCTAGCAAAACAAACTCATCAACAGAATGCACAAATAACTTGGCTGGCTAACAAGCCTAGATTGAACAGAACACAGCTCGCTGCATTTCCTACGTTTTTCATCAGATGTTAAAATGTCTAACCTCCAAACGAGTCAGGCAGGACTGTTTTCTCCTGCCAAGCCAATGCAATGGAGTGAAACGCCATCAGGTGCCCACTTTTGTCCCTGAAAACAAATGGGAAAAGACTATTTGCTGCGTGTCTTTAGCTGGCTAGCAAGTTCACCAATTCATGATTTAAAAACTGTCTGGGTCACATTGCTGAATCTACGATTAGGTTTAGTTGTTCATCTCTAAACAGCCAATAAGCAGGATGAGATCGCCTGCTAGCTAGCTATCGCATCCGACGCGGGCTGATAAACAACAGTTACTCAACATTCATATGAAAGTAATTTGTTGAAAATGATAACATAATTTGGTGAGTAAATAAACGTTATACTTACATTTCGCAAAGTTATTCCTTATTCTTCTGGAAAATGCTATCCCAAGTGGAGACTTCTGTCTGCCATTAATTCAGATTTTTTTGGGATGTCTTGTTAAATCATCAATACGCTCTAATTTACCCGCACAGCTGATCTCAATTGCAATCATTACTGGCAAATCTGATGTGGCAATTTACCCGACACTTTATATGAATGGAAACTAATGTTGGTGTAGCCTATTGTTATTATTTGATTTGTTTCATATTTATGTTATCCAAAAGTGTCTGGTTTGGTCATTTCTTATCAAGATCGGGGGTAAAACAACTCTGGACTGTCCATACTTGAAATGTGTAACTGCATCAAGTCAATCGGGGGATTGAGTTATTTGTGCTAAAGGCAGTGGCTCTAACCGCTAGACCACCCCAGGCCACACTTGAACTACATTTTGAGTTCATTCATAACCTTAGGATACACTAGACACTTGTCTGTCGTAGCCTTGTGGAGACCAGTATCTATCTTGTGTTATTAAGCTATATAAAACAACAGTTGTTGATGTGTATGGCTGCATTTCAGATACATTTTTGTACATTTGAATGTTGCAGTAATAGGACCTAGGCCTAGCATTTGAGCGAGCGAGAGAGAAAACATTTTGATAGCAAGCCCTGATCGCAATGACTCGACTGGCCCCGCATGAAAATGTTCCGCCACTCACAAGGCTCGTTTGAGTTTCCTGATGCATCAGGAAAATTCTCTGCGACAAAAGAGTGATCAAGTTAAGATCCGACATATGTATCTACAAGCAAGCAGTGAGTGTGTGTGTGTTTGCGTGCCTGTGTGTGCGTGCGTGCATGTGCCTGTGTGTGTGTGCTTGTGCATGCATCTGCATGTGTTTTGTATTTCATTTCATGCCTATACAGTACAGTGTGTGTATGTACACTGCAGTTCAAAGCAGGTATGGAGATACTAAAGCAGGCACATCACTCACTGTCTGAATATCAACAGTGCTGTTAAATGTCACCGTGGCAACTAAGGGTAGCCTTGACAATAATCAATGAAAATGTCGACTCAGAGGAACCATTCAATTTTTTTAAACATAATATTCAAATGAGGAAGCCAGATGTTTGACTTTCATCTCAGTCATTTCCATGTGAAATTATGAACTCCCCAGGGGCACTTGTAGAGTCTGCTGCTCTATCCACTATCTGTCTTCAATGAAATGCCAGACTCAATGTTTTATTGCTGCTTAACTTCATCAAGACTCAATGTTTATTACTGCATAACTTCATCAAGACTCAATGTTTTATTACTGCGTAACTTCATCAATACTCAATGTTTTATTACTGCGTAACTTCATCAAGACTCAATGTTTATTACTGCTTAACTTCATCAAGACTCAATGTTTTATTACCACGTAACGTAACTTCATCAAGTTGATGTTTCAGCCACACTGAAATTAGGGCTGGGAATTGCCAGGAATCTCACAATACGATATTATCACGATACTTAGTTGCCGATATGATATGTATTGCGATGTTTTATTACTGCGTAACTTCATCAATACTCAATGTATTATTACTACGTAACTTCATCAATACTCAATGTATTATTACTATGTAACTTCATCAATACTCAATGTTGTATTACTATGTAACTTCATCACGACTCAATGTTTATTACTGCGTAACTTCATCAAGACTCAATGTTTTATTACTGCGTAACTTCATCAAGACTCAATGTTTTATTACTGCGTAACTTCATCACGACTCAATGTTTTATTACTATGTAACGTAACTTCATGAAGTTGATGTTTCAGCCGCACTGAAATTAGGGCTGGGAATTTCCAGGGATCTCACAATACGATATTATCACGATACTTAGGTGCCGATACGATATGTATTGCGATTCTCACGATTCACACAATTCAATATGTATTGCGATTTGATACTGGGATTTTTTTGCGATTCGATGTTCCAAACATATTGCTCACCATATGTCTGCTGCAGAGAGACCAGAGAGAGCCATGAGAAAATGAGTTTTGATCAGTCATGGAAATTAAAGTGCTGAAAACATGTTGGCTCCCTATTTAAAAAGAAGATGGAGAACAAGCTACGAAGGAACAATACTGGAGTTTTGGTGCACGTACAGCCAGCTAGGGAGAAAATTAAATTTCGATATTGTCAAAAATAATATCCCGATATGTAACTGTATAGATTTTTTTCCCCCATCACTAACTGAAATTAAATAGACCTTCAACTGAAATGGCAGTAACATAACTGAACTGAAATTGGCTCATTGGTCATTTTTATGTGCATTGCTAACATACTGTAGTATCATGATGTCCAGTACGGTACTTGACAAGGTTTTACATACAAGTGCTGCCGGATCCTACGTGATCTGACTTGTTCTTTCAGAGTCCATTGAGCCGTGAGGCAGCAGGAGCAGAAAGAAAATTATATTAATGTATAATAATATAGAAAGGCTGGTCCCTCCAGTCTAACCCAGTCTCTCTAATGACACTCATCTCTGTTAGGCACACTCCTAATGTCTGTAATAGAGGGGTGTTTTATGGCCTCCACACACACACACACATTGAGGCAGGCACGTGGTCCCTCTCGTCTCCGTGACCCCCTCAGAGCAGTGAGGGCTGACCTGAAGGCAGTAATGTCTCTCTAGTAAAACACCAGTAAGGCTGTAAGAGAGTGGCTGTTTCCCCCAGCGTCCAGGCTCTCAGGTCTGGCGTATGTATACACACACATACACACACGGGCATTTATTTGTATGAGGCTGTGGGAGAGAGGATGTTAGAGTCTTGACGTGGTTACTGTTCTCTGAGGTTTGATGGGGACCCTTCCTGTCACTGATGGCACTGTGCCTTAAAGAGGTGTGCTGCCAGGTTGGGAGAGAGGGTTTGTGGCCCTGGGGCCCCTGGATTGTGACTGCTCTGTTGTGTGGTTCTCTCTGTCACTCAGGAAACAGTGTGACCAGACCAATGGGTAGAGAGAGAGGTTAACAATAGAAGGTCTATGAGAAGAGAGGACTACCAGCCCCAGGCTCAGTGTCTGACTGGGGAAGTAGATGAGAGGAGAGATGGAGTGGAGCAGAGAGCAGAGAGAGGGATGAGATGAAAGAGAGGACTGGAGGAGGAAGGAGGTCAGGTCAGGAGTGTCGAGCCTGCCAGGTTCAATTAGAGCAGACATGATCAGAATGATGATGCTAAAGGGCAGACAGGCCATTCTGCGTGCGAGTGTGCGTGTGTGTGTGTCTGTCACGAAAACTATAGTAGTAACACTTGGCCGTTCCATAGGTCATGTTCTCAGGCAGTGTGAGTTCACAACAGAGCACACATGACAACACTTTCCCCCTGCCTCTTACTCACCATATCATGAGTTTTTTTTAACCTTATTCAGTCTATGGTTGTGAGTGACATAGTAGCATTTGTTTCTAATGCCATGGCACTACTCTGACTCATCTGCATTCATCTGCACCCCCCCCCCCCCCCCCACCACCACTACTATCACGTGACCCTGAATTGGGGTGAATGGAATAAAGAGACACACAATTGACACATGGAAAATAATTACATCGAAAATCTTAATGATTCCTAGAAAATCTGAATCAGGAGTTGCACCTTCACTGACTGATCAATTTTTCAGTCATCGCCACGCCCTCCATCTTCTCTCGCCTCCTGTATACCCTCCTCTTCTCTCTCTCTCTCCCTCTCGTCTCTCTCTTCTCTGTCTCTGTCTCTCTCATCTGTCTCTCGTCTCTCTCTCTTCTCAGTCTGCATCTCGTTCTGAGCTCTCTATCTTCTCTGCCACGTCCTCCTCTCGACCACTCGTCTCCTCTCTCTCTATCCTCTACTCCTCTACTCTCCGTCTCATTCACTCGCTCTTCTCTCTCCACTCTCTCGTCTCTCTCTCTCTATCACTGTCACTCCCTCTCTCCCACTCTCCTCCTCTAGATTCCTACTCCCTCTCTCCTCTCTCTCCCAGGAGGGGTGTATTGTGTGAGGGTCAGCCCCTGACATCTGTGGCCAGTAGCGTCAGTAGCAGTAGCAGCAGCAGGAACAGCAGATGAGAGCCATTGGCTCTCTGGCCCTCCCCTCCTCCCACACAATAGAGCTGATTGTCCGCGCAACACACACACACACACACACACACACACACACACACACACACACACACAGACAGAGGGGGCTTTACTGTGGGTAGCGTTCCCCCGCCATATGCCCTGTCTCCGCTGGAATGTGATTCTCTTCACGCACCACGGACTGGAAACACAGAGAAGTGAGAAAGGAAAGAAAGGAGGAAGAGGTATGTTGAAGTAATATAGAGAGAGAGCAGAAAGGGTGAAAGGGCGAGAGAGAGCGAGAGGAAGGGAGGATGCGGCGAAAGCAGCGAGGCAGCAGTTTAGCGCAAGCCTGAACCTGCCTATGTGTGTCTGAGAGAGACAGAGGAATGGAGGGAATGAGAGAGGGAGAGGACGCTTTTCTCTTCATTCTGGCTGTTGTGTAACAAGGAGAAGGATATCCAATCATCTCTGTGAACGGTAGCGGTTGACTCTGACACACAGACCAAGTCTTGACTAGCGGAAGCCTGGTCTCAGGTCAGTGGGTTTTTCTCTTTTAGAAGGACTGAAGCTCTGTAGTACACTGTAGCCATGTGTGTTGTGTCCGTACTGGGGGTAGGAGGGTTATTGAGGCGCTCACAGGCTTTGTTTGTTGGGTGAACACCCCACAGCTGCAGCCTCTCTCAGTAATACACATCCGTAGCACACATGCAAAACACACACACATGTGATTGGCATACACACACACTAACACACATATGGAGAATGACTGCAGTTATCTTTCTTGGCCATGCTTGGCTGAAGCCCTTATCTGTCCCTGTGGTGTGCTGTAGCAGAGGTGTTAGCCACACCGGCTGCATGTAGCCTGCTGTAGCTAAAGCTGCCAGCTCACCCTGCTGTTTGTGCTGTATCACAGGCTGTCAGACTCAACATGTTTAGCTTCAACTATTAGCTTTTCTCTTGTGTTTGTGACGCCATCAACTCTTCCTGCTGTGTACGCTGAACTCTAGCTCAATCTGATAGCGATAGATGCGCTAACAGCTGAAACCATTACTTGGTAAAATACAGCTGTAGCTGTGGACTCTTCCTTATAGCTCCCATGCTGAGACTGAACTCTTAGTGGACCCTGTTGTGTAGTTGAGACAGGCATGCAGGGAGTCTCAGGGGGCGACGCTGGGGCTCTGCTTTGGCCCTGTCCCAGACTCCCATGACTCAGGGCTGAAGGCTGAGAGTTCAGACTAGGAGGGGTTGGGGTGAGTGGGGGTAGGGAGGCTGCTGGGGAAGGAGAGAGGCCCACTGTGACCAGAAATTTGATTAAACTGAGGGAGCAGCACATCTAAAGAGGAGCAGAGAGGGGAGGGGTGTTAAGACCTTCATCAGACAACACAATGAATGCAGCACTATGTGTGTGTGTGTGTGTGTTTGTGTGTGTGCGCGTGCGTGCGTGCGTGCATGTGTGTGTGTGTGTATGAAGGTCTGTGTGTGGGGGTGGGTGGGTGTTTGTGCCCTCTGCCCCATCATGCTGTCTCCGCAGTGGTTGTCAGGGGTTCAGCAGTGGTTGTCAGGGGTTCAGCAGTGGTTGTCAGGGGTTCAGCAGGGGTTGTCAGGGGTTCGCCAGTGTTTGGCTTGATCCCCACCTTTTCTCTCTTCCTCATGTTCACACTTTTCATCCCCCTTTCTTCTCCCTTTTAACTCCAGGACCAGAATACACCGTCAGAATACACTGTCAGAATACACAGTCAGAATACACAGTCAGAATACACAGTCAGAATACACTGTCAGAATACACTGTCAGAATACACAGTCAGAATACACAGTCAGAATACACAGTCAGAATACACCATCAGAATACACCGTCAGAATACACAGCCAGAATACACCGTCAGAATACACAGTCAGAATACACAGCCAGAATACACAGCCAGAATACACCGCCAGAATACACCGCCAGAATACAACGCCAGAATACACCGTCAGAATACACAGCCAGAATACACCATCAGAATACACCGTCACAGTCAGTGCCTCCAGAAACAGCAGCACCATAGTCATCAGTTTCTTTGGGGGAGGGTGTCATTGACCTGGAGCTTTGTCTTTCACCGTGTCGGAACGAGAGAGAGCGTGAGGATGCTGATGATACTGACTGACACTATGGCACTCTCCTAGGAAGTGCCCAATCAAACATATAGCTAGCTGAGTGGGTCGGATCAATGAGGATGTCATTCTGTAAAGTTTTAGAATAGACCTCAGTTGACTTCAGTCGTATAGGGGAACAAGACAGCAAATAAGTAAGTGTGAAAATAAGTAAGAGGAACTTCAGATGTGGTGGGAAATGTCAAACATCATTATGTAACCATATTTTAGTGTCCAACTCATCCTTTTATGACACAGTGAGATGCACAGAATATGGAACTCTCTCTCTCTCCTCTCTCTCTCTTCCCCTCTCTCTCGCTCTATCTCCTCTCGCTTCCCTCACTCTCTCCCCACCAGCACTCCCCTCTTTATTTATCTCCTCTCTCTCATCTCTATCTCGCTCTAGCTCTCTCTCTCTATCTCTTCTCTCTCTCTCTCTCTCGCTCTCTCGCTCTCTCTCTCTCTCTCTCTCTTCTCTCTCATTAACACCCTAGCCTCCAGGCCTGCTTCCAGGCTGCATGTAGATTTCTGGAACATTCTGTGCATGCACTCCTCCACCACTGTGAGGATTGCTGTAGGGTTCACTGCCTCCAGTCATTCATGTTGAACTCAATAATTTCCCTAGTCCCGCATGCTCTCACACATGCTGTTTAATTGATATTTTATTGGATTATTTTCATCCATTCACCTGTATTCACTGGAGATCCATCTGTCAATGTCAGCCGTGTGTGTGTGTGTGTGTGTGTGTGTGTGTGTGTGTGTGTGTGTGCGTGTGTGCGTGTGTGCGTGCGAGCGAGCAAGAGAGAGACAGAGACAGAGACAGAAAGAGGAAGAGAAAGATAGCGAGGAGAGGAGGGAAACAGAGACAGTGAGGAGAGAGAGAGAGCTGGGATAGAGAGAGAGACACCCTAGGGCATTGTGACCAGACAGTCTCACTGAACTGAACACAATGTTAGAGTTCAGCTGTGTGTGTATACTGTACACCCAAAATAGACAGACCAGCATTTGTTGTTGTAGCCTTTTGTTATTATTAAGCAATAAGGCACGAGGGGGTGTGGTATATGGCCAATATACCACGGCTAAGGGCTGTTCTTAGGTACGACGCAACACCATATATGGCCATATACCACAAACCCCCTGAGGTGCCTTATTGCTATTATAAACTGGTTACCAATGTAATTACAGCAGTAAAAATAGATGTTTTGTCATACCCGTGGTATACGGTCTGATATGCCACTGCTGTCAGCCAATCAGCATTCAGGGCTCGAGCCACCCAGTTTATAACATGCAATGTACAATAACTCTCTCTATTATTGAAGTGTATCACATAACCAGCACTGAATGGAGTCTGTGTAATATGTCTGGGTTATTTATGGCCAGAGAGCCAGACTGATGTACTAGCCCATTGGGAATCAATCAGATGTGAAGACTGTGAATGGCTGGTAATATTGATTGACACATTTCAGAGCCTCCATCCCACAGCTGTGGCCTGTTTCCTCATGTCACGGCTCTACAGGCCTGAAGCATTGATTAGAGGGGGGGGGGGGGGGGGGGGTGGCCTGTCAATGTTATCACCTACTCAGAGTCCCTATATTCATCTCTTCCCCCGGTGTTCAGAGTGCCTCCACTCCTGTGTCTGGTTAGATCTTCATTATTGTCTCTCCGTCACGTACAAAGTCAATTTCACACCTGCATAGATAATAGCCTGGAGATCTCTGTTCTCCGCCCTGTTATCTCTCCTTCATTCCCTCCTGTTTTTCTCTCTCTCTCACTTTCTCTTTCTCTCTGTCTCTCTTGTCTCTCTCTCTCGCTCTCTGTCTCTCTCTCTCTACTCCTCTCACTCTCTCTGTCTGTGATTGTAATCCCTGTAATGTTAAACCAGACACATCTCCCTCTAATGTTATGACAGGAAGTGTTTAGCAGGGGGGCGTTCAGGTTCACCTCTCCAGGTCACTGTGTTCCTCATTAGAGCTGTGTTCGACATCCTGCAGAGACCGGGTTTGTTGTTGTACCAGACTGTGGTTCATTGAACACCCTGGAATGTTAGTGTGGGCATGACTGGCCTATGACCTCTCTGTGTATTGTGCGTGTGCGCGTGCGTTTGCAAAACTCTATAATTGTTTGTTTTTATTTTGGAGAGACGAGAGAGGGGCTCATCTGGTCCCTATCTCCCCCGACCAGCAGACACACTCTCTGATTGGAGGGACGTGACTGGGCATATTAACTATCTCTATAATGAAAAATCACTTCCTGGCTTATGCAGAGAAGTGATGCAAATTAGGTCTAAGTTACTTACTATCTATTCATGATAATTTCCTTACTGTGGATGAATACGGTATTCTCTGTCTTCTGGTGTCATTTTATCAGGATTGAGGCGGTTTTAACGGCATTCATGGTTTTTTTTTATGGAGAAGAATGACTGCAAGTTCCCCTCTACGTAGTTGGGTTTGTCATGTTTATAATGCAGTGTTCAGGTCAGCTATTAGATTTGTGCCTGATTGAGATGATACTAGATCTCATCCCTCTGATCACCTGGCCTGAGAGAGAGAGCGATAGAGTGACACATTAACTCTAACACACACAAACACAACTCCAGTCTGTCCCTGGCCCCTCCCACACCTGATTACACCTGCAGCGTCCTGGGAACTGGTTGTACAATGACAGACAGACAGGGAGGGAGGGCAGAGCGTTGAGGTTAAACAACACAAACACAGTAATGCAGCAACCACCACTAGATGAGGAAACCTGCAGCATAGAACAGGACCAAACTAACTAACATAGCTTCCTTTGATCTGCTTTTCTGGTTAAACTGGGACATGGAGAGGCTGTGTAGTACGGATAGGCAGCAGGGGGAAACACAGCCCCACTGGAGAGGAGATTACTCAGGTACTGTCCAGATAGTATTGTTGAGTATTGTTTACTTTTAATAACCTCAAACACCCACACACCCTGTCAGATACAGTGGGGAGAACAAGTATTTGATACACTGCCGATTTTGCAGGTTTTCCTACTAACAAAGCATGTAGAGGTCTGTAATGTTTATCATAGGTACACTTCAACTGTGAGAGACGGAATCTAAAACAAAAATCCTGAAAATCACATTGTATGATTTTTAAGTAATTAATTTGCATTTTATTGCATGACATAAGTATTTGATACATCAGAAAAGCAGAACTTAATATTTGGTACAGAAACCTTTGTTTGCAGTTACAGAGATCATATGTTTCCTGTAGATCTTGACCAGGTTTGCACACACTGCAGCAGGGATTTTGGCCCACTCCTCCATACAGACCTTCTCCAGATCCTTCAGATTTCGGGGCTGTCGCTGGGCAATACGGACATTCAGCTCCCTCCAAAGATTTTCTATTGGGTTCAGGTCTGGAGACTGGCTAGGCCGCTCCAGGACCTTGAGATGCTTCTTACGGAGCCACTCCTTAGTTGCCCTGGCTGTGTGTTTCGGGTCGTTGTCATGCTGGAAGACCCAGCCACGACCCATCTTCAATGCTCTTACTGAGGGAAGGAGGTTGTTGGCCAAGATCTCGCGATACATGGCCCCATCCATCCTCCCCTCAATACGGTGCAGTCGTCCTGTCCCCTTTGCAGAAAAGCATCCCAAAGAATGATGTTTCCACCTCCATGCTACACGGTTGGGATGGTGTTCTTGGGGTTGTACTCACCCTTCTTCTTCCTCCAAACACGGCGAGTGGAGTTTAGACCAAAAAGCTCTATTTTTGTCTCATCAGACCACATGACCTTCTCCCATTCCTCCTCTGGATCATCCAGATGGTCATTGGCAAACTTCAGATGGGCCTGGACATGCGCTGGCTTGAGCAGGGGGACCTTGCGTGCGCTGCAGGATTTTAATCCATGACGGCGTAGTGTGTTACTAATGGTTTTCTTTGAGACTGTGGTCCCAGCTCTCTTCAGGTCATTGACCAGGTCCTGCCGTGTAGTTCTAGGCTGATCCCTCACCTTCCTCATGATCATTGATGCCCCACTAGGTGAGATCTTGCAAGGAGCCCCAGACCGAGGGTGATTGACCGTCATCTTGAACTTCTTCCATTTTCTAATAATTGCGCCAACAGTTGTTGCCTTCTCACCAAGCTGCTTGCCTATTGTCCTGTAGCCCATCCCAGCCTTGTGCAGGTCTACAATTGTATCCCTGATGTCCTTACACAGCTCTCTGGTCTTGGCCATTGTGGTCTTGGCCACTCTGTACTCCTGAGTGGCGCAGTGGTCTAAGGCACTGCATCGCAGTGCTAACTGTGCCACTAGAGATCCTGGTTCGAATCCAGGCTCTGTCGCAGCCGGCTGCGACCGGGAGACTCATGGGCGGCGCACAATTGGCCCAGCGTCGTCCAGGGTAGGGGAGGGAATGGCCGGCAGGGATGTAGCTCAGTTGATAGAGCATGGCGTTTGCAACGCCAGGGTTGTGGGTTCGATTCCCATGGGGGGCCAGTATAAAAAATAAAATAAAAAAAATGTATTCACTAACTGTAAGTCGCTCTGGATAAGAGCGTCTGCTAAATGACTAAAAATGTAAAAATGTTTAAAAAAATGAGAGGTTGGAGTCTGTTTGATTGAGTGTGTGGACAGGTGTCTTTTATACAGGTAACGAGTTCAAACAGGTGCAGTTAATACAGGTAATGAGTGGAGAACAGGATGGCTTCTTAAAGAAAAACTAACAGGTCTGTGAGAGCCGGAATTCTTACTGGTTGGTAGGTGATCAAATACTTATGTCATGCAATAAAATGCAAATTAATTACTTAAAAATCATACAATGTGATTTTCAGGATTTTTGTTTTAGATTCCGTCTCTCACAGTTGAAGTGTACCTATGATAAACATTACAGACCTCTACATGCTTTGTAAGTAGGAAAACTTGCAAAATCAGCAGTGTATCAAATACTTGTTCTCCCCACTGTATATCCCGAAATACATTACTTCCTGCTGAGGAAAAGTAGCTTTGTGTAGATACAGTTGAAGTCGGAAGTTTACATACACCTTAGCCAAATACATTTAAACTCAGTTTTTCACAATTCCTGACATTTAATCCTAGTAAAAATGCCCTGTTTTAGGTCAGTTAGGATCACCACTTTATTTTAAGAATGTGAAATGTCAGAATAATAGTAGAGAGAATTATTTATTTCAGCTTTTATTTCTTACATCACATTCCCAGTGTGTCAGAAGTTTACATACACTCAATTAGTATTTGGTAGCATTGCCTTTAAATTGTTTAACTTGGGTCAAACATTTCGGGTAGCCTTCCACAAGCTTCCCACAATAAGTTGGGTGAATTTTGGCCCATTCCTCCTGACAAAGCTGGTGTAACTGAGTCAGGTTTGTAGGCCTCCTTGCTCGCACACGCTTTTTCAGTTCTGCCCACACATTTTCTATAGGATTGAGGTCAGGGCTTTGTGATGGCCACTCCAATACATTGACTTTGTTGTCCTTAAGCCATTTTGCCACAACTTTGGAAGTATGCTTGGGATCATTGTCCATTTGGAAGACCCATTTGCGACCAAGCTTTAACTTCCTGACTGATGTCTTGAGATGTTGCTTCAATATATCCACATAATTTTTCTTCCTCATGATGCCATATATTTTGTGACGTTTACCAGTCCCTCCTGCAGCAAAGCACCCCCACAGCATGATGCTGCCACCCCCGTGCTTCACGGTTGGGATGGTGTTCTTTGGCTTGCAAGCTTCCCCCTTTTTCCTCCAAACATAACAATGGTCATTATGGCCAAACAGTTCTATTTTTGTTTAATCAGACCAGAGGACATTTCTCCAAAAAGTACGATCTTTGTCCCCATGTGCAGTTGCAAACCGTAGTCTGGCTTTTTTAAGGCGGTTTTGGAGCAGTGGCTTCTTCCTTGCTGAGCGGCGTCGATATTTTACTGTGGATATAGATACTCGTTTTACTGTGGATATAGAGACTCGTTTTACTGTGGATATAGATACTTTTGTACTTGTTTCCTCCAGCATCTTCACAAGGTCCTTTGCTGTTGTTCTGGGATTGATTTGCACTTTTCACACCAAAGTATGTTAATCTCTAGGAGACAGAACGCGTCTCCTTCCTGAGCGGTACGACGGCTGCATTGTCCCATGGTGTTTATACTTGCGTACTATTGTTTGTACAGATGAACGTGGTACCTGTTAAGATAATTTCTATCTCTAATTCAACCTAAGCTTGAATCATTACCAGAGGTTGTAAGGCTCTGGTTTTAATCATAAATGATTCAAGGTCCACAACCAACAAGGATTATCTTTATCTTTATTCATGGAGAGCTCTGGCGCCAAAACCCATACCCTCCTGTTTTATACCCCCTTGACACACAAAGGCACTTTGCTCCGCCCACCTTTAGGAGGCTTTCTTAAACAGTTTCCACCTTTCTCCTTCACCCTGGAATGTTTAGTCCCGCCCCCCCTCTGTTAGTGGGTTGATAATTGTAACACAGTTTACACATTTATACTGTATTTGGGGTGAAATCCTTTAGTCATTATTCGTAAAATACAAATTAATCTAACAGTACATTCAGGCATTTGGAAATTGCTCCCAAGGATAAACCAGACTTGTGGAGGTCTACAATTTTATTGGCTGATTTATTTTGATTTTCCCATGAAGTCAAGCAAAGAGGCACTGAGTTTGAAGGTATGCTTTGAAATACATCCACAGGTACACCTCCAATTGACTCAAATGATGTCAATTAGCCTATCAGAAGCTTCTAAAGCCATAACATAATTTTCTGGAATTTTCCAAGCTGTTTAAAGGCACAGTCAACTTAGTGTATGTAAACTTCTGACCCACTGGAATTGTGATACAGTGAATTATAAGTGAAATAATCTGTCTGTAAACAATTGTTGGAAAAATTACTTGTGTCATGCACGAAGTAGATGTCCTAACCGACTTGCCAAAACTATAGTTTGTTAACAAGAAATTTGTGGAGTGGTTGAAAAACTAGTTTTAATGACTCCAACCTAAGTGTATATAAACGTCCGACTTCAACTGTATGTAGAACAGCATCTGTACATTATGATGTATATGTATGTAGGTAGGTTATGTCTTACTGTAGGTTATGTCTTACTGTAGGTTATATTCTACTGTAGGTTAGGTCTTACTGTAGGTTATGTCTTACTGTAGATTATGTCCAACAGTAGGTTAAGTCTTACTGTAGGTTATATCCTACTGTAGTTTATAGGTTTATCCTACTGTAGTTTGTGTTCTACTGTAGGTTATATCTTACTCTAGGTTATGTCCTACTGTAGGTTATGTCTTACTGCAGGTTATGCCTTACTGTAGGTTATCTTACTGTAGGATATATCTTACTGTAGGTTATGTCCTACTGTATGTGAGAGAATATTTCATGCCAAAATCATTTGCTGTGTTTATGACTGAGAGCAGTGCTGTTGGGGTCAGTAGTTCAGTTGAACACGCTGTACAGTTAGGCCTGTGTATAGTTTAGGCCCGATGACAAGTGATCTGTTTATCATGTGTATCTGGTGTAGAATCAGTCAAGCCTCTCACTAGACCTGAAGAGATACGTTTGTTAATTTTTTCTCAGAGTGTAGCAGGGCTTTATATAGCACTTATATTTTTCTGAAGTAGTTCTTGTCAGGACTGATGTATGTGTGTGTTATTGCACCGCTTGGTTATATGGTGAAGAGATGTCAGAGGAGAGGAGAGGAGAGGAGAGGAGAGGAGAGGAGAGGAGAGGAGAGGAGAGGAGAGGAGAGGAGAGGAGAGGAGAGGAGAGGAGAGGAGAGGAGAGGAGAGGAGAGGAGAGGAGAGGATGTCAGTAATGCTTGTCAATGACACAGAGAATGCCAAGAGTGTGCGAAGGGTGGCTACTTTGAAGAATCTCAAATATACAATATATTTTGATTTGTTTAACACTTTTTTAGTTACTACATGATTCCATATGTGTTATTTCATAGTTTTGATGTCTTCACTATTATTCTACAGTGTAGAAAATTGTAAAAAATAAAGAAAAACCATTGAATGAATAGGTGTGTCCAAACGTTTGACTGGTACTGTATGTATGTTTGTCTTTCGGAGGGGCTGGGTTAAAAGCGGAAGTCAAATTTGGGTTTAGCTATTTAACAATAAATTGCACACAATTCATCTTAATCGTAAACACCACAGCTCATTAGCTCCCAGGTGATGTGCAGGTCATCTGCCCTGAAGGCCATGATTATGTGGGCATTTTTCCATATAAATACAAACATACATTATTGATTCATACCTCCACACTGTGGTAGGCACTGTGACTGTGACCTTATCACTTCCCTATATCTTCATCAGAGCTTCGTATAGTCACTAGTTTTACTTTCATAACATCTCAGCCTTATCACCTCTGACTCTGTATCACCTCAGATGTCTAACTGAATATTTCTTCCTCATTCCTCACAACTTAACAGTACCTTATTGATTCAGTACTGTATCCTCTCAGTGGCCTCTGGCTCTCATCACTCCTCATGCCTGTCCAATCCCTAGGCTGCACTGGGCTGAGGTCCCCGGTCACAGCCCTGTTGTCCTGTGTTAGGACCTAATGTTTAAGGGGGGGGGGGGGGGGGGGGGGGGGGTCAGTAACAAGGAACTGAAAAACAGGACGTGCAGTGACAGGAAGAGGAAGTTTGGGGTTAGAGCCGTTGCCAGAGATTGCTCCCACAGTGAAGCATCATTGGACATGTTGAGTTGCCTCCTCACCCCTGTGGTAGGTGTTCTTTTTTCATGGCTGCTTTGGTAACACAGCCCCCTCTTAGGGAAACGATAGCTGTTTGTGTGTGTGTGTGTGTGTGTGTGTGTGTGTGTGTGAGAGAGAGAGAGAGAGAGAGAGAGAGAGAGAGAGAGAGAGAGAGAGAGAGAGAGAGAGAGAACAGCAGGCAAGCCTGTCATGAGGAGTCCAGATGGTGGGTGGAGAAAGCCCTCTGCTTTAATCCCTGCGCCAGGATATTGTACCCTCCCACCACACACACCTCCATGGCCCCACACTAAGCATGTCCACTCTTCCCCTAAACACCCTTCCTGACTGTCACTGTTGTAACAGCAAACTTTGGGAAGTGGGTGCTGCTTGTGGTTAAAATGAAGAAAGATCAGAACATTTTGCATGTGTGTGTGCGCTTACTATTGCATGTGGGTGTGTGTGTGTGTGTGTGTGTGTGTGGGCCTATCATTATTTTACTAGCTAGTGTGTCTGTTTTCTCTTTAATATTTTATGTGCATATGAATTGGCTCTGGTGAGTGTATTAGCTGTCCCTAGTGAGGATGCCCTACATATCACAGTATAACTCATTAGATTTCAATCTCAGAGGAATGGAATATTATTTTATTTTCAAAAATATATAAGATTAACTCTGGCCTAATGCTTGGTCAGAGCACTGTCTCATTGTAGCTGCTGCCCAGAATCCCTCCAAACTACACAAGAGATTCCAGACTTCACATCACGCTTTCTCTCTCTCTCTCTCTCTCTCCCTCTCTGTTGCGCTGCTTCTATCCCCCCCCCCCCTCTCTCTCTCTCTCTCTCTCTCTCTCTCTCTCTCTGTTGCACTGCTTCTGTCTCCCCCCTCTCTCTCTCTCTCTCTCTCTCTCTCACCCCTAGTCAATAAATCCACAATCTATCTCTCATCTCTTACTTCCTTCATCTACCTACAGTATCTCGTTCTTCTCTCACCCACTTTCTCACTCTTAATAGTCAATTCAATTCAATTCAATTCAAAGGGCTTTATTGGCATGGGAAACATATGTTTACATTGCCAAAGCAAGTGAAATAGATAACAAACAAAAGTTAAATAAACAATAAAAAAAATAAACAGTAAACATTACACTCACAAAAGTTCCAAAGGAATAGAAACATTTCAAATGTCATATTATGGCTATACAGTGTTGTAACGATGTGCAATTAATTATCACTATCTCCTCTTTGAATCACAAACCTCTTTGAATCACTATCTCCTCTTTGAATCACTATCTCCTCTTTGAATCACTATCTCCTCTTTTAATCACTATCCTCTTTTAAATCACTATCTCCTCTTTTAATCTCTATATCACATATCTCCTCTCTCTCCTTCTATCCTTATCTGTTCATTAACTTCTGTAGTCTACTGTACTAAACGAGAAGTATTTAACCTTTGTGTAGTGACAGGCCCTAAAGTGGTGTGTAGATGTGACCATGGTGTACTCACTGTTCTATGGTTTCGTATACAGTGGCTTGCGAAAGTATTCACCCCCCTTGGCATTTTTCCTATTTTGTTGCCTTACAACCTGGAATTAAAATTGATTTTTTGGGGGTTTGTATCATTTGATTTACACAACATGCCTACCACTTTGAAGATGTAAAATATGTTTTATTGTGAAACAAACAAGAAATAAGACCCCAAAAAAGAATTTGAGCGTGCATAACTATTCACCCCCCCCAAAGTCAATACTTTGTAGAGCCACCTTTTGCAGCAATTACAGCTGCAAGTCTCTTGGGGTATGTCTCTATAAGCTTGGCACATCTAGCCACTGGGATTTTTGCCCATTCTTCAAGGCAAAACTGCTCCAGCTCCTTCAAGTTGGATGGGTTCCGCTGGTGTACAGCAATCTTTAAGTCATACCACGGATTCTCAATTGGATTGAGGTCTGGGCTTTGACTAGGCCATTCCAAGACATTTCAATGTTTGCCCTTAAACCACTCGAGTGTTGCTTTAGCAGTATGCTTAGGGTTATTGTCCTGCTGTAAGGTGAACCTCCGTCCCAGTCTCAAATCTCTGGAAGACTGAAACAGGTTTCCCTCAAGAATTTCCCTGTATTTAGCGCCATCCATCATTCCTTCAATTCTGACCAGTTTCCCAGTCCCTGCCGATGAAAAACATCCCCACAGCATGATGCTGCCACCACCATGCTTCACTGTGTGGATGGTGTTCTCGGGGTGATGAGAGGTGTTGGGTTTGCGCCAGACATAGCATTTTCCTTGATGGCCAGAAAGCTGAATTTTAGTCTCATCTGACCAGAGTACCTTCTTCCATATGTTTGGGGAGTCTCCCACATGCCTTTTGGTGGCTTATTTCTTTCTTTAAGCAATGGCTTTTTTCTGGCACTCTTCCGTAAAGCCCACCTCTGTGGAGTGTACGGCTTAAAGTGGTCCTATGGACAGATATTCCAATCTCCGCTGTGGAGCTTTGCAGCTCCTTCAGGGTTATCTTTGGACTTTTTGTTGCCTCTGATTAATGCCCTCCTTGCCTGGTCTGTGAGTTTTGGCAGGTTTGTTGTGGTGCCATATTTAATGGTGCTCCGTGGGATGTTCAGAGTTTCAGATATTTTTTTATAACCCAACCCTGATCTGTACTTCTCCACAACTTTGTCGCTGATCTGTTTGGAGAGCTCCTTGGTCTTCATGGTGCTGCTTGCTTGGTGGTGCCCCTTGCTTAGTGGTGTTGCAGACTCTGTGGTACTCTGTAGCTCAGCTGGTAGAGCACGGCGCTTGTAACGCCAAGGTAGTGGGTTCGATCCCCGGGACCACCCATACACAAAAATGTATGTACGCATGACTGTAAGTCGCTTTGGATAAAAGCGTCTGCTAAATGGCATATTATATATTATTACTCTGGGGCCTTACAGAACAGGTGTACAGTGGGGGAAAAAAGTATTTAGTCAGCCACCAATTGTGCAAGTTCTCCCACTTAAAAAGATGAGAGAGGCCTGTAATTTTCATCATAGGTACACGTCAACTATGACAGACAAAATGAGATTTTTTTTCCCAGAAAATCACATTGTAGGATTTTTAATGAATTTATTTGCAAAATATGGTGGAAAATAAGTATTTGGTCAATAACAAAAGTTTCTCAATACTTTGTTATATACCCTTTGTTGGCAATGACACAGGTCAAACGTTTTCTGTAAGTCTTCACAAGGTTTTCACACACTGTTGCTGGTATTTTGGCCCATTCCTCCATGCAGATCTCCTCTAGAGCAGTGATGTTTTGGGGATGTCGCTGGGCAACACAGACTTTCAACTCCCTCCAAAGATTTTCTATGGTGTTGAGATCTGGAGACTGGCTAGGCCACTCCAGGACCTTGAAATGCTTCTTACGAAGCCACTCCTTCGTTGCCTGGGCGGTGTGTTTGGGATCATTGTCATGCTGAAAGACCCAGCCACGTTTCATCTTCAATGCCCTTGCTGATGGAAGGAGGTTTTCACTCAAAATCTCACGATACATGGCCCCATTCATTCTTTCCTTTACACGGATCAGTCGTCCTGGTCCCTTTGCAGAAAAAACAGCCCCAAAGCATGATGTTTCCACCCCCATGCTTCACAGTAGGTATGGTGTTCTTTGGATGCAACTCAGCATTCTTTATCCTCCAAACACGACGAGTTGAGTTTTTACCAAAAAGTTCTATTTTGGTTTCATCTGACCATATAACATTCTCCCAATCCTCTTCTGGATCATCCAAATGCACTCTAGCAAACTTCAGTCGGGCCTGGACATGTACTGGCTTAAGCAGGGGGACACGTCTGGCACTGCAGGATTTGAGTCCCTGGCGGCGTAGTGTGTTACTGATGGTAGGCTTTGTTACTTTGGTCCCAGCTCTCTGCAGGTCATTCACTAGGTCCCCCCGTGTGGTTCTGGGATTTTTGCTCACCGTTCTTGTGGTCATTTTGACCCCACGGGGTGAGATCTTGCGTGGAGCCCCAGATCGAGGGAGATTATCAGTGGTCTTGTATGTCTTCCATTTCCTAATAATTTCTCCCACAGTTGATTTCTTCAAACCAAGCTGCTTACCTATTGCAGATTCAGTCTTCCCAGCCTGGTGCAGGTCTACAATTTTGTTTCTGGTGTCCTTTGACAGCTCTTTGGTCTTGGCCATAATGGAGTTTGGAGTGTGACTGTTTGAGGTTGTGGACAGGTGTCTTTTATACTGATAACAAGTTCAAACAGGTGCCATTAATACAGGTAACGAGTGGAGGACAGAGGGGCCTCTTAAAGAAGAAGTTACAGGTCTGTGAGAGCCAGAAATCTTGCTTGTTTGTAGGTGACCAAATACTTATTTTCCACCATAATTTGCAAATAAATTCATAAAAAATCCTACAATGTGATTTTCTGGATTTTTTTTCTCAATTTGTCTGTCATAGTTGACGTGTACCTATGATGAAAATTACAGGCCTCTCTCATCTTTTTAAGTGGGAGAACTTGCACAATTGGTGGCTGACTATATACTTTTTTTCCCCACTGTATATATACTGAGATCATGTGACACTTAGATTGCAAACAGGTGGACTTTATTTAACTAATTATGTGACTTCTGAAGGTAATTGGTTGCACCAGATCTTATTTAGGGGCTTCATAGAAAAGGGGGTGAATACATATGCACGCACCACTTTTCCGTGATTTCTTTTTTAGACATTTTTGAAACAAGTTATTTTTTTCATTTCACTTCACCAATTTGGACTATTTTGTGTATGTCCATTACATGAAATCCAAATAAAAATCCATTGAAATTACATGTTGTAATGCAACAAAATAGGAAAAACGCCAAGGGGGATGAATTATTTTGCAAGGCACTGTACTAAAAGCTCTCTCCTCCCTCCATCCAGCCCTAGGTGATAACACTGTCAGTGCTTCTTAGTTTAACCAAGTTGTGTTGTTGTGGTATTAGGTTAATATGAGCATGGGTGTGTGGGAGAGGGAGTGCATGTGTGGGGGGGGTCAGAGATGTCACCACACACATTCAAACTTTGCTACACTATGTTGGCCGCTCAGTCTTTTGTGGTCTCAGTTATCAGAAAGGGTCCAGCTCAGGTATATCTTAATATTTATGTTAATGTCAATTTAGGGCAGAGAGAAAGTGAAAGTAATAGAATGAAAAGAGATGTGGGTCCCATCCAGATGAGATGTGCAGAGGGCAGTTCATTCTGGGCTGGAGAAACGCTCCCCTCAGCAGCACACAGGTTCACAGGCTGGGTCTGAAGGAAGCCGTGTGTCTCTCTCTCTGCAGTTCTATTTTGATATATATGTGTGTGTGTGTATGTCGCTTAGAGCAGTAATGATGAATGAGTCTCTCCTTTCTGTGCCACACTTTCTCTCTCTCTCTTTATCCGTCTACCCTCCTCCCTCTCTTCTCATCCACCAGTCTGCTTCCTCCCTTTCTCTCTGTTCATTTTTCCTTTTCCTCTTTCAACTGTATTTCTCTTTTTGCTCTGTGCTTATTCCCCCCCCCCCCCCTTTGAATGCATCTGTCCTTTTGTATCTCCCTCCTTCCCTCTCTCCCAGTTTTCCCCAGTGCCCAGCCTCAGAGGGGGTAGCCTATAATCTAAAATTGGGCTGTGGATGAGGGGAGGGTTAATCTAAAGAAAGTCTGGGTGATTCAACACAGCCATTTAATCCCAGGCCTTACTGTAAATCCTCCTGTCTGTCTCTCTGTGTTGTATTGGGTCGTCTGGCCTCAGTGTCTCTGGGAGTTCAGTCTGTAACTGTATTACTGTAACACTGGTTTAACTCTCCTTTTCACTACAGCAGATCTGCTAAGTCTCCATTTCTCTGGATAAACTGTGCCAAGTAGCTACATTTATTAGGGCTGTCAAGTTAACTTTTTGTAATTTTACTTCAGTCTTTTTTGATCTGTATTACATTGTCTGAAAGTGTTCAAAATACACTGAAAACATCATAAATACATCATCTATACAGGTAACAACAAAGATGCAATGTCCAAACAAGTTGATATTGAGGTTAAAGAAAGTGTGCTTTTTCAATTTACCTGATTTTGCTAACCTTTACTTTGGACAAAATCAAGCAGTTATTATTCTTGTTATGGTTTTTGTACAAAACATCTTAAATTACTTCTCAATTAATGACAGAAAATCGTACGATTAACTAATTAAATTTTTTCATCGTTTGACAGCCCTAACATTTATACATGCACTGCAATCTCAGTAACAAGGACAACAAGTCTGACAGGCAACTCTCGGTGAAGTTGCTTTAGAGATGGATCGACATGTACAGAATGGGTACCTAGAGGACATTCAGAAGCTGAGCTACAACCTTCTATAGCCGAGGAGACCAAACATGTACTTTGCTTGGGAAGTCATTTAATTCTGTCACTATCAATTGATAAAGCTATTCACTTTCTGTACAATAGAAGACAGCTTTTAGGGAAACAATTGTGACTTTCTGTCGTTGGGTTAAGCCACGGAAGAAGAGTAGCCAGTAGTTAAAGCTTACATTTTCCTGCGTCAGTAGGCCTACTCTTTTGGTAGGCCTAACTTTTTAAAGTACCATGCTCAGATTCCTAATGACGTCTCAGATTTAATTATTTGCAAACAGGTACAGTTTCATTACAAACAAGACACACTGATTTGGCATTGGAGAAATATGATAAGATGAACACATGGCCTATCTCTCTGTACATACATATTGTGCTAATATGTAAAATGATGTAGAATTGCATGACATTTTTATAAAAGGCTATTTGTTCTCGGACCTGCAAATACGATGATAGATTCATGCAATGATTTTACTATAAAGGAGATCTTTCCACCCTTACTCTTGTCCACGGTGGTCTGTGAACCTACAACCTTCTGGCCCGCAGCCCTGTGCCATGTAATGCTTACAGGAGAAATAACAGTTTCTAAAACGGCATATCTAAGGCTCTGGTCTGTCCAAGAAGTGATGGTAAACAGTAAGGATGTTCTCTGCTATCCACGTCGTGTTTTAATGATTATTTTGGGTATAGGGGAGAGTCACTTTTTTTTTCAAGCGTTCAGGGAGGGTTTAGGTCAAATACTGTATATGCTGAAGGGAGGGCCATTCATTTTCATATCAGAGAGTTCCGATTTCCTCCATGTACAGTGGGGAAAAAAAGTATTTAGTCAGCCACCAATTGTGCAAGTTCTCCCACTTAAAAAGATGAGAGAGGCCTGTAATTTTCATCATAGGTACACATCAACTATGACAGACAAATTGAGAAAAAAAAATCCAGAAAATCACATTGTAGGATTTGTAATGAATTTATTTGCAAATTATGGTGGAAAATAAGTATTTGGTCACCTACAAACAAGCAAGATTTCTGGCTCTCACAGACCTGTAACTTCTTCTTTAAGGAGGCTCCTCTGTCCTCCACTCGTTACCTGTATTAATGGCACCTGTTTGAACTTGTTATCAGTATAAAAGACACCTGTCCACAACCTCAAACAGTCACACTCCAAACTCCACTATGGCCAAGACCAAAGAGCTGTCAAAGGACACCAGAAACAAAATTGTAGACCTGCACCAGGCTGGTAAGACTGAATCTGCAATAGGTAAGCAGCTTGGTTTGAAGAAATCAACTGTGGGAGCAATTATTAGGAAATGGAAGACATACAAGACCACTGATAATCTCCCTCGATCTGGGGCTCCACGCAAGATCTCACCCCGTGGGGTCAAAATGATCACAAAAATCCCAGAACCACACGGGGGGACCTAGTGAATGACCTGCAGAGAGCTGGGACCAAAGTAACAAAGCCTACCATCAGTAACACACTACGCCGCCAGGGACTCAAATCCTGCAGTGCCAGACGTGTCCCCCTGCTTAAGCCAGTACATGTCCAGGCCCGTCTGAAGTTTGCTAGAGTGCATTTGGATGATCCAGAAGAGGATTGGGAGAATGTCATATGGTCAGATGAAACCAAAATAGAACTTTTTGGTAAAAACTCAACTCGTCGTGTTTGGAGGACAAAGAATGTTGAGTTGCATCCAAAGAACACCATACCTACTGTGAAGCATGGGGGTGGAAACATCATGCTTTGGGGCTGTTTTTCTGCAAAGGGACCAGGACGACTGATCCGTGTAAAGGAAAGAATGAATGGGCCATGTATCGTGAGATTTTGAGTGAAAACCTCCTTCCATCAGCAAGGGCATTAAAGATGAAACGTGGCTGGGTCTTTCAGCATGACAATGATCCCAAACACGCCGCCCGGGAAAGGAAGGAGTGGCTTCGTAAGAAGCATTTCAAGGTCCTGGAGTGGCCTAGCCAGTCTCCAGATCTCAACCCCATAGAAAATCTTTGGAGGGAGTTGAAAGTCCGTGTTGCCCAGCGACAGCCCCAAAACATCACTGCTCTAGAGGAGATCTGCATGGAGGAATGGGCCAAAATACCAGCAACAGTGTGTGAAAACCTTGTGAAGAGTTACAGAAAACGTTTGACCTGTGTCATTGCCAACAAAGGGTATATAACAAAGTATTGAGAAACTTTTGTTATTGACCAAATACTTATTTTCCACCATAATTTGCAAATAAATTCATAAAAAATCCTACAATGTGATTTTCAGGAAAAAAAATTCTCATTTTGTCTGTCATAGTTGACGTGTACCTATGATGAAAATTACAGGCCTCTCTCATCTTTTTAAGTGGGAGAACTTGCACAATTGGTGGCTGACTAAATACTTTTTTTCCCCACTGTAATTCTTATTATAAATAACGTTCACACCCTTGAGAATATGGCCCCTCACTGGTTGAGTTCAAAAGTCATCTCTCCAGTCAGCCACACACTGGTGACTCATGCAAATACTCTCATTCCAGGTGACTACCTCATGAGTGTGCAAAGCTGTCATCAAGGCAAAGGGTTGCTACTTTGAAGAATCTCAAATATAAAATATATTTTGATTTGTTTAACACTTTTTTGGTTACTACATGAGACCATATGTGTTATATAATATTGTTGATGTCTTCACTATTATTCTACAATGTAGAAAAAAGTACAAATAATGAAAAACCCTTGAATGATTAGGTGTGTCAAAATTTTGGACTGGTACTGTATATGGAAAGATCTAGGCAATGGGGATTGTCTAATTGTTATGATTTTTTACAATATTGCGGACATGCGGAGATGCAGAGAATGAAGTTGGGTTACTTCAAAATAACTCTGTGTTACTCCTAAGTCATCATCTTCCACATTGTGACCTTCCATTAAAGAGCTTTGCTTTGGTGTGGATGAGGCCTATACATTCATATCAGTTGTGTTCCTCCATTAGTCTTTCTGTTCACCAATGGAGAGTGTTCAAAACAATGAGCAAACCAGCCTTTGTATTGAATACATGGAATTGGATTGTGATGATAGTGATGAATGAATCCTGCACACAATCTGATAATTTTTTTGCATATTTTTTATCAGAAATAATATTTGATTTGTATGAATTGTTTGGTGAAATATGTATAAAAGGAGAGTAGTTTTCCCATAATTCTGCACATTTGGGTAGTTGTACTTCCAATTTTGATCATCATGATTTAGTGAATGCAAAGAAATGTGTTGATCTCCTTGGGATTTTTAAAAGACAGACTAACTTTCTGTTTTGTCTGCTTGGACTCAAGAGATAAGTATGGTTGGGTTCGTCTTTTTGCAGGCAGTAGTGTTCTTTTGATGAATGTATTTGCAATTTTGACACTATAATATAGTTTTGATAAATGTATTTGCAATTTTGATGGTATAATATAGTTTTGATGAATTTATTTGCAATTTTGACGGTATAATATAGTTTTGATGAATGTAGTTATGTTTGTATAAGCATACACACAGAACAGTAGATGGGTTAGACCGCCCATGTATGTGTGTGTTAGAATAGAATGCTGGTTTCCTGTGCTATAGGTTCAGACTGTCAGCAACTGAAACCTGACATACTGTACCACCGCTGTGTTACACTGCTGTAAGAAACTCTTAAAAAGACACTATCAGACAGAGATACAGACAGACAGACAAACTGACAGACTGACATGCAGAAGCTCCACTCACAGTTCCCTGCGAAAGGTATGAAGGATAGTTTAGACATCTCTCAGCCAATTTTTATATCTCTTTACTTCTGTTGATACTTTCCATGAGTTATTACTTAGTATGTTGGCTTGGTCGTGCTTGGTGAGTATCCTTGGATGACGTTGTAACGTTTACTTTGGACTTCATACTGGTTTTGGCTGGGGAGAAATGGTGCAGTAGCTAAGGGCTGTGTGAGTAAATGTTTGTATGGGGAGGCGGACAGACAGACAGAAACCTACACTAGGCTACAATTAGAGAGTGGGACCCAGCTGTGACATAAGGAGTGTTTAGGAGAGTAGTAGGTTAGTGGGTGCCTAACTTTCTCTCTCTCATCTCTCACCGTCTCTGTCCTTGTGCTGTGTGTATAGACCGCCTGAGAAAGCTAGACTGAAAAGGGGACTTTTACTTTTATAACGAGATTAAAACAAATCAGATCTGCAAAAGGAGGGTGAGGAATTTGGTAAACACTTTAATGAGGTTTATGTGGAAGGTGTGTGTGCATAGTTTTATGGGAGTTTGTTTTAGTGTATGACTCAAGAAGGTATGCTTTCTTTATTTGTGGCTCACTGCTGTAATCCTTGCTATATTTCAGGGGTGGGCGACGCCCCCCTTTTGTAGGCCCGCAAAAAAATATATACACTACCGTTCAAAAGTTTGGGGTCACTTCGAAATGTCCTTGTTTTTTGAAAGAAAAGCAATTTTTTTGTCCATTAAAATAACATCAAATTGATCAGAAATACAGTGTAGACATTGTTAATGTTGTAAATGGCTATTGTAGCTGGAAACAGTTGATTTTTAATTGAATATCTACATAGGCGTACAGAGGCCCATTATCAGCAACCATCAGTCCTGTGTTCCAATGGCACGTTGTGTTTGCTAATCCAAGTTTATCATTTTAAAAGGCTAATTGATCATTAGAAAACCCTTGTGCAATTATGTTAGCACAGCTGAAAACTGTTGTGCTGATTAAAGAAGCAATACAATTGGCCTTCTTGAGACTAGTTGAGTATCTGGAGCATCAGCAATTGTGGGTTTGATTACAGGCTCAAAATGGCCAGAAACAAATAACTTTCTTCTGAAACTCGTCAGTCTATTCTTGTTCTGAGAAATGTGTGAAGAGGCGACTCCGGGATGCTGACCTTCTAGGCAGAGTTGCAAAGAAAAAGCCATATCTCAGACTGCCCATCTTAATCTTTTATTTTTATTGGCCAATCTGAGATATGGCTTTTTCTTTGCAACTTTGCCTAGAAGGTCAGCATCCCGGAGTCACCTCGTCACTGTTGACGTTGAGACTGGTGTTTTGCGGTTACTATTTAATGAAGCTGCCAGTTGAGGACCTGTGAGGCACCTGTTTCTCAAACTAGACACTAATGTATTTGTCCTCTTGCTCAGTTGTGCACCGGGGCCTCCCACTCCTCCTATTCTGGTTAGAGCCAGTTTGCGCTGTACTGTGAAGAGGGTAGGACACAGCGTTGTACGAGATCTTCAGTTTCTTGGCAATTTCTCGCATGGAATAGCCTTCATTTCTCAGAACAAGAATAGACTGACGAGTTTCAGAAGAAAGTTATTTATTTCTGGCCATTTTGAGCCTGTAATCGAACCCACACTTGCTGATGCTCCAGATACTCAACTAGTCTCAAGAAGGCCAGTTTTATTGCTTCTTTAATCAGCACAACAGTTTTCAGCTGTGCTAACATAATTGCAAAAGGGTTTTCTAATGATCAATTAGCCTTTTAAAATGATAAACTTGGATTAGCAAACACAACGTGCCATTGGAACACAGGACTGATGGTTGCTGATAATGGGCCTCTGTACACCTATGTAGATATTCCATAAAAAATCAGTAGTTTCCAGCTACAATAGCCATTTACAACATTAACAATGTCTACACTGTATTTTTGATCAAGTTGATGTTATTTTAATGGACACATGTTTTTATTTTATTTTGAAAACAAGGGCATTTCTAAGTGACCCCAAACTTTTGAACGGTAGTGTATATATAGTCAGTCGGGGTCTCAACCACAGGAGGCTGGTGGCACCTTAATTGGGGAGAACAGGCTCGTGGTAATGGCTGGAGGGGAAAGAGTGGAATGGTATCAAATACATCAAACACATGGTTTCCATGTGTTTGATGCCATGCCATTTGCGCCGTTCCGGCCATCATTATAAGCCGTCCTCCCCTCAGCAGCCTCCACCGTTCTCAATTTACTGTTGAGAGTTAGAATAGTAGAATACACAAGGTGCAATTTTGCATGTGTGGGTATGGATGTGGGTACACAGACCCGCTAGTCACTGCGCCCCCTCATAATGAGTAAAACATTTTGTGGCCCCCACCCCGATCAAAGTTGCCCATCCCTAATATATTTGATTAGAATCAAGATCTGACCACTTTAATCCTGATCAAATTGGATTGGACCCTGGTTCAAATCTATATTACACGTCCCTCCATGTAGTCTAGTTATTAAGGCAGAGAGTGGTATGTCAGTAAAGGGGTTTCTGAAGTTGATTAGTTCTTATTATAAAGGGCTTTGGGCTGCTTTATGTTCATCAACCCTCTCTCATCTCATTCTAATTCAGCACATTCTATTACATTTTATTGAATTACACATCCTTTCAGAGCCAATTCACCCTTGGTTCCCACCGCGAGGATAGTGCTAAGGTGAAGTGTGTGGCGTGTGTGTGACGTGTGCCTTTGTGCTTGTGTGTGTTTGCACGTGTGTGTTGGTGTGCTATGTACTGTCTCTGTGCGTTGTCCCTCTGGTTGTTCTGAGAGAGAGAAAGGGGAGGGAGGGAGGGAGGAGTCTTCCCATTGGTGAGTCTCTCCGCTGAGCTGAGTCACTTAGCTCTGAGCTGCAGTACCTGTCTGCCTACCTGGGAAGATCGTATGTTACTTTCCCTACTACTCATGCTTGAGCTGCCTTGTCAGTCCTGTAAGGATTTCCTACTACTCTGTAGAAGAGGCTTTGGGTGAGTTTATTCTCTATTTATGTCACTGCTTCAGCTCTTCCCCTCCTCTCTCTCACATTTTTCTCTGTTTTCTTAGATGAATGTGCTATTGTGGTTGATATACAGTTTGGTTGGGTCTGTTTTTAGATGAATGTGGTATTGTGGTTGATATACAGTTTGGTTGGGTCTGTTTTTAGATGAATGTGGTATTGTGGTTGATATACAGTTTGGTTGGGTCTGTTGTTAGATGAATGTGGTATTGTGGTTGATATACAGTTTGGTTGGGTCTGTTTTTAGATGCAGGTGTAGAGAATAGGACAATATATCATGAATACTGGTATCTCGGTATGGATCCACAAACCACTCACAATTTATTTGTTGCCATTCTGGGTCATGCACTAATAATAAAACATATTTAAAACTTTATTCTGAAACCTAAAATACAATATAAAACCGCCTTATAATTATTATCTTTTACGTATAGGATTATATATTTTGACCATATCGCTCAGCCCTAGTAACCTAGCAGAGACTAGACCACTCCAACAACAAGAGATGTTCTAACCTGCTCCTATGTTCCCACAGACTCTCTCTAACTCTGTACTGCACAGCATGGTCATTCATTTGTGTAGCACTCACATTTGCCTTTTTCACTGAGACACCACCCACTGGGCACAGACGTCAGTTCAAAGTCTATTTTCTATTTACATTTGGTTGAGTTGTCAACTAACGTGAATTCAACATGAAATCAACAACAAATGTCACCATGACATTGGATTTAGGTTAAAAGTTGGGTGAAAAAAATACGAAATCCCCTTATGTTGATGACTTTTTGCAAATCTAATCAGTTTTCCACATTGATTAAAACGTCATAATGTTGAATTTTTTTGTTGAAATGACATGAAAACAACGTTGATTCAAAAAAAAAATGCCCAGTGGGAAATATAATCAACTTTTCACAGGGGGTTCAGATGTGGTTGATATACATTGTGTTGATTCTGTTGCTCTATTGAAGAGTTAGCAACATGTATTTGTCATGTTGTTTTGAGGTTTCCTGGAGTTGGACTATTCCCACAGCTGTTGGCATTTGCACTGAAAGTATCAGATAATGATAGCAAGTAATTCTATGGTCACTGTATTTCATAATTGCAGGTCCAAGGACCAGTTTTGAATTGTGGATATATTTACTCATATGTTGTGGATGTATTCACTTTCACATCTACATTCCTTCCCTTTTTCTTGTATGACATCATACATCCCTGCTCCTAACTGGAAATCACCATGAGAAATCCCCATACCACCCATTTTGAATCCCAGGCAGAGTTTATTATACATTGTTAGATATTCTGTGTGATGAGAGTGGGGTGCCCCCTTGGGGCACAGTGCTCTGGTCTATTCTGGTTGAAAGTTAAAGCTGTAATTTAGATCATGGTTTGAAGATATAGTCTGAAGCTCAGTCTCAGAGTTGTTCTCAGACACTCCCCTCTCAGTCTCAGGGTGCCAGGTAGATGGCTGTGTGGAGACAGACAGGTGTGCCTATTGTTTTTACTCACAGTTCTTGCTTGAGAATCGGGACACATGTTGCCTCAGGATTAGTGAGAGAGAGAGAGACAGACAGAGAGACAGAGAGATAGACAGAGACAGAGAGACAGACAGACAGAGAGGCAGACAGACAGACAGACAGACGGACAGAGAAAGGCAGGTCAGGTACTCCGTGTGATGTGATGTAATAACCCTTCAGGAGCTGTGAAGGCAGTACTTGTCACACAGACTTACCCCAGGCTGAATGCCTTTAATGAATAGTTGAGGAACATGTTCTTCTAGACTACAGGGCAATTCCACAGTAACAGAGTGACACTGAGACTCAGAGTTTTCACTTTAAAATGGATGTCAAACAAAAACCAATGATTGCAAAGTTAAACAAACCATACAACTCAATGCACAATGACTACTTCGAACAATTTCCACTGAAAATTGTACAATTTACACGGTAACAGAGTGACACAGTTTGGTAACAGAATGACGACACCAACAGCACAAACCGTCATTCTGTTACCAAACTTTGCATTTGCACTGTTCTTCAAGTAAATGTGTTTTTGTAAAATCTCTGTGTCACCGTGGAATTGCCCTAGAGCAACAAATGGTAAAGACTGAGGCATTCATTACCTTACATACAGTATATCTACTTAACTATGGTATGTATGCATATCTATTGAACTATGTTTTATGTTCTAAGGAAAGAAATTACTGGAAAGAAAAAGTATCATGTCACTTAGAAGTAGATACTGTTATTACACAAATTGGATACAGCTTTTTCAAGCATCCACTTAAAAACAAGATACTGTATATTCCAAGGCATCGTGGTTTGTCTCTCCTGTTATTTTCCCTTACTCCATGTGAGGTAATGGGTGTGGATGCGCTGCTCTTCTCTCTGATTACGGAGAGAAGTGGTTTTGTTAGACTGATACATTCCTTCATCCTTCTCTCTGAGCCTGGTGGTATTGGTAAACATGCATTCTTGTGTGTCTTGGTGCATTCAAGACAACTCGGAACTCTGAAATCTCCAACCCACGACTTCAGTGTTTTCAAGAGAACTGGGCTTAGACGGCGATAAATCGTTTTGAACGGTCATCCAACTCTGGAATTACAAGTCGAAACTGACAGGGAGGACAGGGAGGGGTCTTCTAAAAGGAAACAATATCTTTAGTAGCACCAGCAGTACACTGGGGGATTTAACACACAAACCCTGATCTGAGTTAAACTGATTTTTTTCCTAAACAGATCTTCAACACTTATCCTCCTCTTCTCTCTCGGGATGTCATGAAAGATCAAGAGGACAGAGTATTTGGTCTATTTTCAGTTCTCTGCCTTGCAATAAAGTGATAGAGTTCAATACTGGGAGAATGTTTTATTTATATGCTATTATTTTGATAAATGCTAGATAAATGTCTGCTCATATTCATTGGATAATTCTTGAGGATTTACTTATGATTGTCTTGACTGGCTGAGAAACAAATGCCATGATTTCCACCACAGTCGGTCTAAAACTATTTTGAAACAAGTGAATGCCCTCAGGCTTGTTCTCCCTGCCTGCTCAATAGTAAAATATGATGTAGTCTTGGAAAGGTTCAGGCCAGTTGCCATGGTAGCAGGTCTCCTACAGTGTAAATCAAGGACAGAACCTCAGGTGGGATTGTGTTCACCTGAGCTCTGCATTCACTATTGACAATTGGATTTAGCTGTGGATTCTCAATATTTGCTCACTTTCCAGTTTCCACAGAATCCTGTTAGGCCCTATACCCCAGGCTCAGAAACTCACCTTGCAAACATGCAATTAGGATAACTGATGTAGGCTAATACAGTTTACATTCTGCATCAGAAGACTGACATTAATATTAAAGAGAAGAGGAACAGAGTTGATTCAATTTACTGTAGTCATAGTGTGATATAGAAATGGCAAAAACATTGACATTATCTAGTGTTGTTTGGTACTGTTGTGGTCACTAAGTGTCGCCCTTCTCAGATAGAACACGACCACTCAGACCTGAGGCTGTTTGAATGGGCCCATCTCCCACGAGGCTGTCACACAGAAGCCATGTTTACATCAGCCACAGCAACAGAGAAGAACTAACCCCCCTCCTCCCCGGTGGAGCTCAAAGAGGAAGAGAATGAAAGGCCCAAATGTGTCTCTGAAATAACCCAGAAAGGGGCTCTTTGTGCTCCCTAACAACTTAATGTCCACATGCTTTGATTTAGCATGGCGCTGGCTGCTAATTTGCATGGGGGTCTGTGGTGGGCCACTTTTAACGAGAGGAGGCCAGTGTGTGTGTGTGTGTGTGTGTGTGTGTGTGTGTGTGTGTGTGTGTGTGTGTGTGTGTGTGTGTGTGTGTGTGTGTGTGTTTCCACCTCCGTAATGTTTAAAGATGGAATCTGCAGTAGGGGGAAACAGCGCCACTGGCCACCCCACCACCGTTGTTATTGTTTTTGTTGCCGAGCTGAGGAGCGTCGCTCAGCATGGTAAAAAAATGGCTGTACATATTGTGCTTTTCTGTTGCGTGTGGCTGTTTCACAATTAAGGATTCCAGTTTTTAATTAGGAAATCTACAGTTCAAACAATAAATAAAGTTGTCACCTAGCCACTGTTTGGGTAAACAGCTGAGGGTTGGGCCTGGAAAAATGTAACCACTCTCAAATTCATAGACAGAGCTATGGATGCAAGAACTGCCCATCCATGATAACAAAATTCTAGTTTTAACCATGTTTGAAGGCCATACAGTGTTTATTTACAATTACATTGTTTATAAACAATGGAGTAAAACAAACATATATTTTGGGTTCTGATGAGGTACGACAGTTGAACTAAGCTCATGAGGCATTTATGAATCATATTATTTAAGAATCAGTGGGTATACAGTGGCTTGCGAAAGTATTCACCACCCTTGGCATTTTTCCCATTTTGTTGCCTTACAACCTGGAATTAAAATTGATTTTTGGGGGGGTTGTATCATTTGATTTACACAACATGCCTACCACTTTGAAGATGCAAAATATTTTTTCTTGTGAAACAAACAAGAAATAAGACAAAAAAACAGAAAACTTGAGCGTGCATAACTATTCACCCCCCCAAAGTCAATACTTTGTAGCGCCACCTTTTGCAGCTATTACAGCTGCAAGTATCTTGGGGTATGTCTCTATAAGCTTGGCACATCTAGCCACTGGGATTTTTGGCCATTCTTCAAGGCAAAACTGCTCCAGCTCCTTCAAGTTGGATGGGTTCCGCTGGTGTACAGCAATCTTTAAGTCATACCACAGATTCTCAATTGGATTGAGGTCTGGGCTTTGTCTAGGCCATTCCAATACATTGAAATGTTTCCCCTTAAACCATTCGAGTGTTGCTTTAGCAGTATGCTTAGGGTCATTGTCCTGCTAGAAGGTGAACCTCCGTCCCAGTCTGAAATCTCTGGAAGACTGAAACAGGTTTCCCTCAAGAATTTCCCTGTATTTAGCGCCATCCATCATTCCTTCAATTCTGACCAGTTTCCCAGTCCCTGCCGATGAAAAACATCCCCACAGCATGATGCTGCCACCACCATGCTTCACTGTGTGGATGGTGTTCTCGGGGTGATGAGAGGTGTTGGGTTTGCGCCAGACATAGCGTTTTCCTTGATGGCCAAAAAGCTCAGTTAGTCTCATCTGACCAGAGTACCTTCTTCCATATGTTTGGGGAGTCTCCCACATGCCTTTTGGCGAACACAAACCGTGTTTGATTCTTTTTTTCTTTAAGCAATGGCTTTTTTCTGGCCACTCTTCCATAAAGCCCAGCTCTGTGGAGTGTATGGCTTAAAGTGGTCATATGGACAGATACTCCAATCTCCACTGTGGAGCTTTGCAGCTCCTTCAGGGTTATTTTTATTTTATTTTTTATTTCACCTTTATTTAACCAGGTAAGCCAGTTGAGAACAAGTTCTCATTTACATAAAAACAACAACACAGAGTTAAATATGGGGTAAACAAAACATAAAGTCAAAAATACAACAGAAAATATATATACAGTGTGTGCGAATGTAGTAAGTTATGGAGGTAAGGCAATAAATAGGCAATAGTGCAAAATAGTTAAAATTTGGAATGATTTGGAACAATAGTGCAAAAGATTATGTGCAAATAGAGATACTGGGGTGCAAATTTGCAAAATAAATAACAATATGGGGATGAGGTAGTTGGGTGGGCTAATTTCAGAAAGGCTGTGTACAGGTGCAGTGATCGGTAAGCTGCTCTGACAACTGATGCTTAAAGTTAGTGAGGGAGATAAGAGTCTCCAGCTTCAGAGATTTTTGCAGTTCGTTCCAGTCATTGGCAGCAGAAAACTGGAAGAAATGGCGGCCAAAGGAGGTGTTGGCTTTGGGGATGACCAGTGAGAAATACCTGCTGGAGCGCAGACTACGGGTGGGTGTTGCTATGGTGACCAGTGAGCTAAGATAAGACTGGGATTTGCCTAGCAGTGATTTATAGATGACCTGGAGCCAGTGGGTTTGGCGACGAATATGTAGTGAGGGCCAGCCAACAAGAGCGTACAGGTCACAATGGTGGGTATTATATGGGGCTTTGGTGACAAAACGGATGGCACTGTGATAGACTACATCCAATTTGCTGAGTAGAGTGTTGGAGGCTATTTTGTAAATGACATCGCCGAAGTCAAGGATCGGTAGGATAGTCAGTTTTACGAGGGCATGTTTGGCAGCATGAGTGAAGGAGGCTTTGTTGCGAAATAGGAAGCCGATTCTAGATCTAACTTTTGATTGGAGATGCTTAATGTGAGTCTGGAAGGAGAGTTTACAGTCTAACCAGACACCTAGGTATTTGTAGTTATCCACATACTCTAGGTCAGACCCGCCGAGAGTAGTGATTATAGTTGGGTGGGTGGGTGCAAGCAGCGTTCGGTTGAAGAGCATGCATTTAGTTTTACTAGTGTTTAAGAGCAGTTGGAGGCTACGGAAGGAGTGTTGTATGGCGTTGAAGCTCGTTTGGAGTTTGTTATCTTTGGTCTCTTTGTTGCCTCTCTGATTAATGCCCTCCTTGCCTTGTCTGTGAGTTTTGGTGGGCGGCCCTCTCTTGGCAGGTTTGTTGTGGTGCCATATTATTTCCATTTTTTAATAATGGATTTAATGGTGCTCCGTGGGATGTTCAAAGTTTAGGATATTTTTTTTATAACCCAACCCTGATCTGTACTTCTCCACAACTTTGTCCCTGACCTGTTTGGAGAGCTCCTTGGTCTTCATGGTGCCGCTTGCTTGGTGGTGCCCCTTGCTTAGTGGTGTTGCAGACTCTGGGGCCTTTCAGAACAGGTGTATATATACTGAGATCATGTGACACTTAGATTGCACACAGGTGGACTTTATTTAACTAATTATGTGACTTCTGAATGTAATTGGTTGCACCAGATCTTATTTAGGGGCTTCATAGCAAAGGGGGGGAATACATATGCACGCAGCAGTTTTCCGTTATTAATTTTTTAGCATTTTTTCAAACAAGTTCTTTTTTTCATTTCACTTCACCAATTTGGACTATTTTGTGTATGTCCATTACATGAAATCCAAATATAAATCCATTTAAATTACAGGTTGTTATGCAACAAAATAGGAAAAACGCCAAGGGGGATGAATACTTTTGCAAGGCACTGTATATCATTGATTTAAAAGTTTAAAAGAAATGGATGTACCTATCGCAGATTGTCCCTTTTAAGACAACAGAAAGAGGTAGGGCCAGAGGTCCATACACTCCACAGGTGTTTACATCAGTGACAAACAGTACACCTAGAACCACACACTGGCTGCTCTGTTGTGGAGAGGGTCTGCATTTCACTGTGAGTGAAAAGATGTAGGTGATTTACATCAGAATGACAGGGTGTTTGGCATGTTAATAACAACCTCTGGAGATTTACTATAGAGGGTGTCACTGACTCTTTCTACAATCACTAACATACATGTTCCGCTAGGCGACTTGATTTGGATGTGGAGACTTGATTTTAACCGAAATTGGTTATATGGACCAGAACATGTTCTAAATTTACCCTTTAAAGTGATTGCAGATGATGTCAAGCATTTAATCAGCCGAGTTCTTGAGGCCAGCTCTAAAAGTATCCCACCCCCAGCAGATCGTGGGACTTTCCTAGTCAGTCACTACTAGACCATTTCTTGTAAAAGCCGTGTTGTCTGTAATTGAAGCGGAGCTGTAAAAATAGCTAGAGTGTACAAAACATTCAGAACACCTGCTCTTTCCATGACATAGACTGACCAGGTGAATCCAGGTGAATGGTATGATCCCTTATTGATGTCACTTGTTAAATCCACTTCAATCAGTGTAGATGAAGGGGAGGACACAGGTTAAAGAAGGATTTTTAAGCCTTGAGACGATTAAGACATGGATTGTGTATGTGTGCCATTCAGAGGGTGAATGGGCAAGAAAAAGGATTTAAGTGCCTTTGAACGGGGTATGGTAGTAGGTGCCAGGCGCACTGGTTTGTGTGAAGAACTGCAATGCTGCTGGGTTTTTCAACCTCAAAAGTTTTCGTGTGTATCAAGAATGTTCCACCACCCAAAGGACATCCAGCCAACTTGACACAACTGTGGGAAGCATTGGAGTCAACATGGGCCAGCATCCTTGTGGAACACTTTCGACACCTTTTAGAGTCCATGCCCCGACGAATTGAGGCTGTTCTGAGGGCAAAAGGGGGGTGGGGGGGTGCAACTCAATATTAGGAAGGTGTTCTTAATGTTTTATATACTCAGTGTACAGCACCATGTATACACTCTTGGAAAAAAGGTTGCTATCTAGAGCCTAAAAGGGTTCTTTGACTGTCCCCATAGGTGAACCTTTTGAAGAACCCTTTTTGGTTCCAGGTAGAACCCTTTTGGTTCCAGGTAGAAAGAACCCTTTTGAGTTCCATGTAGAACCCTTTCCACAGAGGGTTCTACATGGAACCCAAAACAGTTCTACCTGGAACCAAAAACAGTTCTACCTGGAACCAAAAGGGGTTCTCCTATGGAAACCTTTTTTCTAAGAGTGTAGAATGCCACTGGAGTTCCTTCCTTGTTATGATGAGTGAATCATACTTTTTTATAGCGGTATTGTGAGTTGAAGGTATGCTATAAAAAGTATGATACTTTTAGAGCAAAGAGAAACAGTGATCTATTTTTAAGATTGAAGAGATTGAGTTTATTAAGGTATTTAGGTCACATTTCAATTATTCATACCACTGGGATGGGCCTTTACTTCATTCAGTGAACTCTTCTCTGTAGACTTACTGAGCATGGAGCGAATAAGCAAATTAGTTTGTTTCATCACATGCAGTAATGCAGGCTCTGCAGCGCTAGTGAATGAACAGCCTCTCAGAAACAATGGACAATGTTACACATTGATTATACTGTATAGATGCTGAGTGAAGGTTTGTGTGGGTGTTCACTCAACCAACAACCGAGTTAAGTCATGTATTTATGCTGAACAAAATATAAACGCAACATGCAACAATTTCAAATATTTTACTGAGTTACAGTTCATAAAAGGAAATCAGTCAATTGAAATATATTCATTAGGCCCTAGTCTATGGATTTCACATGACTAGGAATAAAGATATGCATCTGTTGGTCACAGATACCTTTAAAAAAAAGTAGGGGTGTGGATCAGAAAACCAGTCAGTATCTGGTGGGCTAACCATTTGCCTCATGCAGCGCGACATCTCCTTCGCATAGAGTTGATCAGGCTGTTGATTGTGGCCTGTGGAATGTTGTCCCACTCCTCTTCAATGGCTGTGCGAAGTTGCTGGATATTGGCGGAAACTGGAACACGCTGTCGTACACGTCGATCCAGAGCATCCCAAACATGCTCAATGGGTGACATATCTGGTGAGGAAGCAGGCCATGGAAGAACTGGGACATTTTCAGCTTCCAGAAATTGCATACAGATCCTTGCAACATGGGGCCGTGTATTATCAGGCTGAAACATGAGGTGATGGCGGCGGATGAATGGCACGATAATGGTCCTCAGCATCTCGTCACGGTATCTCTGTATGACGCCGAACTGCAGTCAGGTCAAGACCCTGGTGAGGACGACGAGCATACAGGTGAGCTTCCCTGAGACAGTTTCTGACAGTTTGTGCAGAAATTATTTGGTTGTGCAAACCCACAGTTTCATCAGCTATCTGGGTGGCTGGTCTCAGACGATCCCGCAGGTGAAGAAGCCGGATGTGGAGGTCCTGGGCTGGCGAGGTTACACGTGGTCTGTGGTTTTGAGGCCGTATGGACGTACTGCCAAATTCTTTAAAACGACGTTGGAGGCAGCTTATGGTAGCAACAGCTCTGGTGGACATTCCTGCAGTCAGCATGCAAATTGCAAGCTCCCTCAAAACTTGAGACATCTGTGGCATTGTGTTGTGTGACAAAACTGCACATTTTAGAGTGGCCTTTTATTGTCCCCAGCACAAGGAATACAATCATTGCAAGCAAGGGGCAGTGGGAGATATTCTGTGAGGGTTAGATGGAGCAACACTTACTCTGCTCATACGCACTGTGGCCAAATGAGTGTTGTTGAGTGTAAGGAATCTCACCGTTCCTCTTCGCTCTTTCTTGCTCTCCTTCTCTCTCCCTCTCTCTCTCCTCTCTCTCTCTCTGTTCCAGCTCTAAGCAGCAGCCCCAGTGAACGCGGCAGTGGCCCCCGCAGTGCGAGAGTCAGTCGGACAGGTCTGTGTGGGAAGAGTCCCAGTGAGAAGAGCAGGAGGGGTGTCAATGGAAGAGGCTTGGCCAGCAGGCCCTTACTGCAGCCCAAACCACAAGGTACTGATAATAATGCTTTTTAATATACCATTTAGCAGACATTTCTATCCAAAGCGATTTACAATACAGTGAGTTCATACACTTTAGAATATGTGACCCCAGTGGGAATCGAACCCATGACCCTGGTGTTGTTAGTACCAACCAGGGTTGGGGTCAATTCCACAAATTCAATTATAATTAAATTCTCTCTCCCTGTAAATTCCATTTAATTCAATTCAAATTCCAGTATCTTTAATCTGAGTCTAGAGGAAGGTGTTTGTCCTCAGGCCTGGAGGGAAAGTGGTAAAGAGGCTCTTAGCAAACTGTTGGAAAAAATGTGTTTGACCAAATACAATGCTATTTCTCTGTAAACAAATTGACAACTTTCAGCATGCTTATAGAGAAGGGCACTCAAAGTGTACTGCACTGACACAAATTACTGATGATTGGTTGAAAGAAATGAATTAATAATAATAAGATTGTGGGAGCTGTACTATTAGATTTCAGTGCAGTCTTTGATATTATTGACCATAACCTGTCATTCAATTGTTGTAAAGATGGGGAGAGGTCTGTCCATGCTTTTTTGACACCACACTCCAAAAGCAAGGCCTGCAGGCTCTAGTTCTGTCTTATCTTGATTATTGTCCAGCCATGTGGTCAAGTGCTGCAAAGAAAGACCTAGTTAAGCTGCAGCTGGCCCAGAACAGAGCGGCACGTCTTGCTCTTCATTGTAATCAGAGGGCTAATATAAATACTATGCATGCCAGTCTCTCTAGGCTAAGAGTTGAGGAGAGACTGACTGCATCACTTCTTATTTTTATAAGATACATTAAAGTGTTGGAAATTCCAAATTGTTTGCATAGTCAACTTACGCACAGCTCTGACACACACACTTACCCCACCAGACATGCCACCGGGGGTCTTTTCACAGTCCCCAAATCAAGAACAAAATTAAGAAAGCGTACAGTATTATATAGTGCCATTATTGCATGGAACTCCCTTCCATCTCATATTGCTCAAATGCAAACCTGGTTTCAAAAAACAGATAAAGCAACACCTCACGGCACAACGCCTCTCCCCTATTTGACCTAGATATTTTATGTGTATGTATTGATATGTAGGCTGTGTGACGTTTTTAAATGTGTATAGTTCTGTCCTTGTGATGTTCTTGTCTATTAACGTTCTGTATTATGTAATGTTTCATGTTTTGTGTGGACCCCAGGAAGAGTAGCTTCTGCTTTCGCAACAGCTAATGGGGATCCTAATGAAATACCAAATACCAAAATTATCCCCAACAGTTCCACAAAATCCAATTTGAATTCAATACCCTCAGGCTTTTAGGCTGATCATGTCACTGTTTAGACAGTCTAGCTATACTGGAAATATAGGAATACAGGTTGAAATTATTAAAAACATATCATACAGTCAATTTTTTATACTATGTGCATTCATTCCATTAACTGGGAATTCCAATTAAATTCCAATGCAAAAAGTCCAAACAGTCTAATTCCAATTCAATTCCAATTCCATAACTTCAAGATTGTTGAATTTCATTTTAATTAAATTCAATGTAAATTCTCCACTTCATGAGTGATTTCAAGAATTGAATTGGAATTTCAAATAAAATTGGAATTGACCCCAACCCTGGTGCCAGTCTTCCACCACGCTCTTACCAACTGAGCCACACAGGACAACAGAGCGCTGAGAGCAGTGCTGCTTAGACATACTGACACTTGTTTACATTTGGATAATTACTCACACGTGACTCGGAACATACATGACAAAGCAGCTCTCGCGACACGGAAGAGCGAGTTATGTAACCAGACACACAGTGTGACACAGTGGGGAAACCTTGACTTTAGTGGTGTTGCATTCCTCTTTTATTTGAACACAGTAAATCATTCTCTAGCGATAAGAAGGACAACTCTAACCCTCTTCCAGTGTTGGGGAAGCTACTCTGAAAATATACACTGAGTATACCAAACATTAGGAACACCTTCCTAATGTTGAGTTGCACAGCCCCGCCCTGCCTTTTGCCCTAAGAACAGCCTCAGTTCGTCAGGGCATGGACTCTACAAGGTGTCGAAAGTGTTCCACAGGGATGCTGGCCCATGTTGACTCCATGCTTCCCACAGTTTTGTCAAGTTGGCTGGATGTCCTTTGGGTGGTGGAACATTGTTGATACACACGGGAAACTGTTGAGGGTGAAAAACCCAGCAGCGTTGCAGTTCTTGACACAAACCGGTGTGCCTGGCACCTACTACCATACCCCGTTCAAAGGCGCGTAAATATTTTGTCTTGCCTATTCACCCTTTGAATGGCACACATACGCAATCCATGTCTCAATTGTCTCAAGGCTTAAAAAGCCTTCTTTAACCTGTCTCCTCCCCTTCATCTACACTGATTGAAGTGGATTTAACAAGTGACATCAATAAGGGATCATAGCATTCACCTGGATTCACCTGGTCAGTCTATGTCAGGGGTGTCAAACGTCCGGCCCGCGGGCCGGATCAGGCCCGCAAACGGGTTTAATCCGGCCCGCGAGATGATTTACAAAAAAAATAAAAAATAATTGCGTCCACTGGATGGCGCAATAGCAATTGTGTTAAGCAAGCAAACTGTTTATACCGGGGCAGAGCAAGTAGGTCAAGCACGTGCAGCCAATGAGCTACTTTGTTTTGCCCGCGATCTTTATTACGGCTTCTACTTTTAACATTATGTGCTTTGGCACCCTCATTGCCCCAATATGTCTCTGTCAAAAAAGAGAAAAGTGGACGCAGAGTGCAGAGTGTTCCAAGAAAAATGGTCATCCTATTTATTCACGGAATTGAATGGGAAAGCTGTATGTTTGGTGTGTTCAGAGCATGTTGCAGTGCTGAAAGAATATAACCTTCTTTGCCACTATGTGAGTCTTCATGCCGACAAATATGACAACTTTCAAGGACAGCGGAGATGAGAGAAGGTGAATTAACTGTTGGCGGGTCTGAAGAAACAGCAGTCTGTGTTTACTCACAGCCGAGACATCAGTGACGCTGCAGTGAAAGCTAGCTACCTCATTGCTAATGAAATCGCAGTGGCTTCAAAACCATTTAGTGAGGGTGAATTTGTAAAAACATGCATGATGAAGGCAGCGGAGATTGTGTGCCCTGAAAAGCGGCAGGCTTTTGCAAATATCAGCCTGACAAGAAACACAGTTGCAGACAGGATTTCCGATCTTTCAGTGGATTTGGACAGCCAGTTGAAGCAAAAAGTAAAGTCATTTATTGCGTTTTCGGTTGCAATTGATGAAAGCACGGACATTACAGATGTTGCACAACTGGCCATTTTCATCCGCGGAGTTGATGACACATTGACCGTCACTGAGGAGTTCGTTGAGTTGGTGCCGATGACAGATACAACGACAGCAGCTGATATTTTTACCGCACTCGTCGGCACGCTGGACAGGGTCGGAGTGGACTGGTCCCGCGCTGTCAGCCTGGCTACAGATGGTGCGCCCTCAATGATCGGGAAAAAAGCAGGCGTTGTGACAAGGTTCAGAGAGAAAGTGCAATCTGCAAATGGAGGACGTAATTTTTTGACTTTTCACTGTATTTTGCACCAGGAGGCTTTGTGTTGCAAGTCATTAAAGATGGATAACGTCATGAAGGTGGTCATCCAAACTGTTAATTTCATCCGATCCAGAAGCCTGAATCACCGTCAGTTTGACAGCCTTCTCAGAGAGAAAGACCACATCTATGGCCTGCCATACCACACTGAGGTAAGATGGTTAAGCCGAGGTGCTGTGCTGAGGCGTTTCTTTGATTTACGAGAAGAAATTGAACAGTTCATGGAAGAAAAGGGCAAACCAGTGTTAGAATTTCATTCCGCAGAATGGATGCAGGACCTTGCATTTATGGTGGATGTTACAGAGCACCTGAATAACTTGAACAAACAGCTGCAAGGGCGCAACAAAGTTGTCACGCAGTATTATGACAGCATACGTTCTTTCAAGTTGAAGCTGTCATTGTGGGAGACGCAACTTGCCGGTGGTGATGCAGCTCACTTCCCCTGTCTGAAAAATGTGTGCACGACCTAACATGTGGCAGACATGAAGCGGTTCAAAGATAAAATAACGGGACTGTTACGGGAGTTTGAGCAACGCTTTCAGATTTATGTTTATATGTTTTTATGTTGATGTGCTATTGTTTTTAATTTATTTGTATATTTAACCTATTCTTGACTCTGTGGTTCTTGCACTTGTTTGGGGAACAGGATTTCATTATTTTTATCTACATTTCTGCCTGAGAAATGACACCCTGATATAGTTCTGTGATCTGTGAAACAGTTCTGTTAATCACTGGGGCATTGTGTGTTTGTGTGTTATTTTTCTTTAGAATTTTCAAATAAACTTGACGTGTTTTATGATTAATAGTGATGTTGTGCTTGTACTATTTTGGACACACTGTCCTCAGGCTCCAGCTTTATGTTGTATGTTGATCGTATTAAAACAAAGAAAACAATCTGAAGTTGTTGTTTTTAAGTTATATATACCATGATTTTTCCGGTCCGGCCCACTTGGGAATAGATTTTCCTCCATGTGGCCCCTGAGCTAAAATGAGTTTGACACCCCTGGTCTATGTCATGGAAAGAGCAGGTGTACTTAATGTTTTGTACACTCAGTGTAGTTTACCAAGCTACCAATTACTTCACACTGGAAGAGGTTTAGCTACATTAAAGCTAACCTTAAAAAAATATAGTTTACTTAACTAAAGTTACTTTGAAAAATTATCATATGAGCCTAAATCTGAAATGTCATAGACAACAAACAGATCACTTTGGGGAAATATTTTAACAGCATGTGTAATTTAGCTTATTAAACACACAAACAATTTTCAAGTGAGAATTAGGCAGGTCTGATGCCGAAAAATGAAGGAAATTATTGCCCTTCTTAACCATATTTTATTTATTTTATGCCAAAAGTGTAGTGTGTAGTTCCAGTAGTTAGCTACACCACTACATGGCAAAACATAATTAACAACTGAAAACACTACCTTTATTTGAATTTAGTTAAACTACCACCAACCTACTGCAAAACGTAGTTAAATTACTAGTTGAACTAGATGTAGTTCACTACTCCCCAACACTTCCCTCTACATGACAACAGTCCATTGGCCATCCCCTCTATGGATTATAGAATAGTTCATGCTATATAAAGATACTGCTAGTCCATAGTAATGGCTATATTTGAATCTCATTCTGGGTGGTAAATGTTAATGCTAAATGTAGCCATGTTTTGCAGGCTTATAGACACGCGGTTGCATACACTCTGGAATGAGACTAGCTTTTAGTAACCTGTGCTGCCACCTTGTGTTGGAAGTATACATGACAACACAAAACTCCACAAAACACAGTCAACAATGCTGATGGGGATTGTGTATTGGGCTCCTGTCCCGTCTCCAGTACATTCATAGAGAGGCCCCTAGAGTGACCCAACCTAAAAACCAACTGCCTCTCTAGCCCTGACAACTGACCTTCTCCTATCATCCCCCCAGTGCCTCCGAAGCCAGCGCACCTCCAGAGCCAGGTGACGGTGCCTGCTGGCCCCCCACTGGCGCTGGGGCGCGTGGAGAGAGCACTCCTCAGAGCCACCATGGAGGAGGGAGGAGGAGGGGCGGTGACGGGGAAGAGCCGGGAGAAACCCTCCAAAGTCTTGGACCTCATCAACCACTTTGAGGAGAACAGGTAGAGCACCAAGCAGGGAGAAAAAGTAGAGTACAGAGTGGGTAGGCGAGAAAAGTATCAATTACACCCTAACAGAGATACAGCCCTAACTCAAATATGTGTGAAATTATTGCCCTTGTGTGTGTTCTTGCTCTTGTGTAAAAGAGTAACTAACTGCTAAGAGAGAGAAAGAGAAAGTAATTTGAAATGGATACTTCTATTTACATCACTTATCGTAATAAAGGAAATACATTATTCAGGCGGACATGAGAGTAGTAATCAGTGTGACGTCAATAAACCTTGCATGCAAAACAGAAAAGTTTATATTTCCTAATATCCCTTACTATTTAGAAGATGAAATAAAAACCAGAAGTCACTTTCAGCCCGATTTGTTGATATTTCTTCAGAGGAAAGCTTTAGACAGAGAGAGCAGTTTCTATTTCACAAGTCAAAGCGTTAGTGGAGAATGAAAAGAGATTTGTACAGAGCGGAAAATCAGCTCCCTCACTTGTGGGAGAGAGCTCACTGCTGTAGGATAAAGTCTAGAAGAAAGAGGTAGGATTTTAATACACAAACTTTATATCATGTTTCGATTCCTGTCTCAAATTATGTTAGATTGGGACCTTGATCAAAAGGTTTGGCTATGTGAATCTGTCTATTGTCATTTGTCCCACAAGGGCAAGGCTGAGTGTTTCCTCTATAGCAACACAGCCATTAGTTGTGATTTCAATAAACAAACACTTGTTGCTAATTGAATATAAGCATTGTAGCTATATATTGCACCATCTGTCTTCATCTATTTTCCTATGACTTTAAGACATTTCTGATTTCATTCCTGCTTGGTTACAAGTCTGTGTGGGGATTTTAGCAGCATGTGAGGAGGCCCGTTAGTGAGAGCTTGAGAGGCAGAAACAATGGTGCCCTTGTGTGAAACGCTCATGCAGTGCAGTCCAACAGCATTGAGCCAGCATCGTTACCCCACTCCATCCAGCACTGCCAACCAAGGCCTATACAGGCCATCTAAGGTCTCTTGAGCTACAAGCTCACCCTCAGAGTGAATTTTGTTCAGTTCAGCAGAAGAAGGGCAGCCTATAAGGAATAGAATTAGCCTAGTAATTCTTAGGAGAGGAAACCTGGAATTCCAGCACGTGAAGCTATTAATGTAGCAATAAAGCCACCCTGTTAATGAACATTTTAGTCATCTTATCCAGAGCGACTAACAGTTAGTGCATTCATCTTAAGATAGCTAGATGGGACGATCACATATCACAGGCATAGGAAGTATATTTTTCTTCAATAAAAGTAGCTATCAGTAGAGTCAGAGCTAGAAGGGGGGTAGGGTTTCAGATGTTTCCGGAAGATGGGCAGGCACTCTGCTGTCCTAGTTTCATGGGGAAGCTGCTTCTACCATTGGGGTGCCAGGACAGAGAAGAGCTTGGACTGGGCTGAGTGGGAGCTTCCCTCCCGTAGGGGTGGGAGGGCCAAGAGACCTGAGGTGGCAGAACGGAGTGCTCGGGTTGGGGTGTAGGGTTTGAGCATAGCCTGAAGATAGGGAGGGGCAGTTTATCTTGCTGTTCTGTAGGTAAGCAGTGGATGCGAGCTTTGACTGGAAGCCAGTGGAGTGTGCAGAGGAGCGGGGTGACATGAGAGAACTTGGAAAGGTTGAAAACCAGGCGGGCTGCAGCGTTCTGGATAAGTTTCAGGGGTTTGATGGCACAAGCTGGGAGCCCAGCCAACAGCAAGTTGTAGTAGTCCTGACGGGAGAGGATAAGTGCCTGGATTAGGACCGGCGCCGCTTCCTGTATGAGGTAGGGTCGTACTCTACGGATGTTGTAGAGCATGAACCTGCAGGAGCGAGTCACTGCTTTGATGTTAGCAGAGAACGACAGGGTGTTGTCCAGGGTCACGCCAAGGTTCTTTGCACTCTGGGAGGGCGACACTGGAGTTGTCAACCATGATGGAGAGGTCTTTGAGCGGGCAGGCCTTCCCCGGGAGGAAGAGCAGCTCCGTTTTGTTGAGGTTGAGCTTGAGGTGGTGGGCCGACATCCAAGTTGAGATATCTGCCAGGCACACAGAGATGCATGCTGCCACCTGGGTGTCAGAAGGAGTGAAGGAGAAAAGAAGTTGAGTGTCATCCACATAGCAATGATAGGAGAGACCATGTGAGGATATGACGGAGCTGAGTGACTTGGTGTATAGAGAGAAGAGGAGATGGCCTAGAACCGAGCCCTGAGGGACACCAGTAGTGAGAGTATGTGGTGCAGACAGATCCTCTCCACGTCGCCTGCCAGGTAGGATGCAATCCAAGAGTGTGTAGAGTCTGAGACGCTCAGCCCTGAGAGCGTGGAGAGGACGCTCTGATGGTTCACAGTGTCAAAGGCAGCGGATAGATCTAGCAGGATGAGAACAGAGGAGAGCGAGTCAGCTTTGGCAGTGCGGAGAGCGTCCGTGACACAGAGAAGAGCAATCTCGGTTGAGTGACCCGTCTTGAAGCGTGACTGGTTAGGGTCAAAAGATCGTTCTGAGAGAGATAACGAGAGAGTTGATCAGAGACAGCACACTCAAGTGTTTTGGAAAGAAAGAAGGGATACAGGTCTATACCCTTTGGCGTCAGATGAGTTGAGTGTTCGTTTCTTGAAGATGGGAGCGACTGGCCATTTTGAAGTCAGAGGGGACGCAGCCAGTGGTCAGGGATGAGTTGATGAGGGAAGTGAGGAATGGGAGAAGGTCTCCAGAGATGGTCTGGAGAAGGGAGGAGGGGATGGGGTCGAGCAGGCAGGTTGTCGGGAGGCCAGACCTCACTAGTCACAGGCTGTCATCTGGGGAGAAAGAGGTCAAGGCGTAGGGTAGTTCTGTGTGAGTGAGACCAGTGGACTCAATAGGCTGAGTGAATGAGTAGCGGATGTCATCAACCTTCTTTTCAAAGTGGTTGACAAAGTCGTCCGCAGAGAGGGAGGAGGGAGGGGTTGGAGGATTAAGGAGGGAGGAGAAGGTGGAAAATAGTTTCCTAGGGTTAGAAGCAGAAGCTTTGAAATTTAGAGTGGTAGAAAGTGGCTTTAGCAGTGGATACAGAGAAAATAGTAGTTGGAGAGAGAGAGCGAAGATTGCGACAGCGCATGACCATCTGGGTAGGGTCTGAGTGGTTAGGGTTGGAGGAAAGGGAGACAGAAAAGGAAACAAAGTAGTGATCAGAGATCTGGAGGGGGGTTTCAGTGAGATTAGTAGGCGAGCAGAACTAGTAAAGATGAGGTCAGGCGTATTGCCTGCCTTGTGAGTTGGAGGGGATTGGGAAAGGGTGAGGTCAAAAGAGGCAAGGAGGAGAAAGAGAGAGTTGGACAGAAATTAATCTAAGGCAGACGTCTGGAGGTTGAAGTCGCCAAGTATGAAGAGCAGTGAGCCATCGTCAGGAAATGAGCTTATCAAGGTGTCAAGCTCATTGAGGAACTCTCCAAGGGCACATGGTGGGTGATAGATGACAATAATGTTAAGCTTGAGTGGACAAGTGACAGTGACAGCATGGAATTCAAATGAGGAGATTGACCGGTGAGAGAGGGAGAAAAGAGAAAATCTCTATTTAGGAGAAATTAGTAGACCTGTGTTACCACCGCGACGACCAGATGCTCTTGGACTATGAGAGAAAACATAGTCAGATGAAGAAAGAGCAGCTGGAGTAGAAGTGTTCTCTGGGTTGATCCATGTCTCCATCAGGGCCAAAAAGTCAAGTGACTGAAGGGCAGCATAGGCTGAGATAAACTCTGCGTTCTTGACCGCAGATCGGCAGTTCCAAACGCTGCCAGAGACCCAGTATTCTACATGGGGTGTGCGCACAGGGTACACTAAATTAGAAGGGTTGCAGCCAAGCGGTGGGGAGCGTCTGTAAAGCCCTTTGATCCTGGTTGATGTGTCAACATCTATCTGCAAATTATGAGCAGTCAGCAGTTCACACACCAAGTAGGCCACTGTATAATGTATAACACAGTATAATGTTATAATTATACTACTGTATATGTACTGAGGTGCATTAAGGTGAATTGGTCTTCTGTACATATTTTGGAAAGTTAACTGAATTTCCTAAAGCCAAGGTTATGAGGAGGATATGTGAAACATATTGCCTCAGTGTTTTGCTCAAGCGTTTCCATGGCCTTTCCCAATGTGGGTCTTTCTATAAATAATGGGATCAAAATGTCAAAATAAAAAGATTTTTATGCTGTTCCACATGTGTACTTAGAGGAATAAAAGTGAATATATGCAAATTAGCCCATTACTCCACCTATACAACAACATAGGCCTAGGACTATACATCCTTTAAGCAGGGTTCATACAGACATTGGCAAGTCAAATTCAAGGACTTTCAGGGACTTTTTCAAGCACTAAATTGTAACTTTATACAATTGTATAATTTATATAATAGTACATATAGAGACTAATATAGAACCCCCTCCCCACAAAAAGCATGCAAAAACTGTAAAAGAAAAAGTAGGCCATTACCACTTTAAGAATAATGATTTTTTTTAGGCCTTGATATTCAAATTATTATTACATTCTAAAATATGTGTGAATAATGTGGACGTTGCCTGACTAAATAGATTGGATGCATGCATGGCCATTTTTCTGTAGCCTATGTGGCTGACTCAGGCACACATAATAAAACATAGACACACATAATAAAGCCATGAATAGCTAGGTGGCTAACGTTAGCTAGCTGGCTAACGTTAGCTAGGCTAGTGGGTTAAGGTTAGGGTTTAGTTTAGGAGTTAGGTTAAAGGGTTATGGTTAGGGGAAGGGTTAGCTAAAAGGGTTAGTGTTAGAGGAAGGGTTAGCTAAAAGGGTTAAGGTTAGGGGAAGGGTTCGCTAACATGTAGTAATTAGCTAAAATGCAAAAGTTGTCCGTATTCGAACTCACAACCTTTGGGTTGCTAGACGTTCGCGTTATACGTCTACCCATCCACCAAACCAACCACCCTACTTTAGTTTTTGCCTTACTAATTTGAGAATCCCGGATTTACTTTATTATGTTATGTCTAGTCTATGAGACAGGCTGCGCGAACACCTTTTGTCCAGCATTTGGGCTGTTGTTGCATTGCATGCACTATCACAACAGTTGTTCGTCACTTGGCTGTCATTCGGAAAATGTCTTCCTGGATCAGATGAGGATGTGTGAAAATGTCACGGCGTAATTAAACAGCTCGACACCAAATGCGCATCCAACAAGTGTTGTGCAAAATCATTGAAGAACCACTTTAATGACAGTATCGATTTAGGTATCAAGGTAAGGTGACTCTTTCAGTTATAAGCATTCGATTTTTCAATCGCATGTATTATTTTGGATTTGTGTGTTTTCACCAGGTAACATAAGGAGATACAAAATGTTAAGTAGTTACATTGCATTTCTGAGATCTCTATAAATATCTGACAGCTAGATCCATGATTCTTACAGGGTTCAAGTTCAATGTCTAATTAACTGATTCATTCTTAATATATGATATAAGGACAATTTACACTGCCCTAAATGCAAGGACAGAAAAGTAATGGTTTATGTCACACGATTTTGGACAAATCCGTCAAGACACCAACCATGATAAAGGGTTAAGCATATGTTTTAAATCAACTTGTGAATTTTATTGAATATAGCTATGATCCCTCATTATATCTTAATGTAATGGCATGAACAATTCTTATTAGACTTATCAACAGCTGTAACAAGTTCTCCAGTGTAAGAAATCCTCACTGGTACCCTAGTTTATAGAAAGACTGAACAACTACAACAGTCCTCTGTGGGTGGTATAGTCACAACGAGGGTGTGACATTGTATCAAAGTGCAGATTAGAACACCTTCCATCCTCCAGCCCAGTAATGACTCACCTGTAGAGTGTACATCTCTATTGTTCCTTTATTCATACACTCTTCCTGTTTCTACCGACTAGGGCTGTCCCCGACAAAATAAAATCTTGGTCGACCAAGAGTCGTCTGTTCTTTCGACCAAATGTTTCAACGTGTATTTTACGGCAGGCAGGCAGGCAGGCAGGCAGCAGGCAGGCAGGCAGGCAGGCAGGCAGGCAGGGCGGGCTCAGGTCCTCCGGGAGGGGAAGAAGAGAGAATTACTGTGGGCCCATCTGACGATACCCCCGGACAGGGCCAACCAGACAGGATATAACCCCACCCACTTTGCCAAAGCACAGCCCCCACACCACTAGAGGGATATCAACAGACCACCAACTTACTACCCTGAGACAAGGCTGAGTATAGCCCACGAAGATCACCTCCACCGCACGAGCCGAGGGGGTGCAAAACCGGACAGGAAGATCACGTCAGTGACTCAACCCACTCAAGTGCACTGAGCTTGTCCGATTGTTTAAGCACACTGCTAGATTAAATAATTAAGACACACAAATTACTAGAGGTAGTCCGATCGCAATTGATTTCATTGTGCCGGGCCTGCTCAGACTTGCTGCGCTGTGTTAAAAAAGAAAATGACAGCGAGTGACTGTGTGACTAGCACCCGTTGTCTCTCTCACCTCCCTGCTGCAGCGACCACCACACATTAACAGTGTTTATTGCTCTGTCCGTGTTGATGAAGCTGCAACATAATTTCAAAAATGTCTGACTGAAATGTTCTGTTACTGAAATCCCTCATTAGGAAAAACATTCCCTATTCCCTCAACCCTTGCTCTCTTTACGTGACACATGTATGCATCGCATGCACGTGACCAATAGGGCCTGACCTATAGCATATCGTAATCACATCAATAAATTGGTTATAACAAACTCCGAACACCGTAACAGCAAAATGGATGCAGAGGACTTGACAAATAAACTCAAAATGGGGGAATGTTTACTGGTTGCTCAGGAGGTAAAGGGGGAGTCAGATGTGTGGAATAAATTTAACTAGTTGTGGAAAATACTGGAGTTCAAGAAAAATAAGGTAAGGAGCAAGCGCTGAGTGCATATTATGTGTGTCAAATAGGTGCTGTTAGATTACAAAAAAAATTATTCTGACCGTTTGGAACAATGTGAACAACACTAAATAAATTATAAGCGTACCAGAGAGTCTGTTGTAATGTTTTTTTGTCAAGCCTTTATTACAGCAAAGACTAAAAACAGTCACATTTATTGGTGTTTATGAAAAATATAGGCCTAAGTATGTTATGGTATTAAGACTAAACAGGATGCGCGCTTAGGTCTACAGATCGATGGTGGTTATACAAGGCTGCTATACTAACCCTACTAATGATAATGACATTACTTATGATTGTAATGATGATCATAATAATAAAAGTAATGATAACAATAAGAAGGAGATCAAGAAAAAGGAGGGTTATTATTATTATTATTATTATAAATTAAAAAAATCAGACAATTTGGAACAGTGTAAACATTCAACAGCGTACTGATGTGTTTCAGCACCGTGGACAGCGACCACTATCCAACGCGAGAAATGCGCATATAAAATTATATTATTTTTATTAGTGTTGCACTATTGTTCTTACATAATATAACCATATACAATTTCAGTAGCACGTCTTAGAGTGATGGACTGTGCCATCCCTGTGGCCTCCGCAATGGATTAGTCCACTCAGACAGGCGCAAATCAGACAGGTGTCTTGTGCATCATGAAACACTATTTTGATATTTGCTACTGCTCGACTACAGAAATCTCGGTCGACCAACAGCCTATCGGCCAAACAATAGTGCTGGGCAGTGGTGGATAGTGCTGGATAGTGCTGGAGAGTGGTGGATAGTGCTGGAGAGTGGTGGATAGTGGTGGATAGTGCTGGGCAGTGGTGGATAGTGCTGGGCAGTGGTGGATAGTGCTGGGCAGTGGTGGATAGTGCTGGGCAGTGTAGGCTGAGGGGACTGGAAGGGAAGTGTCATCTGAGGGCAGGTGGGTCACAGACATGGAAACAGCTGGACGAGCTGTAGGATATGGTACTGCCGGATGGAGGGGTGTGTGTGTGTGTACGTGTGTACGTGTGTACAAGTGTGTGCGTGTGTAAACGTACGTGTGCATTCAGAAGTAGGGCAGCAGGTTATCTCTGGGGACTGTTGCTCTACCTTTCCAGTCTTCCTCTCCTCCTCCGCTCCTCTTTTCCTCCACTCCACTCCTCCCCTGCCCTAAGCACTCACACCTCCTCTGCACAGCTCACAGCAGCCCCGTAAGACAAGAGGACGTTGGTGCATCTCAACTGTTTTATTTTTAACACGCGGACATACTTCAATGCTGCCGCGCAGTCTCTGTCTCTCTCACTCTTTCACAGCACTCACTAGTCACTATACTTAATAGCAACTGAACTTGCTCACCTGCTCTCTCTTCTCTTCTCCTTTCCTGTCGTCTTTGGCTTTACGTGTTTATCAGCGGTGGTCTCTGACTTCCTCTTGCTCTATCCCTCTTCCTCTCCTCTCACAGCCTGATGGAAACCAAGAGGGAGGGCTCGCCACTGAAGCAGCTTAGCAAGTCACCCCTCTGCAGTCCGGCTCACCGGGGCTACCAGAGACAGTCTGAGCCCAAGCAGCAGGACAACAACTTGGTGGATTCAGGCTCTGTCCCGGGAACGCCACGGGATGCCCACAAACCGGCAGCTAACGGGGTGCTAGCCCAGGTGGACAGAGACAGGGACAGGGAGAGCGGGTTCCCCCTGAGGACAGACACTGCCCTGGTGAATGGGGACATGGGAGACAGGAGCACAGAGCAGAGTGGGGGTGACGCCCCTCCAAACACAAAGACCCATACTGAGACAGAGACCCATGCTGAGACAGAGACCCATGCTGAGACAGAGACCCATGCTGAGACAGAGACCCATGCTGAGACAGAGACCCATGCTGAGACAGAGACCCATGCTGAGACAGAGACCCATGCTGAGACATGCTGAGACAGAGACCTATGCTGAGACAGAGACCCATGCTGAGACAGAGACCCATGCTGAGACAGAGACCCATGCTGAGACAGAGACCCATGCTGAGACAGAGACCCATGCTGAGACAGAGACCCATGCTGAGACAGAGACCCATGCTGAGACAGAGACCCATGCTGAGACAGAGACCCATGCTGGGGAGGACAGTCCACCTACAGGAGACCCCCAACCGAAACAAAGGAAGGAGGAGGGCACTGTGGAGCAGAAGGTACCGGTAAGTGTCTGTGGGGTGGATGGTGTGTGTGTTACTATAAAGCTGTTACACTGAGTGGCCAGAGAGTTCATGTCAGCACAGTGTTGGTGTTTATGCATGTGTTTTCCCTGGCACATTTATGTATATCCCCATGTCAGATGTCTCAGGATATTTTCCCATTAGAGCTATGTGCTGTCTCATTTAACTGACTTCACAGTCTAATGTAACATCACAGCACCTTTACTACAGTACACACTAAAGTGTTCTGCTGCTGTCCTCATAGGAGAACCCTTTTTGGTTCCAGATAGAACCCGTTTTGGTTCCAGGTAGAACTCTTTTGGGTTCCATTTAGAACCCTCTGTGGAAAGGGGTTCTAAATGGGGTTCTTCAAACCAAAAGGGGTTCTTCAAAGGGTTCACCAATGGGGACAGCCAAATAACCCTTTTTGGTTCTAGATAGCACCATTTTTTCTAAGAGTATAGCCTTTGTCTCAGCAGTGTGTCTGGTTCTTACTGACTGAGTCTGCTACTGCTGGGGGTCATTTTCGGGACTGGACTGAACAGATGTCAAATGCTTCAGCAGCTGAAGAGTTGAGTTTAAACCACAGTAACCCTGTGGGAGGCCTTGCTGCTGCCTGGCTGAATGCCTCGTGATTATAAATATCTGTCTCTCAGATTAGTGTGTTCACTCAGCAGTGAATGAAACCCCCTATCTCTACATGGTAGTGTATGAGAGATTGGCTCTAGCTAGAGTTAAAGTGGATCCTATGCTTCATGGCTTGTCAGTCTATACTGTATCTCTGTTGGTTACTAGACATACTAAGCTAGCAGAGAGAGAAGAAGACCATGGGTGGTAGAAATGTTGTGTATTTTTGATAAAAGTAATACATAACGTACAGTAGAGCTGGGGGACAATTTCTCCGAGTGTGTTTTGTCAGTTTTAGCAGGACAGTGGACCTACAGTATACCACCATACCTAAAACGTATGCACGCATGATCATAAGTCGCATTGGAAAAAGGCATCTGCTAAATGGCATACATTACACTACTGGTCAAAAGTTTTAGAACACCTACTCATTCAAGGGTTTTTCTTTATTTTTACTATTTTCTACATTGTAGAATAACAGTGAAGACATCAAAACTATGAAATAACATATGGTATCATGTATTAACCAAAAAAGTGTTAAACAAATCCACATTTATTTTATATTTGAGATTCTTCAAATAGCCACCCTTTACCTTGATGACAGCATTGCACACGCTTGACATTCTCTCAACCAGCTTCATGAGGTAATCACCTGGAATGCATTTCAATTAACAGGTGTAATTTGTGTAATTTCTTTCCTTCTTAATGCATTTGAGCCAATCAGTTGTGTTGTGACAAGGTAGGGGGGGTGTATACAGAATATAGCCCTATTTGGTAAAATACCAAATAAACAAAGCGAAACGACAGTCCATCATTACTTTAAGACACCAGTAAGAAGAAGAGAATTGCTTTGGCCAAGAAACATGAGCAATGGACATTGGACTGGAGGAAATTTGTCCCTTGATCTGGAGTCCAAATTGGAGATTTTTTGTCCCAACCGCCGTGTCTTTGTGAGACGCGGTGTGGGTGAACGGATGATCTCCGCATGTGTATTTCCCACCGTAAAGCATGGAGGAGGAGGTGTTATGGTGTGGGGGTGCTTTACTGGTGACACTCTCTGTGATTTATTTAGAATTCAAGGCACACTTAACAAGCATGGCTACCACAGCATTCTTCAGCGATACGCCATCCCATCTGGTTTGGGCTTAGTGGGACAATCTGTTATTCAACAGGACAATGACCCAACACACCTCCAGGCTTTGTAAGGGCTATTTTACCAAGAAGGAGAGTGATGGAATGCTGCATCAGATGACCTGGCCTTGACAATCACCCGACCTCAACCAAATTGAGATGGTTTGGGATGAGTTGGACCACAGAGTGAAGGAAAAGCATCCAACAAGTGCTCAGCATATGTGGGAACTCCTTCAAGACTGTTGGAAAAGCATTCCAGGTGAAGCTGGTTGAGAGAATGCCAAGAGTGTGCAAAGCTGTCATCAAGGCAAAGGGTGGCTATTTGAAGAATCTCAAATATAACATATATTTTGATTTGTTTAACACTTTTTGGGTTACTACATGATTCCAAATGTGTTATTTCGTAGTTTTGATGTCTTCACTATTATTCTACAATGTAGAAAATAGTCAAAATAAAGAAAAACCCTTGAATGATAGGTATTCTAAAACTTTTGACCGGTAGTGTATATATTATTATTATTATTATTATTATTATTATTATTATTAGAAGCTGAGACAGAGAACCCTTGCAAGTGGTTTCTCAATGTCACGCCCTGGCTCTGGGACTCTGTTATGTTGAGCCAGGGTGTGTGGTTTCAATGTGTTTTGTGTGCTAGGGTGATTATCTAGTTCATTTGTTTCTATGTTGGCCGGTGTGGTTCTCAATCAGAGGCAACGTGTATCAGCTGTTGCTTGTTGTCTCTGATTGGGAACCATACTTAGGCAGCCTGTTTTCCACAGTGTGTTGTGGGATCTTGTTCCGTATGGTTTGTATTGTAACCAAGGACTTCACGTTTCGTATCGTTTATTGTTTTGGTTCGTTGTGTGTACAAGTAAAAAAGAATGTACGCTTATCACGCTGCGCCTTGGTCCGTTGCTTATGACGATCGTGACAGAAGATCCCACCATAACTGGACCAAGCAGCGTGTCCAGGAGCCAACGCCAGAGAGGACTCTAATGAATATCAACCTCGACTGGGTCAAGCAGCGTGAGGAGGAGAGAGGCTGGACTTTGGAGCAGAGGAGCGAGAGTCTGGCGAGAGCCATGGAGGCCTGGTCCACGGGGAGGAGAGACGCCCAGAAATTTTTTAGGGGGGGGGGGCTCACGCCGTGGATGACGGGGCAGCAGGAGGCCGGGATAGAGTGGTTCAGCGGGTTGGCAAAGGAGGCCGCCAGGTTACGGGAGTCACTGGTCACCAGGGGGAAGGAGAATGTAGAGGCACGGCGAGAGGTACTGGGGTGTGTTGCCAGTCCGGTCCGGCCCGTTCCTGATCCCCGCGTAGGGCCAGTGGTGTGTGTCCCCAGTACGGTCCGGCTTGTTCCTGTCCCTCGCACCGAGCCTGTGGTGCGCTTCGTCAACCCGGTTCGGCCCGTCCCTGCTCCCCGCACCAAGCCAATGGTGCGCGTCGTCAGCCCGGTCCGGCCCGTCCCTGCTCCCCGCACCAAGCCTGTGGTGCGCGTCGTCAGTCCAGCACAGCCCGTGCCTGTTCCACCGGTGCCTGATCCGGAACCGGTCAGCTGCTCCACTCCGGAGCTAGAGCAATCCGCTCCACCAGTGTTCAGTCCAGCTCCGGCCAGCAGGGCCAGACCGGACCAGGGGCGCTTTGGGGGGTTTGTTGGAGGGTGGGGATCAAGCCCGGAGCCGGAACCGCCTCCGAGGAGGAATGCCCACCCGGCCCTCCCCTGTTCGGTTTATGTTTGGCGCGGTCGCAGTCCGCGCCTTTGGGGGTGGGGTACTGTCACGCCCTGGCTCTGGGACTCTGTTATGTTGAGCCAGGGTGTGTGGTTTCTATGTGTTTTGTGTGCTAGGGTGATTATCTAGTTCATTTGTTTCCATGTTGGCCGGTGTGGTTCTCAATCAGAGGCAACGTGTATCAGCTGTTGCTTGTTGTCTCTGATTGGGAACCATACTTAGGCAGCCTGTTTTCCACAGTGTGTTGTGGGATCTTGTTCCGTATGGTTTGTATTGTAACCAAGGACTTCACGTTTCGTATCGTTTATTGTTTTGGTTCGTTGTGTGTACAAGTAAAAAAGAATGTACGCTTATCACGCTGCGCCTTGGTCCGTTGCTTATGACGATCGTGACACTCAATGTGTGAAACATTCAGCTTGCTTGGGTATTCTGCCAGTAAACACACACAAAGTTATACTTGACTAGTAACCCAATTTACAGTCAGTGTATTCGTGTGAATTTTGGGTGGAGAGTTCAAGGAAGGACTGCTTTGAGGTAGAATATTTGTAATACTCTGGTAAATGGTTTGAATGTTAATGAACTATTTTGTACATTGTGATAGAGAAGAATAATACATTCAAAGTAATAAATATGAGAATAAATATTTGTACAGAACGTAGCACAGAGCAAGACAACATTCCTCTTGAACAATACATGTGCGATACACACAAAGAATCCATCTATATCAATGAATAGAGGAAGCGAACATTCATTCATTCTCTGTTCAGCCCTAAGTTTCCTGCAGAATCTTGATTTCTTAAGTATGTGGGAGACACTCGTTGGTCGGTGTTTTATATACCGTACTGTTACAGTTCATTGGTCTCATTTCCCCCTTCCAGCCTTTCATTTTCTGTTTTGAGAGGCTCCCCCACACCACAGTCACACACACACACACTCCACAATAGCCCAATATACACAGGAACACATACTATAGTATGCCCAAACAGCACTCCTTATTAAAAGGAATTGTGGAACCCTCAATTAAAAGGAACATAAAACATAGATTGAACTAAAACCCTTTGTTGTCTTAATGTTAACATTGCTGTGTTGAAGCACAAGTGTTTGTTTAAAGCGATGCTGTTATAGATCTCTCTGGGGAAGTGTGTGTGTGTGTGTGTGTGTGTGTGTGTGTGTGTGTGTGTGTGTGTGTGTGTGTGTGTGTGTGTGTGTGTTTGTGTTTGTGTCCGCTATAACAAAATGGGATCCTAGTGCAGCATGAGGACAATGTGGGAGTGAGCGTGACCTTCAGGCTCAGAGTTCAATGCCTCCTTTACTCCCAATTGTCTAACCTGACTTGAACACAATATATATTATAATATACAAATATATTATTTGTCGAGGGGCCCTTTTCACCACCTCTAGCTATAGGAACATGGCGATGTCTATGAACTGTACATACAGTATGCATCTCCCCAACTTGTCCCACAGCCAACTGACACACCTCTCTCTTCTGTGTTTCAGGAGACCAACGAACAGAAGCTGCACAAGATCGCCAATGAGCTCCTGAAGACAGAGAGGGCCTACGTCACACGGCTCAACCTGCTGGACCAGGTGAGTGTGTCCCACTGTCCGTCCAGGGTTCTACCAGTAGGTAGAAAACGTTTTGATACTGTGAGAAACAGGGAGGTATTACCTGAACTTGTCCAATAACAGAATGTCGGTGTGATATGGTGTGTCCTACTGAACAATGACCCAGGTCTACCTCAGCTTGAAAAGAAGGCAGTGTTCATTATTATGATCAATTCAGTGTGGTTTACCTCACCTGGCCATGTTGCGCCACCATCCAGGTGTTCTGTGCCAAGCTGATGGAGGAGGCTCTGAAGGGCACGTTCCCTGTGGACGTGGTGAAGAACATCTTCTCCAACATCTCCTCCATCAACACCTTCCATAGCCAGTTCCTGCTGCCAGACCTGGAGAAACGCATGGGAGAATGGTAAGCTCCTCATGACTGACCGGCCACGGAGTTATAGACTCTGAACACAGACCCATTCAAGTGCATGCACTCACAGATTTCACCCCTGAGAATGGATGAAAATACGATACAAAACAATATTGCTACGATAAGTAACAATTCTGCCTCTGTGACTCATTCAGAATCAGATTCACTCAGATGTAACTTCACACAGATGTAATAAAGTTGGGGTTTTTAAATGATTGTCCGTTGAAAAATCATGGTTGAGTCATCCTCCACTTGGTGGAGTTTCAGGTTAAGGGATGGTTACCTTGAGGTCCCTATCTAACTGTCACTCCTCCCTACAGGGAGTCCACCCCTCGCTTGGGGGACATCCTGCAGAAGCTCACGCCCTTCCTGAAAATGTACGCTGAGTACGTGAAGAACTTTGACAAGGCCATGGAGCTGCTTAAACAGTGGACGGACCGCTCTCCACAGTTTAAATCCACCATCCAGGACATACAGGTACCAGTGTAGATTCGAAACACTAGCCTGATTCAGAAGTGCACAGGTATGCAGTTGTGGATTAACACATTGTTTGTATAGGAATGATATAATTCCATAGCAATTCTAGGAATTACATGATCTGAGTTTGGGACTGTAGCACTGCAATAATTGACCTGTGGATATACAGATTTCTGCTGCAAGGTCTCATTTGGTTTGCAAAGAGAAAGACAGAAATCTATCTATATCTCACTATTGATTTGTACTATGAATAGTAATCATGGAATGGAACAATTGAATAATTTATGGTTGTGTCAACTGGTCCTGTTGAATGGATATTCCTCTAACAATTGTGTGGTTTTACTTTTAAGCCTTGAACCTTGAAGTGACAGTGGACTGTTTTGTTTTTTGTGTTTCAGAGTCAGGAAGCGTGTGGCAGTTTGACGCTGCAGCACCACATGTTGGAGCCGGTACAGAGAGTTCCCCGTTACGAGATGCTGCTCAAAGACTACCTGAAGAAACTGCCTCAGGACGACCCCGACCACCGAGATGCAGAAAGTGAGTACAACACTGGAAAGTGCTTTTTACTATTCATAATCTGTACACAGTAGAGCAGGAGTCCATGTAACTCGAAATACTTTCTTGTGATTATAATTGTGTATTTACTTCACATAAAAAAAGACATTTGAAACCTCCATTGCCAAGTATAAACATTTTCCTTACATTGAAAACACACAAAACTGTTGTTTACAATTGTATAATTTTTTTATTACATAATACATTTCATTTTCATAAGGTCAAAGTTCATCATTCCTTATTTCCATGTTCCTCAGAGTCATTGAACATCATCGCCATGGCAGCCACACACTCCAACAGTGCCATTCGAAAATCTGTGAGTATCTGCAGCACACCACTCTTATAATCTGAAATAAAATCAGGGCCTGTATTCAAAAAGCTTCTCAGAGTAGGAGTGCTGATCTGGGATCAATTTTGCCTCTATGATTTTTACGAATAAGATTATATGGACAAGGGGGACCTGATCCTAGATCAGCACTTCTACTCAGATGCTTTTTGGCTAGTGCTTGAACCCAACCAAGCTTTTTGAATCCAACTAAAACCCCTTCCCTTCTCAGGAGAATCTGAAGAAGCTGCTGGAGATCTATGAGAGGTTAGGGGAGGAGGAGGACATCGTCAACGCCTCCAATGAGTTCATCAAGGAGGGACACATCCTGAAGCTGGCTGCCAGGAACACCTCGGCTATGGAGAGATACCTCTTCCTGGTGAGAAACACACACACACATGCAATGCATGCACGCGCACGCACGCACGCACGCACGCACACACACACACACATTTCACTTAATCTCTGTACTCAACCAAGTCTGGAGCAATATATTAGCAAAACAAGCATTAATCATAGGTGTTTCTTTGTTCCCCTTCAGTTCAACAACATGCTGTTGTACTGCGTGCCCAAGTTCAGTCTGGGAGGGCCCAAGTACACAGTACGCACCCGCATCGGCATCGAGGGCATGAAGGTACTAGGGACCACCAACGAGGACTACCCCCACACCTTCCAGGTGTCTGGCAAGGAGAGGACTCTGGAGCTTCAGGCCAGGTAAGCTGTTACATCCTACAGAGCCATACACACAGGTAACTGCCATAATAAAGGAAACACCAACATAAAGTGTCTAATAGGGTCACCACGAGCCACCAGAACAGCTTCAATGCACCTTGGCATCGATTCTACAAGTGTCTGGAACTCTATTGAAGGGATGCGACAACATTCTTCCACAAGAAATTCCATCATTTGGTATTTTATTGATGGTGGTGGAAAATGCTGTCTCAGGTGCCACTCCAGAATCTCCCATAAGTGTTCAATTGGGTTAAACCCCCTATGCTCCATTGAGGAATACCTGGAATAGTATAAAGTAATCCTTCTTCCCCCACCCCCCATTAAATCTTTATTTTTATTTTTTTTTATCATAAGTTGAATGCACCAATTTGTAAGTCGCTCTGGATAAGAGCGTCTGCTAAATGATGTAAATGTAAAAATGTAAATGAAACCCCTCTTTCTAAGTCACTGAGATCTCTTCTTCTAGCCATGGTAGCCAAAATAATGGGCAACTGGGCATTTTTATAAACGACCCTAAGCGTGATGGGATGTTAATTGCTTAATTAACTCAGGAACCACATCTGTGTGGAAGCACCTGCTTTTAATATACTTTGTATCCCTCATTTAGTGTTACCTTTATTTTGGCAGCTAGCTGTAGATAACAGCCATAGTTCTACTCCACCCTATAGCCATATGTATAAAAAAACATTTACTGCCATGATTCTCAGAATAACTGTATACTACAGTCCCACACCCTATTGCTAACAATCTCCACTTGGCACAGACAGAACAGGACGGCCACCCCTCAGAGCCTGCTTCCTGCCTTTCTAGGGAGTTTTTCCTAGCCACCGTGCTTCTACATCTGCATTGCTTGCTATCTGGGGTTTTAGGCTTGGTTTCTGTATAAGCATTTTGTAACAATTGCTGTTGTAAAAAGGGCTTTCTAAATACATTTGATTGATTTGATTGACTATAATTTGGCCACATCCCTCTGCTAACCCTATGGGGTTTTAAGTGTATGAGAAGTACACTATTACAGCTCATCATAGTCCCGTGTGGCTCAGTTGGTAGAGCATGGTGCTTGTGGGTTCGATTCCTACGGGGAATCAGTACAAAAAAGTACGAAAATGAATGACACTCACTACTGTAGGTCGCTCTGGATAAGAGCTTCTGCTAAATGATGTAAATGATAAACAGTAGTGTAACATTCCATTCCATACAGATGTAGGATCTTAATTTGATCCCTCTTTTGTTGCTGAGAATGTTGCTGCACCTCAGGAAATGCAGATGAGCTTTGTGATGTACATAAATTCACTGAAAACCCACACTGTTATATTAACAGTATTGCACTTTTCATGTAGCCTACTTTTGGCCGGATAATAGCCTAACCACTGATCAAGCTACATTATGGACTAATGTTTATTTCATTTTTCAGCTCCGAACAAGACAAGGACAATTGGATAAAGGTACATGATCACATTCTTATTGATTTACACTATTATTTTATTTCCTGTATGTTCAGTAGATTTGGGTGTGTATTGCTGACCATGTTTCTGTCTGTGTGTGTGTGGCCTGCAGGCTTTTCGGGAGACCATTGAGATCTTCCATCAGAAGAATGAGACATTCAAGTCAGCCTCCAAAGATGTGGAGGAAGTGTCGGTGAGTGTCATCACAATGAACATGACCTCTGACTCTTCTTGTGCACTGAATGAGTGTCAAAGATCCTCCTGTGCCTGAGCTACATGTGTCGGTGTGTATTGTTCTCTAGACGGCAGAGCTGGGGAAACGTGCCCCTCGCTGGATACGGGACAATGAGGTGACAATGTGTATGAAGTGTAGAGAGCCCTTCAATGCTCTGACGCGACGGAGACACCACTGTCGAGCCTGTGGCTATGTGAGTGAAGCGTCCGCTCGACACCATGCTCGACCTCTCTCTATCTCAGAACCCATTATAACATGTTTATACTCAATATATAGCACCCATTATAAAATGTTAATACTATTTGTGATGCTCAACCCATTTGACTGCTGGCTGTTTGGCTAGTTTACACTGTATTGTTCGTTCAGTGTTAGACTGATGTCTTCTGTTCCTGTATCAGGTTGTGTGTTGGAAGTGCTCAGACAACAAGGTGGCCCTGGAGTACGACAGCAACAAGATCAACAAGGTGTGTAAGGACTGCTACTCCATCCTGACTGGAGAGGAAAAGGCAGAGGGCAAGAAGAAGGGCATTCTGGAGGTGAGGGGCACACACACACACACACACACACACCTGCGTCTGCATATATTCTGTGTCTAAACAGCACTCCTCTGTCAACAGATTGAGGCCGCCCAGTTCTCCGGCAGCAGCATCATGTGTGGCTTCCTGCAGTACTGTGAGAAGAACAAGCCCTGGGGGAAGGTGTGGTGCGTCATCCCAGAGAAGGAGGCGTTGGTGCTCTACCTCTACGGAGCGCCACAGGTTAGTCAAACACATAATGTGGAGCAGTGGATGCTTCTGAGGGACGGCTCATAATAATGGCTGGAACAGAGCGAATGGAATGGCATCAAACCATGTTGTTTGATGTATTTGAACCATTCCACTCATTCTGCTCTAGCCATTACCATGAGCCTGTCCTCCCCAATTAAGGTGCCACCAACCTCCTGTGATGTGGACATTGTCAATCTTAAACATGCAAAGACATCCACATTCTCTATAACCATATTTGTTATGAATGGGGGCAAGAGTTTTCCTTCACCCTGTGACCTGATTAGCTGAATAGGAGAAACTCCTCTGTACCTAGTTACAATATAAATTATCTCCCCCTCCTCTCTCAGGATGTGAAGGCCCAGTCCACTATCCCTCTTCTGGGTTACTCTGTGGAGGACAGCCCCCGGCCTGCCGACCTTCCAGCCAGCTTCCGTTTGTCACAGTCCAAATCAGTCCACAGCTTCGTGGCCGAGAGCGATGAGCTGAAACAGCGCTGGCTCAAGGTGATCCGGGTGGCCGTGACTGGGGAGGTGCCCGAGTGCCCCCCTCCCAACGATGCCACGGGCACCATGGCCGTGGACGGCGCCCAGGAGACAAGCTCAGACAGCACCTAACTGTGTGGTGTGGCATGGAACAACTGAAGACCGCCAGAGACCTATGTGCATTTATGCACACACACACACAGTCCCATGCTACCCTCATGGACACACACACACACAGTCCCATGCTACCCTCATGGACACACACACACACACAGTCCCATGCTACCCTCATGGACACACACACACAGTCCCATGCTACCCTCATGGACACACACACACACAGTCCCATGCTACCCTCATGGACACACACACACACACAGTCCCATGCTACCCTCATGGACACACACAAGAACAGTCCCATGCTACCCTCATGGACACACACACACACAGTCCCATGCTACCCTCATGGACACACACAAGAACAGTCCCATGCTACCCTCATGGACACACACAAGAACAGTGTGGAAACTCAGTGCTGGATAAGCTGCCTTCCCTTTCCATTCCACGCCTCTCCTCCTTCCCTGAGTGGATTCTACCAATCATAAGCGAGTGCAGGATTGGACCGCACAGCTCCACCAATAGAGCTGTGCATTCCAATCATCATTAGAGTGAAGCAGGGAGGAGGGGACCTCAGGACGGTCTCTGCTTCACTCAGACAGACAGGCACTATTCAGGGAAACCTGCCTGGGGCATCTTGTACCCTTTACTGGGGATGTCTGCAGGCCCAACAGACCTCCAGCTTCATAGACATGGGTCTGCTGATGTGATTCAAGAGGACTGGCTGTCTGTACCAGGGTTGGGGTCAATTCCAGTCATTTTCAGAAGTGCACTGAAATTCCAATTCCAATTATCTTCAATGCTATTCAATTGGGAATATTTAGAATTGGAATTTGGTTTACTTTCTGAATTGACCCCAACCCTGGTCGGTACATTGCATCAGCCCTGTGTACCTGTACATATGTGTTACTCCGTTTCCCCTGACAGGAACAAATGCATTGTTATGTACAGAGAAGCAATGCTCACCATGTGTTGATATCAGAGATGTTGATCCTGTACAATGTGTAAAACAAAGTATTAGCAGTGTTTCTGATTTTTTTTTTAAACGAACAGACAGACTTCTGAATGAACAGTGTTTAAACTAAAGGGTCCTGTCTTAGGACAGTATCACAAGGAAAGTTATCAGTCCTCACTTCTCCAATCATGTAGTTTCACATCACAGTAGCCATGTTCTACTGGCAAGAATAGAATCAATCTAACAAAGTTCCTCTAGTGCCTGGGTCAACGTCCCAGAAAGACTTTAGCAATTAGCCAGAATAGCAATCGAGAGGATCACTCTACACTTTCCAATTGCTGTAAGTAACCCCATAAGCAAACGGGAAATAATGCAGAAGCGCTCTCCCATCCAGAACAGGCTTCAATCCAAACAGGCTAAGGGATGGCCTCTCCAGCCAGGCTAGGCATTCTGGGTACTCTGCTGTACTCGTCCTAAGCTGGATCAACCTTCCTCGCCTTGGAATCCAAGAGAGTCACAAAGTGACCTCTTAAGCAACCACAACCTGGCCAGAGTAATGTGTTGAAAAGTATAAAATTGTACTACTGCTGTGATCATTAGAGGAGCCTTTCTACTCTAATCCTGTACAGTATGAATGAAGACAGACAGACAGACATCCATAGGGCAGTTTTGAGGATGAGAATGAATGGTTGTACAGGTGTAGTTACCTATCCCCACAGCCCTTTTGTAGACATGTATATATCGGAATATAGAATATACATACAGTACATTTATATACAGTGGGGTTTTCTATGTAGCTGACCCATAGGGATGACGGTAGACTACCATGGACCCAGATCCTGTGTCTTACATAGGGACATCACCCAACTAAGCGGCACAATCAGGTGGGGAAAGAAATGTAAATGTTTTAAATACTGTATCTAATTTTATTTAAAAAGTAATTTATAGAATATGCGCATGATGATTTAGAAGATTTAGCACAAAAGTAATATCCCTCAAATTTCCATGTGTTCTGTCCGATTCAGCCGAGCCATGTTGACTAACAGATTCACTAAGGTTTTTTGTCTCTCAATGTATACCATAGATAGTTGTCCCTCAATCTCTAGTAAGGTGTCACTCACTCCATCCAATGATTGCAGAGTCCTTTGTGTTGAATGGAATGGGGTAATGTGCCTATAACCTCTGTTCATATGTTCTACTGTTCCAATCCTCTGTTCAATGCCGGTGCTTGTCTGAGTGTGACATGGCCTCAATGCACCTCTCCAATCTCCATTCAATCTCAGTTCTGATACAGACAATGAAGAAGAGCACAACAATCCTGTTTTATGAGATCTGAACGTAAAACCAGATTTTGGACATTTGTTCACTCTTCCGATCCCCCTCCTCCATTCCTCCAAGGTTTGAGAATCTACGCACTTTACGGTCTTAATATAAAGTGTACCTTGTAAAAAAAATAAAGCAAGTTTAAGTATTATGGAAGTGTGTCTCTGGTTGCTTTGTGAACCAATTCTACTTTCACTACTGGGCATGTTGGGCTTTGCAGGAAGTGCAGAGGCCTGTTTTGGTTCCCTTTCCTGCTTCCTCTGACCATAAGTCACTTTTTATTTTTATTTAACCTTTATTTAACCAGGTAAGCCAGTTGAGAACAAGTTCTCATTTACAACTGCGACCTGGCCAAGATAAAGCAAAGCAGTGCAATAAAAACAACACAGAGTTACATATGGAATAAACAAAAATGTACAGTCAATAACACAATAGAAAATCTATATAGTGTGTGCAAATGTAGTAAGTTATGGAGGTAAGGCAATAAATAGGCCATAGTGCAAAATAATTACAATTTAGTATTAACACTGGAGTGATAGATTTGAGAGCGAGAGTTGCACCCCTTCTCAAAAAACCAACACTCGATCCCTCTGATGTCAACAACTACAGACCAGTATCCCTTCTTTCTTTTCTCTCCAAAACTATTGAGCGTGCCGTCTTTAGCCAACTCTCTTGCTATCTCTCTCAGAATGACCTTCTTGATCCAAACCAGTCAGGTTTCAAGACTGGTCATTCAACTGAGACTGCTCTTCTCTGTGTCACGGAGGCTCTCCGCACTGCTAAAGCTAACTCTCTCTCCTCTGCTCTTGTCCTTCTAGACCTGTCTGCTGCCTTTGATACTGTGAACCATCAGATCCTCCTCTCCACCCTCTCCGAGCTGGGCATCTCCGGCGCGGCTCACTCTTGGATTGCGTCCTACCTGACCGGTCACTCCTACCAAGTGGCGTGGCGAGAAGCTGTCTCCGCACCACGTGCTCTCACCACTGGTGTCCCCCACCGCTCAGTTCTAGGCCCTCTCCTATTCTCCCTATACACCAAGTCACTTGGCTCTGTCATATCCTCACATGGCCTCTCCTATCATTGCTATGCTGATGACACACAACTAATCTTCTCCTTTCCCCCTTTTGATAACCAGGTGGCGAATCGCATCTCTGCATGTCTGGCAGACATATCAGTATGGATGACGGATCACCACCTCAAGCTGAACCTTGGCAAGACGGAGCTGCTCTTCCTCCCGGGGAAGGACTGCCTGTTCCATGATCTCGCCATCATGGTTGACAACTCCGTTGTGTCCTCCTCCCAGAGTGCGAAGAGCCTTGGCGTGAACCTGGACAACACCCTGTCGTTCTCCGCTAACATCAAGGCGGTGACCCGATCCTGTAGGTTCATGCTCTACAACATTCGGAGAGTACGACCCTGTCTTACACAGGAAGCGGCACAGGTCCTAATCCAGGCACTTGTCATCTCCCGTCTGGATTACTGCAACTCGCTGTTGGCTGGGCTCCCTGCCTGTGCCATTAAACCCCTACAACTCATCCAGAATGCCGCAGCCCGTCTGGTGTTCAACCTTCCCAAGTTCTCTCATGTCACCCCGCTCCTCCGCACACTCCACTGGCTTCCAGTTGAAGCTCGCATCTGCTACAAGACCACGGTGCTTGCCTACTGAGCTGTGAGGGGAACGGCACCTCCGTACCTTCAAGCGCTGATCAGTCCCTACACCCAAACGAGGGCATTGCGTTCATCCACCTCTGGCCTGCTGGCTCCCCTACCTCTGCGGAAGCATAGTTCCCACTCAGCCCAGTCAAAACTGTTCGCTGCTCTGGCACCCCAATGGTGGAACAAGCTCCCTCACGACGCCAGGACAGCGGAGTCACTCACCACCTTCCGGAGACATTTGAAACCCCACCTCTTTAAGGAATACCTGGGATAGGATAAAGTAATCCTTCTACCCCCCCCTTTACCCCAAACCAAACCCCCCCCCCCCCCCAAAAAAAAAAAAACATTGTAAAGTGGTGATCCCACTGGCTATAAGGTGAATGCACCTATTTGTAAGTCGCTCTGGATAAGAGCGTCTGCTAAATGACGTAAATGTAAATGTAAAATGTGCAGAAGATGATGTGCAAATAGAGATACTGGGGTGCAAATGAGCAAAATAAATAACAATGTAAATAACAATATGGGGATGAGGTAGTTGGGAGGGCTAATTACAGATGGGCTGTGTACAGGTACAGTGATCGGTAAGCTGCTCTGACAACTGATGCTTAAAGTTAATGAGGGAGATAAGTGTCTCCAGCTTCAGAGATTTTTGCATACTAAGGGTGGGTGTTGGGTGACCAATGAGCTAAGATAAGGCGGGGATTTGCCTAGAAGGGATTTATAGATGACCTGGAGCCAGTGGGTTTGGCGATGAATATGTAGTGAGGACCAGCCAACGAGAGCGTACAGGTCACAATGGTGGGTAGTATATGGGGCTTTGGTGACAAAACGGATGGCACTGTGATAGACTACATCCAGTTTGCTGAGTTGAGTGTTGGAAGCTATTTTGTAAATGACATCGCCGAAGTCAAGGATCGGTAGGATAGTCAGTTTTACGAGGGCATGTTTAGCAGCATGAGTGAAGGAGGCTTTGCTGCGAAACAGGAAGCCGATTCTAGATTTAACTTTGGATTGGAGATGCTTAATGTGAGTCTGGAAGGAGAGTTTACGGTCTAACCAGACACCTAAATATTTGTAGTTGTCCACATATTCTAAGTCAGACCCACCGAGACTAGTGATTCTAGTCGGGCGGGCGGGTGCAAGCAGCGTTCGATTGAAGAGCATGCATTTAGTTTTACTAGCGTTTAAGAGCAGTTGGAGGCCACAGAAGGAGTGTTGTATGGCATTGAAGCTCGTTTGGAGGTTTGTTAACACAGTGTCCAATGAAGGGCCAGATGTATACAAAATGGGGTCGTCTGCGTAGAGGTGGATCTGAGAGTCACCAGCAGCAAGAGCGACATCATTGATATACCGGTACACAGAGAATAGTCGGCCAGAGAATTGAACCCTGTGGCACCCCCATAGAGACTGCCATTGGTCCAGACAACAGGCCCTCCGATTTGACACATTGAACTCTATCTGAAAAGTAGTTGGTGAAGCAGGCGAGGCAGTCAGTTGAGAAACCAAGGCTATTTAGTCTGCCAATAAGAATGCGGTGATTGACAGAGTCAAAATGAGTCCTGTTACAAAAGATGAAACATACCCCTCAAACTCAACTCTGGACCTCAAAGCCAGTTCCACCGCTTTTTTAAATCGTTCCCCTCTAATCACGGACTGATTTACACCTGGCACACCAGGTGGGTGCAATTAAGTATCAGGGAGAACAAAAAACCGGACCTCGTAGGGTAAGAGTTGAATACCCTTGCGATAAACCAATAAATCATGACATTATTTTAGAAAATTATTTTTATTTCACTATAGAAACAAAAATAAAATCCATTATACCAAAAGCGATGATCAACAGGTAATATTTCATTAGCGCGTTTTTGTGAAGCAAATTACATTTTTCTTCTGTTTTCTTGAAAAGCGCTCTTGGGCAAGCTACATCAGTCAGACTAACATTGCACAGCACCTGTCTTCGTCAACATGGTCATAGAGTATGAACTGTGACTGGGGCCTGGATCAGGAGAGAGGGAGGACAATGGAGGCCAGTAGAGTAGACTGGAGTGAATAGGGGAAGTCGAGTCTGGTTTAAATAGAATCCTCAAGATCAGGTGTGTGGTTCTGCAACGTCCATATCCTTGGCCTGGTATACTCTTTAGGTGAACATTGTTCCGCAGATATTAGGTCATGTTTGTTGTATGGGTCGTTGAGTGTTTCAGCTCTTGGGCTGGCGGAGCAGGCCTCGTATCCTGCGTACCAGGGCCTGGATGAAGGTGGAACGGGAGCGGACCTGGCTGTACAGCCCCTCCACCTCCTGCAACTTCCTCTGTAGAGCCTCACCAAAGCCTGCCCCCATGTCACTCTGCAGCTGGAGACACACAGGGGAGAGAAGAGTCAGTCTTACTGAAAACTAACTCACACAACACTTGAAAACGGTCTGCCACTCTGAAGGTAAGCACACACAAATCCTATGCCTGCATCCTCATCCCTGCAGATTTTCAAAGAACTGTCTTTCTCACCACTGTTAGTGTAATCTAGTCACCACAGGATCAAGGCTCTTACCTGCTCCAGGTCTTGCTGGCTGACTCTGGACAGACCCAGGGCACGTCCAAACGAGTCTGGGGAACACAGGAGAAACACCATTTAAGTCACATTTTCTGCTGTCATCTGGAGTAGGTGGAAGTTGCCCACTGATACAGGGTCAGATATTATTTCATTCACCTCATGATCAAGGTTAGGCTTGAGGGTAGGGTTATCGTATCCTGGATCTGTGATTAAGGGCGACTTCTACCAAAAGCCAGTCCATCTTAATATCCAGACAGGATTATTTGAGCCTGGGGAGAGTCTCACCGTCTGTCAGGCGTGATCTGTAAGCGCTGGCTCCAGGCATCAGGGAGTCCTTGGGGTCGGTGGGGGTGCAGTACAACAGGTAGTACTCCAGGTGACGCCACAGCACAAACAGGCAGGTCTCAATCACATCTCAGGTGTGGTTAGGTCAAGGCATTTCTCACATTCTCACCACTTACTATGACAGCATTTCCAAAGAAATGTTCAATTTTACATTTACATGAACTAGCTACAGCTCAGGACATTCCAACAATCATACAGCACATTCAGAAAGTATTCAGACCCCTTGACCTTTTCCACATTTTGTTACGTTACAGCCTTATACTAAAATTGATTAAATTGTTTTTATTTCTCATGAATCTACACATTCACCCCATAATAACAAAGCAAAAACAGGTTTGTAGAAATGTTTGAAAATGTATATAAAAAAGAAAATGTAAATATCACATTTACATAAGTATTCAGACCCTTTACTCAGTACTTTGTTGAAGCACCTTTGGCAGTGATTACAGCCTCAAGTCTTCTTGGGTATGACACTACAAGCTTGGCACACCTGTATTTGGGGAGTTTCTCCCATTCTTTTCTGTAGATCCTCTCAAACTCTCAGGTTGGATGGGGAGCGTCGCTGCACAGCTATTTTCAGGTCACTCCAGAGATGTTCGATCGGGTTCAAGTCCGGGCTCCGGCTGGGCCACTCATGGACAATCAGAGACTTGTCTCGAAGCCACTCCTGCGTTGTCTTGGCTGTGTGCTTAGGGTCGTTGTCCTGTTGGAAGGTGAACCTTCGCCCCAGTCTGAGGTCCTGAGCACTCTGGAGCAGGTTTTCATCAAGGATCTCTCTGTACTTTGCTCCGTTCATCTTTCCCTCGATCCTGACTAGTCCCCCAGTCCCTGCCGCTGAAAAATATCCCCACAGCATGATGCTGCCACCACCACGCTTCACTGTAGGGATGGTGCCAGGTTTCCTCCAGACGTGACGCCAGCCATTCAGGCCAAAGAGTTCAATCTGGGTTTCATCAGACCAGAGAATCTTGTTTCTCATGGTCTGAGAGTCTTTAGGTGCCTTTTGGCAAACTCCAAGCGGGCTGTCAAATGCCTTTTACTGAAGAGTGGCTTCCATCTGGCCACTCTACCTTAAAGGCCTGATTGGTGGAGTGCTGCAGAGATGGTTGTCCTTCTGGAAGAGATGGTTGTCCTTCCAAACTTCTTCCATTTAAGAATGATGGAGGCCACTGTGTTCTTAAGGACTTCAATGCTGCAGACATTTTTTGGTACCCTTCCCCAGAACTGTGCCTCAACACAATCCTGTCTCGGAGCTCCACAGACAATTCCTTCGAGCTCATGGCTTGGTTTTTGCTTTGACATGCACTGTCAACTGTGGGACCTTATATAGACAGGTGTGTGCCTTTCCAGATCATGTCCAATCAATTGAATTTACCACAGGTGGACTCCAATCAAGTTGTAGAAACATCTCAAGGATGATCAATGGAAACAGGATGCACCTGATCTCAATTTCGAATAAAGTTGTAGAAACATCTCAAGGATGATCAATGGAAACAGGATGCACCTGATCTCAATTTCGAATAAAGTTGTAGAAACATCTCAAGGATGATCAATGGAAACAGGATGCACCTGATAAGGTATCAGATAAGGTATGTTTTTTTTATTTTTTAATAAATTTGCAAATATTTCTAAACCTGTTTTCGCTTTGTCATTATGGGGTATTGTGTGTAGACTGATGAGGAAAATAATTAATTTAATCAATTTTAGAATAAGGCTGTAAAGTAACAAAATGTGGAAAAAATTATCCTACAACATTTACATTTAAGTCATTTAGCAGACGACTTGCAAATTGGTGCATTCAATTTATGATAGCCAGTGGGACAACCACCCTTTTGTTTTTTTTAAATGGAGTAGAAGGATTACTGTTATACTATTCCAGGTATTCCTTAAAGAGGTAGGGTTTCAAGTGTCTCCGGAAGGTGGTCAGTGACTCCGCTGTCCTGGCGTCTAAATCAAAACCACCCTGAGATGAACCCTAAACATTTAGCTCGGTCCCTTTACATAACCCCTGCACAGCAGTCTGGTCTGGTGTGGCTAAGTGTGATTTAATCTGGCTAAATCTGGTTTCGTCTGGTTCATTTTAATATGGTAGGATACAGGAGCAGAGGGCCAGCAGCTTAGCTCTGTTGTTGATGAGCTGGACCAGGCGTCTCTTGGCCAGGAGGCTCCTCTGGACCGAGGAGATCTTCTCTACTCCAGTACCAGACACCAGGGCCGCGCACAGCTACAGACCAAACAGAGAGACGGGGATAGAGAGGAGGGTTAGGGCTGAGGCACTTTATCACCTTGTCAATAGGTTGAATGTGTGTGTGTGTGTTACCTCTTTGAGCTACTCAGGGGGTAGCTTCTCCAGGCTCTGCAGCTTTCCCAGAGCTTGTCTGTGGCTCTGGTGGAAGCGGAAGAAGTCTGCAGCGCTGTTCTTCAGCAGGAACAGCACCAGGCCCAGGCTGGGCACACGAGAGTACGGGGCCGAGGGCAGGGCCAGGTCTGAGACAGGGCAGGAGAGGAGTTTAGTCATACACAGGCAGGGGAGATGAGAGGAGCATGTGAATTAACCCAAAGACTGATTGGTGTGTGCAATCTGTAAGTAAAGGCTCTCCAACCCTGTTCCTGGAGAGCTACCCTCCTGTAGGTTTTAACTCCCAACCCTGTTCCTGGAGAGCTACCCTCCTGTAGGTTTTAACTCCAACCCTGTTCCTGGAGAGCTACCCTCCTGAAAGTTTTAACTCCAACCCTGTTCCTGGAGAGCTACCCTCCTGTAGGTTTTAACTCCAACCCTGTTCCTGGAGAGCTACCCTCCTATAGGTTTTAACTCCAACCCTGTTCCTGGAGAGCTACCCTCCTGTAGGTTTTAACTCCAACCCTGTTCCTGGAGAGCTACCCTCCTGTAGGTTTTCAGTCCAACCCTAATCTATCGCACCTGATTCAAATAATTAGCTGGTTGATAAGCTGAACCAGGTTAGTTACAACTGGGGTTGGAGTGAAAACATACAGAAGGGTAGCTCTCCAGGAATGGGGTTGGAGTCAAAACCTACAGGAGGGTAGCTCTCCAGGAACATGGTTGGAGAGCCCTGGTGTAAGTCATGCCTACACCAACACAGAAAAGTGTGAGGCAGGTTAGGGTTAGCTCCCACACATGAATCATGCGCACACAGACACAGTGTCTGACCTGTGCGGCAGTCTCTGCTGGCTGGTTCGTTGACTGAGGGGCTGAAGAGACAGATGCTGAACTGGGCCTGGGATGAGCTCTGTAGCAGCAGGTTCTGACAGTACTCCATGATGTTAGCACACACCTGGGGACAACACAGTAAACACAGGGGGTTATCACAAGGTCATTTCTCTGACTAACTGCATCTTTATAGCCTGGTTTCAGATCTGATTGTGATGTCTTGCCAACTACTATGGTCATTGTTACCATATGAGTTGGCAAGACAGCACAAACAGACCAGGGAACAGGCTACATCTTTTCATCTCTCTCTCTATTGTACCTGTTGCATGGCCACCTCCATCTCCTCCCGTCGCTTGGCATGCTCCCCGGGGGCTGCAATCTCTGCCTGCTTCAGCAGCCGCTCCCGCTCACTCCCTGCCAGGCGACCCAGAAGAGACAGACACTGACGCTAGGGGAGAGAGACATGTTACATGTAATACATTACCCGATAAGTTACAATCAGGACTAATGTCCTTTTATGTCCAGCTACTGATGCTGTGACTATGTGAAGATTCTGAAACGACAGAGAGAAGTGAGGCAGGGTGTTAGTATGGTGCAAGTATCTACCTGGAATCTGCTGATGTGACCCTGGAACTCCAGTAGAACGGCACTGTTCACATCCTGTCCCTCAACAGCTCCTAAAACACAAACACGCAAAGGCCATCACAAAGCTGACATTGGCAAAACTGGCCACAAAGCTGACATTGGCAAAACTGGCCCCATAAAAATCACATTAGTCCCGAACCCAGACACCAGGTGTGCCTCCAGCTAGGTGTTGTGACAGTCCCTGGTGTGGCTGTGTGTACCTGGCAGGGCGGTCTTGCTGATGATGCCTGTGAGCAGAGAGAGCTCCTGCAGCGCTCCCATACTGAGCTCCTGACAGCGCAGCAGACCCTGGATGGTATCGGCATGGACGATCAGCCACTGGAGAACCTGCACACAAAGAAACAAAGATTCATGGTTATGTTAGGTTTGTCAATTTGGGGTTATTGTAACTATGGTTACTATAGCTATGGCTAGTCTCCATTGTGGTCCTCTGTAGCTCAGCTGGTAGAGCACGGCGCTTGTAACGCCAACGTAGTGGGTTCGATCCCCAGGACCGCCCCCAGGTGGTAAGGGTAGGTAACAACACATCTGCCACACTGATCCTCAACACGGGGGCCCCTCAGGGGTGCGTGCTCAGTCCCCTCCTGTACTCTCTGTTCACCCATGACTGCATGGCCAGGCACGACTCCAACACCATCATTAAGTTTGCCGACGACACAACAGTGGTAGGCCTGATCACCGACAACGATGAGACAGCCTATAGGGAGGAGGTCAGAGACCTGGCCGTGTGGTGCCAGGACAACAACCTCTCCCTCAACATGACCAAGACAAAGGAGATGATCGTGGACTACAGGAAAGAAAAGAGGACTGAGCACGCCCCCATTCTCATCGACGGGGCTGTAGTGGAACAGGTTGAGAGCTTCAAGTTCCTTGGTGTCCACATCACCAACGAACTATCATGGTCCAAACACACCAAGACAGTCGTGAAGAGGGCACGACAAAGCCTATTCCCCCTCAGGAGACTGGAAAGATTTGGCATGGGTCCTCAGATCCTCAAAAAAGCTGCACCATCGAGAGCATCCTGACTGGTTGCATCACCGCCTGGTATGGCAACTGCTTGGCCTCCGACCGCAAGGCACTACAGAGGGTAGTGCGTACGGCCCAGTACATCACTGGGGCCAAGCTTCCTGCCATCCAGGACCTCTATACCAGGCGGTGTCAGAGGAAGGCCCTCAAAATTGTCAAAGACTCCAGCCACCCTAGTCATAGACTGTTCTCTCTGCTACCGCACGGCAAGCGGTACCGGAGTGCCAAGTCTAGGTCCAAAAGACTTCTCAACAGCTTCTACCCCCAAGCCATAAGACTCCTGAACAGCTAATCATGGCTACCCGGACTATTTGCACTGCCCCCCCACCCCATCTTTTTTACGCTGCTGCTACTCTGTTAATTATTTATGCATAGTCACTTTAACTCTACCCACATGTACATATTACTTCAACTACCTCAACTAGCCGGTGCCCCCGCACATTGACTCTGCAACGGTACCCCCCTGTATATATAGCCTCCCTACTGTCACTTTATTTTACTTCTGCTCTTTTTTTTCTCAACACTTTTTTTGTTAAAAATAAATGCACTGTTGGTTAAGGGCTGTAGGTAAGCATTTCACTGTAATGTCTGCACCTGTTGTATTCGGCGCATGTGACCAACAAAATTTGATTTGATTTGATGTATGCACGCATGACTGTAAGTCGCTTTGGATAAAAGCGTCTGCTAAATGGCATATTATTATTATTATTATGGTGCCTACGGAGGCTTCAGGGCAAAGGTTATTGTAGGCTGCTGTATTTGCTAATTCTATTGTTGAGGCCTTACCTGTGCTGCCCCCTGCTGGTGGTGTGTGGTGGTGGAGGTGAGGATGACCTTGAACAGCCTAAGAGCAGGTATTAGGATCTGTCTGTAGCGGTCCAGAGGGCTGAGGATGAACCCTGATGGGTCCCTCTGACCAAACACCCTACACACACACACACACACACACACACACACACACACACACACACAGAGAAAGGTATCAGATATTATAAGTAATTTCTACAACATTATTAAATTAGTCAATACGGAAACGTTTCCGTAACTCACTCTCTCTATCCATCCCTCCATTATTACCTGTGTGAGTCGCTGTCAGGCACCATGTCAAACACCTGACACTCCACCAGCCGAGCCACCAGGCCACATCGCAGCAGCTCCATGGCTCCCTGGCCTGTCTTAGCTACCTGTGTCAACAGGGCCTAAAACATACAAAGAGCATTGGGTTAGATTCAGGGTATGTGTGTGTGCTCCTGCACCATATGGCCAGATGTGCAGAGGGGGAGTCTACGATCCAACGCAATCTTCAAATCAAATCAAATTTTATTTGCCACATGTGCCGAATACAACAGATGTAGACATTACCGTGAAATGCTTACTTACAGCCCTTAACCAACAATACATTTATTTTTTAATAAAAAGTAACATAAAACAAAAAAGTGTTGAGAAAAAAAGAGCAGAAGTAAAATAAAATAACAGTAGGGAGGCTATATACAGGGGGGTACCGGTGCAGAGTCAATGTGCGGGGGCACCGGCTAGTTGAGGTAATATGTACATGTAGGTATAGTTAAAGTGACTATGCATAAATAATTAACAGAGTAGCAGCAGCGTAAAAAGATGGGGTGGGGGGGCAGTGCAAATAGTCCGGGTAGCCATGATCAGCTGTTCAGGAGTTTTATGGCTTGGGGGTAGAAGCTGTTGAGAAGCCTTTTGGATCTAGACTTGGCGCTCCGGTACCACTTGCCGTACGGTAGCAGAGAGAACAGTCTATGACTAGGGTGGCTGGAGTCTTTTACAATTTTGAGGGCCTTCCTCTGACACCGCCTGGTATAGAGGTCCTGGATGGCAGGAAGCTTGGCCCCAGTGATGTACTGGGCCATACGCACTACCCTCTGTAGTGCCTTGTGGTCGGAGGCCGAGCAGTTGCCATACCATCTTGCATGTAGAAGTGTTTTAGCAGTACGGGCTGCATTGTTTAGTGTGTGTGTGTGTGTATATACAGTGAGGGGAAAAAGTATTTGATCCCCTGCTGATTTTGTACGTTTGCCCACTGACAAAGACATGATCAGTTTATAATTTTAATGGTAGGTTTATTTGAACAGTGAGAGACAGAATAACAACAAAAAAATCCAGAAAACGCATGTCAGAAATGTTATAAATTGATTTGCATTTTAATGAGGGAAATAAGTATTTGACTCCTCTGCAAAACATGACTTAGTACTTGGTGGCAAAAAACCCTTGTTGGCAATCACAGAGGTCAGACGTTTGTTGTAGTTGGCCACCAGGTTTGCACACATCTCAGGAGGGATTCTGTCCCACTCCTCTTTGCAGATCTTCTCCAAGTCATTAAGGTTTCGAGGCTGACGTTTGGCAACTCGAACCTTCAGCTCCCTCCACAGATTTTCTATGGGATTAAGGTCTGGAGACTGGCTAGGCCACTCCAGGACCTTAATGTGCTTCTTCTTGAGCCACTCCTTTGTTGCCTTGGCCGTGTGTTTTGGGTCATTGTCATGCTGGAATACCCATCCACGACTCATTTTCAATGCCCTGGCTGAGGGAAGGAGGTTCTCACCCAAGATTTGACAGTACATGGCCCCGTCCATCGTCCCTTTGATGCGGTGAAGTTGTCCTGTCCCCTTAGCAGAAAAACACCCCCAAAGCATAATGTTTCCACCTCCATGTTTGACGGTGGGGATGGTGTTCTTGGGGTCATAGGCAGCATTCCTCCTCCTCCAAACACGGCGAGTTGAGTTGATGCCAAAGAGCTCGATTTTGGTCTCATCTGACCACAACACTTTCACCCAGTTCTCCTCTGAATCATTCAGATGTTCATTGGCAAACTTCAGACAGGCCTGTATATGTGCTTTCTTGGGGGACCTTGCGGGCGCTGCAGGATTTCAGTCCTTCACGGCGTAGTGTGTTACCAATTGTTTTCTTGGTGACTATGGTCCCAGCTGCCTTGAGATCATTGACAAGATCCTCCCGTGTAGTTCTGGGCTGATTCCTCACCGTTCTCATGATCATTGCAACTCCACGAGGTGAGATCTTGCATGGAGCCCCAGGCCGAGGGAGATTTACAGTTATTTTGTGTTTCTTCCATTTGCGAATAATCACACCAACTGTTGTCACCTTCTCACCAAGCTGCTTGGCGATGGTCTTGTAGCCCATTCCAGCCTTGTGTAGGTCTACAATCTTGTCCCTGACATCCTTGGAGAGCTCTTTGGTCTTGGCCATGGTGGAGAGTTTGGAATCTGATTGATTGATTGCTTCTGTGGACAGGTGTCTTTTATACAGGTAACAAACTGAGATTAGGAGCACTCCCTTTAAGAGTGTGCTCCTAATCTCAGCTCGTTACCTGTATAAAAGACACCTGGGAGCCAGAAATCTTTCTGATTGAGAGGGGGTCAAATACTTATTTCCCTTATTAAAATGCAAATCAATTTATAAAATTTTTGACATGCATTTTTTTCTGGATTTTTCTGTTGTAATTCTGTCTCTCACTGTTCAAATAAACCTACCATTAAAATTATAGACTGATCATGTCTTTGTCAGTGGGCAAACGTACAAAATCAGCAGTCGGAAGTTTAAATACACTTAGGTTGGAGTCATTAAAACTCGTTTTTCAACCACTCCACAACTTTCTTGTTAACAAACTATAGTTTGGCAAGTCGGTTAGGACATCTACTTTGTGCATGACACAAGTAATTTTTCCAACAATTGTTTACATTACATTACGTCATTTAGCAGACGCTCTTATCCAGAGCGACTACAGAAAAATTATTTCACTTATAATTCACTGTATAACAATTCCAGTGGGTCAGAAGTTTACATTCACTAAGTTGACGATGCCTTTAAACAGCTTGGAAAATTCCAGAAAATGATGTCATGGCTTTAGAAGCTTCTGATAGGCTAATTGACATCCTTTGAGTCAATTGGAGGTGTACCTGTGGATGTATTTCAAGGCCTAACTTCAAACTCAGTGCCTCTTTGCTTGACATCATGGGAAAATCAAAAGAAATCAGCCAAGACCTCAGAAAAAAAATTGTAGACCTCCACAAGTCTGGTTCATCCTTGGGAGCAATTTCCAAACGCCTGAAGGTACCATGTTCATCTGTACAAACAATAGTACGGAAGTATAAACACCATGGGACCACGCAGCCGTCATACCGCTCAGGAAGGAGACGCGTTTTGTCTCCTAGAGATGAACGTACTTTGGTGCGAAAAGTGCAAATCAATCCCAGAACAACAGCAAAGGACCTTGTGAAGATGCTGGAGGAAACAGGTACAAAATTATCTACATCCACAGTAAAACAAGTCCTATATCAACATAACCTGAAAGGCCACTCAGCAAGGAAGAAGCTACTACTCCATAACCGCCATAAAAAAGCCAGACTACGGTTTGCAACTGCACATGGGGACAAAGATCGTACTTCTTGGAGAAATGTCATCTGGTCTGATGAAACAAAAATAGAACTGTTTGGCCATAATGACCATCGTTATGTTTGGAGGAAAAAGGAGGTGGCTTGCAAGCCGAGGAACAGGAGGGACTGGTGCACTTCACAAAATAGATGGCATCATGAGGAAGGAAAATTATCTGGATATATTGAAGCAACATCTCAAGACATCAGTCAGGAAGTTAAAGCTTGGTCGCAAATGGGTCTTCCAAATGGACAATGACCCCAAGCATACTTCCAAAGTTGTGGCAAAATGGCTTAAGGACAACAAAGTCGAGGTATTGGAGTGGCCATCACAAAGCCCTGACCTCAATCCTATAGAACATTTGTGGGCAGAACTGAAAAGGCGTGTGCGAGCAAGGAGGCCTACAAACCTGACTCAGTTAAACCAGCTATGTCAGGAGGAATGGGCCAAAATTCACCCAACTTATTGTGGGAAGCTTGTGGAAGGCTACCCAAAATGTTTGACCCAAGTTAAAACAATTTAAAAGCAATGCTACCAAATACTAATTGAGTGTATGTAAACTTCTGACCCACTGGGAATGTGATGAAAGAAATAAAAACTAAAATAAATAATTCTCTCTACTATTATTCTGACATTTCACATTCTTAAAATAAAGTGGTGATCCTAACTGACCTAAGACAGGGAATTTTTACTAGGATTAAATGTCAGGAATTGTGAAAAACTGATGCGGAGATCTTTCCGTTCACCTACTCTGTGTCTCACAAAGACACGGCGGATGGAACCAAAAATCGCAAATTTGGACTCATCAGAACAAAGGACAGATTTCCACCAGTCTAATGCCCATTGCTCGTGTTTCTTGGCCCAATCAAGTCTCTTCTTCTTATTGGTGTCCTTTAGTAGTGGTTTCTTTGCAGCAATTCGACCATGAAGGCCTGATTCACGCAGTCTCCTCTGAACAATTGATGTTGAGATGTGTCTGTTACTTGAACTCTGTGAAGCATTTATTTGGGCTGCAATCTGAGGTGCAGTTAACTCTAATGCAGCAGAGGTAACTCTGGGTCTTCGTTTCCTGTGGCGGTCCTCTTGAGAGCCAGTTTCATCATAGCGCTTGATTGTTTTTGCGACTGCACTTGAAGAAACTTTCAAAGTTCTTGAAATGTTCCGTATTGACTGACTTTCATGTCTTAAAGTAATGATGGACTGTCGATTCTTTATGCTTATTTGAGCTGTTCTTGCCATAATATGGACTTTGTCTTTTACCAAATAGGGCTATCTTCTGTATACCATCCCTACCTTGTCACAACACGACTGATTGGCTCAAACGCATTAAGAAGGAAAGAAATTCCACAAATTAACTTTAAAGGCACACCTGTTAACTGAAATGCATTCCAGGTGACTACCTCATTAAGCTGGTTGAGAGAATGCCAAGAGTGTGCAAAGCTGTCATCAAGGCAAAGGGTGGCTACTTTGAAGAATCTCAAATATATTTTGATTTGTTTAACACTTTTTTGGTTACTACATGATTCCATATGTGTTATTTCATAGTTTTGATGTCTTCACTATTATTCTACAATGTAGAAAATAGTACAAATAAAGAAAAACCCTTGAATGAGTAGGTGTGTCCAAACTTTTGACTGGTACTGTATATATGTATTTGTGTGTGTGATCCCTCCCTCACCATCTTGCTTTCATAGATGTAGAGAGGTTTGAACAGAGGGGGCTGGGGGCTAAGCAGGGTCTGCAGGGCTGCATTGTCCTGTCTCAGGCTCTCCACCAAACACGCACGTAGCCACTGTTACACACAAACAACAGCCACTGGCTCTGGTGGTCTATGGACAGGATCCGGTCCAGCACGGACAGGGCTAGCATCTAACAGAGAGAGAAAGGATGTTAGTACATTGGGGTAGCTGAGTTCAACATATTTGCATATCGCATTGATAGCGTGTGTGTGTCAACACAGACAGAAAGAGATGGAGGGATATGGTCAGACAGAAACCAGGAGAGACTGTCAATCAGTGAGTTAAAGAAAGGATTGTGAGAGATGAGACGTATAGACCGAAACAGGTCTGACAGCTGGGTTTGTAGGTGAGCTGTAGTGTGTATCTGCTGTGTCCCTACCCTGCCGATCTCGTGGCCATCGCAGGCATCCCTACACACCACCTCCATGAGGGCGGTGCCGTAGCTCTCAAAAATGGCCAGGTCTCCCTCTGCAGCTTGGAGAAACCATCCTCAGGAGCAGTCAGACGCTCCCAGATAGACTTCCCCGCTGGAGAGAAGGAAGGAGAAGAGAAAGAGAGGCGAAAAAGAGGTTAGGGTTTGCAAACAACGCAATCAATGAACAGAGCAAATGCACACTACTACAGAGGGTCCCAAAATGGATGATTCTCCAAGTGTTCTGTATCTGCCCAAATACCGTAGCTCAACTGTACCTTGCTGTAGTGTATCTGGCTCCTCAGGTTTCTGGGCGATCTGTAGGTAGTACAGCAGAGAGCCATACAGGTGTGCACGCAGACGCAGGAATCCACCACCGGTACAGAGGATGAAGTCTAGCAGCTTCCTCAGGATCAGGTGCAGAGCAGAGTTGGCGATGGAGGCAAAGCCCGATGACGAACCTCCCTCCAGCCCCTCCCCCTGCTGCTGCTCTGACAGCACTGCTTGGCTGAGGTGGGTTGTGAGGGTGAACACTCCCCCGGCTACGTTGGGCATGAGCTCCCCGGCTGCGTCCTCTGACAACACCTGGGGAGAGACAGGAGAACTGTACTGGTTACTCAACCCTAAATACACTGACTGACAGCATACATTTTTTGAAAGTTGCCACACACACACACACCTTGTCGTGCAGGTCCAGCAGCAGGTATCTGATGATGAGCTGTCTGTCGTCAGCAGGGATGAGGTCCCCGGGGCAGGCAGTAAGCAGGGTCTCCACCAAGATTCTCCACGACTGCAGCGTGTGATGCTTGGCACTCAGGCTCCGATGCACACGGTTCCTCTCTACCACCTGCTGCAGGATGGAGTTCACCTCCTGGGAAGCGCACACACACACACACACACATCAGGGGTGTATTCCATTAGGCGATGGACACGTTTGTCAAATTTACATGACAGAAAATCTTATTTTTTTTAACGAAATCTATTTCTATCTGAACTTTCTGTAACATTTCACCTGTCTGAACAGAACCCTGAGCACCTTTTCTGCAAAGAAAAGACCATACTACAATCCTCTGATTCATGTTGTCAACACTCACCTCCATCAACAGTGGCCTCTGACCAATGGCTGCCATTCCCTGGAGGGCATTGACCTCTGCTACTAGGACTCTATGGAGCAACTGTGGAGATAACAACATCATCATAAAACTTTACATTGATTCTAGATAAAACACAGAAGACCACTGACATAGTACAAAATGCTTCAAAACAAGGTTGAGTTACATATGCAAACTGAAAGCCAGGCCCAACTTGACGTTGCAGACCATGTGTCCGTGCTCATTGACGTGTTCGCAGTTGGCGATGACCTGCTCGATCTGAATGCGCTCAAAGAAGTCCAGCTGCAGCAGCTCAAGCACGTCCTGGCTGAAGTCAATGGCGTCCAGCACACTGAGGAGCTTCCTGCGCACTGATGACGTGGGACAGGGGATGAGTACATGATTAGCTAAACAAGACACAAACCCTTGGCTTTTGAAACTGCTAATACACAGGCTCTATAGTGACAGAATGCATATGATTCATACTAGAATATGTTTGTGTGAAGAACCAGGACTATAACAGATATTGAGTGACAGAATGCATTATGATTCAAAAATATGTGAAGACTGAAGAACTAGACCTAACCTTTGGAGACGGTGTCAAACTGCAGGAATCCACTGACAGATCTAGACGACTCCTCCATGCCCGTCTCCCCATCAGCTAATCAAAGAAACAGACTAACTGTAAAGGCTTCTGCTTTTTGCACATTTGCTCGTATCCCACTTACATCAATGAATGACAATACATCCAATGCATACAACTTTCATAGTGTGTGCATGTGTGTAGTGAGTGTGTGTGTGTGTGTGTGCGCGAGTTGTAGGTCTTACCTGCGTGCCGAGTGTGCGGCTGGTCATCCAGCAGAAGGTTGAGGAGGCGCTGGGTGTGGGAGCGCTGGCGGTTAACTGATGTCACTCTGAGCTCGATGGCCGCCGTCTTCATGAGCCAGGACATCTGGGACAGGGCAGAGATCTCATCACCTGAGAGCGTTGGGGGAGAGACACGGTTTAGAGAGAATAGAGTGACACCCTGAGTAATTTCCTTCCTCTCTGGCAGCTCAGTTAAAAAGGACGACTTGGTCTTTTTAGGAGTACAAATGCTCTGGTTGGCATCCGCCATATTGCTTCCACCTATCCTGTGTTTTCAGATCAGTGCAGATGAAGGACAGAAGACCAGGATAGGAACACAGTGTATTGAGATGACAGTGAAGAGCTCACTTGGCAGAATGAAGGGCAGGTGCTGCAGATGGGAGAACAGGAAGTCCTGGCTGGCTGGCTGGTCCTTAGGTAGCGCATGGTGGGGCCTGATGTGTCCGAGCACGCACACAGCTGGTAGATCACCTGGTAACAGAGCTCAGCCAGGTGTGGTGCCTGGCTGGTGACCACGGGACCCGAGCGTCTCTCACTGCCTCTCTGCAGCAGACTCAGGATGGCATGCAGGCAGCTCCGTGGGCACCCCAGCACACCTGACACAGAGATAAGATTTCCTTAGCATCACACAACCAAATATCAATTAAACATGCAGTTGATGGAGTCATGAAAGCCACCAAACAGAAGAACATTAACTGAAACAGGGAGGGACTACCTGAACCTGTCCAAAAACAAATGCTTGTTTTCATTTTGCATTGCAAAAAGTTTTGCTCAGGGCCAGTCCTGGCTGTTCTGCCGCCCCAGGCGAGACAATAATAGAATTGTCCGTATAAAATACGTATTTTCCAGACGTTGAAGTTCAATTTAGGTTGAACGAAAAGTGAAAAGACGTCTTCTCCGATTGTTGAAATCAGGTTCATTTTCGGTTCTGAATGAAAGTTGAAAATATGTATTTTCCGTATGTTGAAAATACATTTTCTGGACGTTGAAATCAGGTACATTTTAGGGTCTGAATGAAAGTTGAAAAGACGTCATTTATAGACGCCTATGTTTGGACCAAATCAAGGCCGGTCCAGACCGGACAAAATCTGAACCAAACATAGATGTCTATGATTGGTTCAGATTTGGTCCGGACTAAAAACCAACGTCTGTGGACGTGGAAATTAAGGCCAGTCCGGACAGCACCAAAAAATATGTCCAAAAGGCATCAGTGTCGGTCTGTGCTTACTGACGTGTAGCCTAGTGTCACCTAAAGTTGAAATGTATGAATGCCCATCTATGTGGTAGGCCTACCATTTGTAAAACACCTAAAAAAGACGCCCGGTCCGGACAGGACCAAAAGAAGACGTTGGAGTCGGTCCACGCTTACTGGGGTGTAGCCTACCATGTCTTCCTGCAATGGAATTTTAGGATTGCCCATACATGTGGTAGGCCCACCGTTTGTAAAAGGCTGTTGCATTGGCTTTATTAGTCCTGAGTCCTGTGACTAATCAATTTGACGATTTAAGCTCTGAATATCAGCTACCCAACTTTATCAGGAGTTATCCTGAGCCTATTTGCAATGGGAAATCAAAAGTATTTTATTTTTCGCCATGATTAGCTTGTCAATATTTTACAGATATAAACTTGAAACCGCTAATCATGACAATTTACCCCACGGGGTGAAACTCCTGGACAGCAGTAGTGAGTAGCCTGATGTCTATTCCTTATTGTCCATTTTACTTTGACCTGTCCTGTTTTTAGGATATGTTGTTTGTTAACATGTCAGCACATTCTTTACATGCCTAATCATAGAATTACATATACAATCCCTATTAACTCAATAGGATCTCTATGGGACTAGTCGTAAAGATTTGTCATTTAACTTTAAAAATGTTTTAGCCTACCTTTTATTGTGGCATAAATACAACCAGTCAAGATGTTTTCATCTGATTGTCAAACAATCCCTTCAAAGGGCTCCTTCATAGACTACCTGCACACGTTCATCCACTCGCAACATATTTCCAGCCTCCAAACAGTGGTGAATGGAAAGAGACATCTGTTAAATAAAACACAGAAAACTGTAGGCTAATGACAAATGTGGCTATTGTCATTAGGCCAGAATTTATGCGTTTCGGTGCCGGCCACCCATCTCTGCCTTGGCAAAATGTCAGTGTTCGCGTCGAACCACATCGCATGTGAGAGTAAGCTATACCACCCGTTTTCAAGTCCATTCGCTTCATGCGGTTTTGATAAAAAGTTTTGTTTTAATTATTGTGATTGGCTCATGATTTACTCTGGCTATATCTGCTACATGATTTATGATAGATTTATGTTTTTTTACAGAACGTTGGTGGAGCGCCACGGCGATGAGTCTCTCCAAAAGCACCCTGGAGAGGCGCACTGGGAATGGAAAAGCTAAATATTTTGCTCCCCTGCCTTTGACAAAGTTGGCACTGCTTATCACAGGGCGGCATCATCGCTCACCTAAAAAGCCCATATGCCACTGTTTGAGAGAAATTGTCATTGTTTTTGGGCAGAATTATGTAAGGTTTTATGTGTTGTTGGAGGTGCGTCTTGGTCAGTTTAGCTCAAAAAATGCTGCTCTCGTCAATCTGCTGCCATAGGCGGCCGCCTAACCCTGCCTGACCCTAACCCTGCCTGACCCTAACCCTGCCTGACCCTAACCCTGCCTGACCCTAACCCTGCCTGATGAGTGGGCCGGCCCTGGTTTTGCTACTGTGAATGCCCTATTGAATCCAACCCAGCATGTAAGAGAAGGCGCAGCTGGTGCTGACCTGCATCCTGTAGGTTGGTCGAGGAGATGGGCTTCTTGACCTCATAGCCCAGCAGGTAGAGGGCCAGGTTGGGGGCCTTCAGCTCCAGGGAGGTGATCAGAAGGTTCAGGATGTGGATCTGGGTCTCATGGCGGATCCTCGCCTCTTTCTTGGCTGGCTCAGAGTCTGGGGGGCAGCAAGTGAAAGGAGAGGTGGTGAGTTGGAGTAACTGAACGGACGTGTTGAGCCAGTGACGGAATGGGCAGGTTTGAGTCAGTGACTAAATGGGCAGGATGGACATCATTCACACTCAGTTAAGAGATAGACATTGTTGATGTTGATAGAATGAGAGTGTGACTTACCGTCTCCTTTCTCCAAGCCCTCCTCAGCCCCCTCGCTGTCCAGACACTCCTCAAAGCCAGCCATTAGCTTGTCACTCACAGCCTGGTCATGTGTGAAGTCTCCCACCAGCCTGTTCTGGATGTTGGGGTAGCGGGCTATGCGCCGCAGGATCTTAGTGCTCTGGAAGGCCGCCTCCGGATTGGAGCTGCTGTGGTACAGGTACCTGCCAGGGACAAACACAACCAGGGAATAGGAAGTGGAGGTTTATGGGCCTGACTTTTACCTTTGGGCCTAAGACAAAAAATTGGGCTATGGGCCTTTTTGGGCTTGAGAGGGAATTTTACTGTATTGTGTTCATTTGACAGGGACAATGTACTTCAACACAAGTCAACATTTCTGAGTAAATCCCAGATTTAGCTAAAAGTCTCTTCCTGGTGTGTAGTACCTGGTAAGGTGAGATTGAGGTGAGTGTTCCAGTACCTGGCGATGTTGACGATGTGGTCAGCCCGGCGGCTCTGGGCACTGACCCCCTGCAGGAGCTGCTCCAGGGGGGAGACGATGAGGGAGGCCTGGCTCTCTCTCAGCAGGTCCATGAACACCACCTCATTTTACATTTACATTTTACATTTTAGTCATTTAGCAGACGCTCTTATCCAGAGCGACTTACAGTTAGTGAGTGCATACATTAATTTTTTTATTTTTCATACTAGCCCCCCGTGGGAATCGAACCCACAACCCTGGCGTTGCAAACGCCATGCTCTACCAACTGAGCTACATCCCTGCCGGCCAATTGTGCGCCGCCCCATGGGTCTCCCGGTCACGGACAGCTACGACAGAGCCTGGATTTGAACGAGGATCTCTAGTGGCACAGCTAGCACTGCGATGCAGTGCCTTAGACCACTGCGCCACTCGGGAGAATGCAGTGGAGGGCCAGGTCTTCTGCAGGGCCAGGTCCAGCAGAGACAGGCAGTGCAGCACTGCAGACTCCAACTGCTTCTTACCTGCAAGTCAGACAGGAATAGTACCAAGAGGGATGAGCGGATGTAAAGAAATATAATCTCGAGATACCGGAAATGTGAGCCATCCAATTACGCGACCTAAGAAGATACTAGAAACTTGATCAACTCAAACCCAACTCTGGTGAATGCTCCCCTCCTCACACAATGCTAACAGGGATGCAAACAGGGTACAAACAAGATTTTGGAATGAGAGACACCACTACAGACACAGCAGCTAACTATAGCAGGTGTGTGTGTGTACTGACCAGGGAAGGGGGCGTAGGTGTCTAGCTGACATACGCCCTCCTCCAGCAGGCTGAGGCAGAGTCAGGATGGGCGAGTCATTGAGCAGGTGGAACATGAGGCTGTGGCCGGGGGGGCTTGTGGGCCAGTACCTGCTCCCCTTGCAGCTCCACCGTCTCCTGGATAAAGTCAGACGGCTGGGGCTCGTAGTCCCACAGTAGCTTGTGGAACACCTCCAGAACAACATCCGATACCTCCCACTGGTAAAGGGCAGGGGTGGTGGAGAGGGGACGGGAGAGAGGGGGTGGGGAGTGAGACAAAACTGAAATAGGTAGTAGTAGTAAAACACATGGCATCTGAGAGAAAGTGCTGACAATTTCACTAGCTAAGTGTGATCTCCTCCCTAAGTTTGAGTTATTCACTGTGTTAGCACACTCAGCCAACCCTGATGTTCTAGCAGTGTCTGAATCCTGACTTAGGAAGGCCACCAAAGATTCTGAAATGTCCATTCCCAACTACAACATTTTCCGTCTAGATAGAACTGCCAAAGGGGGCGGAGTTGCAATCTACTGTAGAGATAGCCTGCAGAGCTCTATCATACTATCCAGGTCTGTGCCCAAACAGTTTGAGCTTCTACTTCTAAAAATCCACCTTTCCAGAAATAAGTCTCTCACCGTTGCCACTTGCTACAGACCCCCCTCAGCCCCCAGCTGTGCCCTGAACACCATATGTGAATTGATTGCCCCCCATCTATCCTCAGAGTATTGCTTGGTGACCTAAACTGGGATATGCTTAACACCCTGCCCATCCTACAATCTAAACTAGATGCCCTCAATCTCACACAAATTATCAAGGAACCTACAAGGTACAACGCTAAATCTGTTAACATGGGCACCTTCATAGATATCCTCCTGACTAATTTACCCTCTAAATACACCTCTGCTGTCTTCAACCAGGATCTCAGCGATCACTGCCTCATTGCCTGCGTCCGTAATGGGTCCGCGGTCAAACGACCACCCCTCATCACTGTCAAATGCTCCCTAAAACACTTCAGCGAGCAGGCCTTTCTAATTGACCTGGCCTGGGTATCCTGGATGGATATTGACCTCATTCCGTCAGTAGAGGATGCCTGGTTGTTCTTTAAAAGTGCTTTCCTCTCCATCTTAAATAAGCATGCCCCATTCAAAAAATTCCGAACTAAGAACAGCTAGCCCCTGGTTCACCCCAGACTTGACTGCCCTTGACCAGCAAAAAGAAATCCTGTGGCGTACGGCATTAGCATCGAACAGCCCCCGCGATATGCAACTTTTCAGGGAAAGTCAGGAACCAATATACACAAGCTGTTAGGAAAGCAAAGGCTAACTTTTTCAAACAGAAATCTGCATCCTGTAGCACTAACTCCAAAAAGTTTTGGGATACTGTAAAGTCCGTGGAGAATAAGAGCACCTCCTCCCAGCTGCCCACTGCATTGAGTCTAGGAAACACTGTCACTACCAATAGATCTACGATAATCGAACATTTCAACAAGCATTTTGCTACGGCTGGCCATGCTTTCCACCTGGCTACTCCTACCCCGGCCACCAGCTCTGCACCCTCCGCTGCAACTTGCCCATGCCCGCCCCGCTTCTCCTTCACACAAATTCAGATAGCTGATGTTCTGAAAGAGCTGCAAAATCTGGACCCCTACAAATCAGCTGGGCTAGACAATCTGGACCCTTTCTTTCTAAAATTAGCCGCCAAAATTGTCGCAACCCCTATCACCAGCCTGTTCAACCTCTCTTTCGTATCGTCTGAGATCCCCAGAGATTGGAAAGCTGCCGCGGTCATCCCCCTCTTCAAAAGGGGTTGACACTCTAGATCCAAACTGTTACAGACCCATATCCATCCTGCCCTGCCTTTCGAAGTATTTGAAAGCCAAGTTAACAAACAGATCACCGACCATTTAGAATCCCACCATACCTTCTCCGCTATGCAATCTGGTTTCCGAGCTGGTCATGGGTGTACCTCAGCCACGCTCAAGGTCCTAAACGATATAATAACCGCGAACGATAAAAGACAGTACTGTGCAGCCATCTTCATCGACCTGGCCAAGGCTTTTGACTCAATCACCGCATTCTTATTGGCAGACTAAATAGCCTTGGTTTCTCAAATGACTGCCTCGCCTGGTTCACCAACTACTTCTCAGAGAGAGTTCAATGTGTCAAATCGGAGGGCCTGTTGTCTGGACCTCTGGCAGTCTCTATGGGGGTGCCACAGGGTTCAACTTTCGGGCCGACTCTATTCTCTGTGTATATCAATGATGTCGCTCTTGCTGCTGGTGACTCTCAGATCCACCTCTATGCAGACGACACCATTTTGTATACATCTGGCCCTTCATTGGACACTGTGTTAACAAACCTCCAAACGAGCTTCAATGTCATACAACACTCCTTCCGTGGCCTCCAACTGCTCTTAAACACTAGTAAAACTAAATGCTCTTCAATCGAACGCTGCTTGCACCCGCCTGCCCGACTAGAATCACTACTCTCGGCGGCTCTGACTTAGAATATGTGGACAACTACAAATATCTAGGTGTCTGGTTAGACCGTAAACTCTCCTTCCAGACTCACATTAAGCATCTCCAATCCAAAGTTAAATCTAGAATCGGCTTCCTGTTTCGCAACAAAGCCTCCTTCACTCATGCTGCCAAACATGCCCTCGTAAAACTGACTATCCTACCGATCTTGACTTCGGCGATGTCATTTACAAAATAGCTTCCAACACTATAATCAGCTAATTGGATGTAGTCTATCACAGTGCCATCCGTTTTGTCACCAAAGCCCCATATACAACCCACCATTGTGACCTGTACACTCTCGTTGGCTGGCCCTCACTACATATTCGTCGCCAAATCCACTGGCTCCAGGTCATCTATAAATCCCTTCTAGGCAAATCCCCGCCTTATCTTAGCTCATTGGTCACCATAGCAACACCCACCCGTAGTATGCGTTCCAGCAGGTATATCTCACTGGTCATCCACAAAGCCAAAACCTCCTTTGGTCGCCATTCCTTCCAGTTATCTGCTATAAATGACTGGAACAAACTGCAAAAATCTCTGAAGCTGGAGACACTTATCTCCCTCACTATCTTTAAGCATCAGTTGTCAGAGCAGCTTACCGATCACTGCACCTGTACACAGCCCATCTGTAATTAGCCCTCCCAACTACCTCATCCCCATATTGTTATTTACATTGTATTTATTTTGCTCATTTGCACCCCAGTATCTCTATTTGCACATCATCTTCTGCACATCTATCACTCCAGTGTTAATAATAATGCTAAATTATAATTGTAATTATTATCTCTATCAATGTGCTGATGAGCTGACAGAAGGCTCTGGTCAGAGGATACTCCTCGCAGCTCGACTCAATCTCATTCAGCTCCACATGAGAGTGGCAAGGAGAAGGATTACAGTCGTGGTCAAAAGTTTTGAGAATGACACATACAAAATACTAATTTTCCACAAAGTCTGCTGCCTCAGTTTTGATGATGGCAATTTGCATATACTCCAGAATGTCATGAAGAGTGATCAGATGAATTGCAAAGTCCCTCTGCCATGAAAATGAACTTAATCCCAAAAAACCATTTCCACTGCATTTCAGCCCTGCCACAAAAGGACCAGCTGACATCATGTCAGTGATTCTCTCGTTAACACAGGTGAGAGTGTTGACGAGGACAAGGCTGTAGATCACTCTGTCATGCTGATTGAGTTAGAATAACAGACTGGAAGCTTTAAAAGGAGGGTGGTGCTTGAAATCATTGTTCTTCCTCTGTTAACCATGGTTACCTGCAAGGAAACACGTGCCGTCATCATTGCTTTGCACAAAAAGGGCTTCACAGGCTGCTAGTAAGATTGCACCTAAATAAACCATTTATCAGATCATCAAGAACTTCAAGGAGAGAGGTTCAATTGTTGTGAAGAAGGCATCAGGGCACCCAAGAAAGTCCAGCAAGCACCAGGACCGTCTCCTAAAGTTGATTCAGCTGCTGGATCGGGGCACCACCAGTGCAGAGCTTGCTCAGGAATGGCAGCAGGCAGGTGTGAGTGCATCTGCACACACAGTGAGGCGAAGACTTTTGGAGGATGGCCTGGTGTCAAGAAGGGCAGCAAAGAAGCCACTTCTCTCCAGGAAAAACATCAGGGACAGACTGATATTCTGCAAAAGGTACATGGATTGGACTGCTGAGGACTGGGGTGAAGTCATTTTCTCTGATGAATCCTCTTTCCGATTGTTTGGGGCATCCAGATAACACCTTGTCCGGAGAAGACAAGGTGAGCGCTACCATCAGTCCTGTGTCAGTCCAACAGTAAAGCATCCTGAGACCATTCATGTGTGGGGTTGCTTCTCAGCCAAGGGAGTGGGCTCACTCACAATTTTGCCTAAGAACACAGCCATGAATAAAGAATGGTACCAACACATCCTCCGAGAGCAACTTCTCCCAACCATCCAAGAACAGTTTGGTGAGGACCAATGCCTTTTCCAGCATGATGGAGCACCTTGCCATAAGGCAAAAGTAATAACTAAGTGGCTCGGGGAACAAAACATCGACATTTTGGGTCCATGGCCAGGAAACTCCCCAGTCCTTAATCCCATTGAGAATTTGTGGTTAATCCTCAAGAGGTGGGTGGACAAACAAAAACCCACAAATTCTGACAAACTCAAAGCATTGATTATGCAAGAATGGTCTGCCATCAGTCAGGATGTGGCCCAGAAGTTAATTGACAGCATGCCAGGGCGGATTGCAGAGGTCTTGAAAAAGAAGGGTCAACACTGCAAATAATGACTCTTTGCATAAACTTAATGTAATTGTCAATAAAAGCCTTTGACACTTATGGAATGCTTGTAATTATACTTCAGTATACCATAGTAACATCTGCCAGAAATATCTCATAACACTGAAGCAGCGAACTTTGTGAAGACCAATACTTGTGTCATTCTCAAAACCTTTGACCACGACTGTACATACAGATACAGGTGTACAAGCACAGAACGTACACGCAGTCACACACCGTATGCAGGCAAAATCTTACCTCAAACCCGGCAGCTTGTTTCTGTCCCGGGGCACGCACTGTCTGAAGTATCTGGAGCAAATAACAACATGAGCTTCGGCACATAGTAAGAAAGTCTGATATGTCAGACTGGATCCGACCAACACTTAAGCAGCACCATCTATATTTATGTTTAGGTGTCACAGCCTTTGATTCTTCTAAACCATCTCCCTGACCTACCTGAGTGTACTCCAGTGATTGCCAGCTCACTATTTGCGAGACCGAGATACTAACAAATACCCACCAACAAACTTTATTCTAGAGCTGGCTGAATATGTTTCGACGTATAACTATTTCAGGTTTGATGATGAATCCTACCTCCAAACGAATGGAACGTCGATGGGCTACACATTCACTCCAAGCTATGCTAACCTTTATGTGGGTCATTTTGAAAAAAGTTTTGTTAACAATGAAAAAGAAGGGGCCTCCCGAGTAGCGCAGCGGTCTAAGGCACTGCATCGCAGTGCTTGAGGCGTCACTACAGACCTGGGTTCGATCTAAGGATGTGTCACACCCGGCCGTGACCGGGAGTCCCATAGGGCAGCACACAATTGGCCCAGTGTCGTCTGGGTTAGGGGAGGGTTTGGCCTGGGGGGCTTTACTTGGCTCATCGTGCCCTAGCGACTCCTTGTGGCGGGCCGGGCGCCTGCAGGCTGACTTTTTTGGAATAAAGTCCTGAAGTGGTATCGATATATTGACAAAAGATTTTGCATATGGGGAGGATCAGGAGAAGAGCTGTCAGACTTTATGGCATTAATCAATGACATTGACCCCAATCTCAAATTCACAATGGAATGTGACACTAAACGTGTTCACTACTGCAATACGTGGATTGAGAAATCAAATGGAACCCTGTTTACAACTCTGTATAGAAAAGAAACGGACAGAAATACTCTATTACAGGGGGACAGCTTCCACCCTGAGCCATTAAAAAGAGGACTTCTAAGAAGCCAGTTTTTCAGACTGCGCCGTATACGCCACTCCACAGAGGACCATCTAGAAAAAGCAGTGGAGATGCGCAATAGGTTTCAAAGAAGAGGCTACTCTCCACAATGTGTGGATGAAGCTCTTCATTTGGCATTAGGGAAAACAAAAGATGAACTGCTACAAAAAAGACCCACTAGAACTAAAGAACACTCTGTAATGTTCACCATCACATATACTTTGAACTCGCGCAAAGTGGGAGATGCTGTCAAGAAACACTGGCATGTTTTATCATCAGACCCAGCTTTGCCAGCTGAATTTAAGAATCCACCCCTTATTGTATATAGGAGAGGTCGCAATATACGCGATAAATTGGTCAATGCCAACTGCCGCCAGCCACAAAAGAAAATGAGCCAGGCTCTTTTACGCCCTCTTCCGAATGGTAGCTATAAACACAGAGGTTGCGCACAGTGCAACAATATGATGAAGTGTGAATATTTCTGCCACCCACATACAGGAAAACGGTTCCAAATAAATGACATTATTAGATGTTCCACCACCCATGTTATCTACATGATTAAATGTCCATGTGGGCTGTGTTGTGTAGGTTAAACCTCTCATTCTCTCAAACAGAGAATTAGTGAACATAAAAGTTCAATCAGGAGAAACGACAGGGATTATCCAGTCGCAGTACATTTTAATGACCAAAAACATGACATTTCTACCTTTAGATTTTGTGGTATAGAGAAAGTTAAGATATCAGACAGAGGAGGTGATTTAAATAATACTCTGAGCAAAAGACAATATTTTTGGATTTATACCGTCCAGACATTATTTCCTAAAGGTCTTAATGATGAAATGACTATGTATGTTATGTTGTAAATGTGAACATGAATTAATGCCACCATTTCAGATTACACTGACGTTTTTCTTGCGCTGTACCCAATGATTTATGAAAACTTGCTTGGTGGATTGATGTCCTCATTGTGGTTTTACAGACGTGTTCAATACGTTTTATGTAGACACTTTATTAGAATATTTATGAAATGCACACTGTTATATTTGGAAACACTTATTTTCCCTCGACTCCAACCCAATTCGATGCATTGAACGGATGTGGGTGGAGCTATGTCTACATAAGGGTGAAAAAAATAAAAAATAACTCACAAAAGCTCTGACGAAGGCCTTGAGGCCGATACGTAAAGCTTATTAAAGAGCAGTAATACTAGCAAGAGCAGTGTGCGGGTTTCTTATTTTTCTCTCTCGATGTGCAACCTGTCAAAATAGGATGCAGAATTAGCACATTTACTTTGGGCTCTTCGGAGAATTTGCCCACATCTTTGTGCATATTGGCCTATAGTAGGGTTTCGTTAGCCGGTAATAGCAGACTTTTGTCGGATACATTTTTTTGAAAAGCCGATAAATAGAATTGCCACCGGCCAATTGTCCTGGTGAAGAAGAATAAATCCCATTGCGAAATAATGCTTTTTAGCCTATTCATTTATGGAAATAACAGTCAATGTAAATACATTTGACTGGTCATGCTTATCGGTCTATAGGTTAATTTGCATAATGTGAATAAATAATAGTTTATCAACATTTTAAGCTAAACGTTCTGATCGGTTGCATCAGACTCATTGCTTTTTAACATTTTTTTTTATGTAGCCTAGGCCTACTGGTTGTATGAATTCGGGATCTATCGTCCCACAACTGTCCCAGAGTGTTTGGAAAAGGCCATTTATTTCTCAACAAGCTGACATTTTTCTACATTTAAAAAAAACATTTTTAGTCATTTAGCAGACGCTCTTATCCAGAGCGACTTACAGGAGCAATTAGGGTTAAGTGCCTTGCTCAAGGGCACAAACAGATTTTTCACCTAGTCGGCTCGGGGATTAGAACCAGCGACCTTTCGGTTACTGGCACAACGCTCTTAACCACTAAGCTACCTGCCGCCCTGACCAATAGAATAGGTAGCCTAGACTTTTCTACTAAAGTAGATTGACATAGACTAGTGATTTTGTTGTTCGTTACTCATCTTGTTGGCTGAGTAAAAGTACATGTGGAAAGATATTATAACGTGTTCAAAGTGCACATCAGAATTCGTTAATTCGTTGCATCCTCGACTTGCATGTTCTGTTAATATGAATTACCATATTCTAAAATGTGATATCTGTCATTCTGAGCACCGTGGGTGGACACCGTAATCAGGTTACGCACCCAATGCATATGAATGAGGTAAATGTCTGGTAAATCAAATGACCGGCGCAACATTTTCCTAACGGAAACCCTGGCCTATAGGCTATACTATTGACCACATGAGGAAGTGGGAACTCAAAACATAGCTAGATTGCTAACTCTAAATATGATACTGTTGCAATATAGCCATGTAGGCTAATTGATTAATATATCAGTAAATGTAGGCTAATGTCCTACAAAAACGTTCCAGTGCTAGGCCTAGGCTACTTGATTTAGGACTATTCACCGCAAATAGTGCGGTTTGCTCCGCGGGCGCATCCAAACCATACTACAGCCTACTCCAGTTGTAAAGGTGTGCCATGAACTCAATATTAAGAGGAATATATGATTTACTCACAGAAAGCTGTGACTCTCCTATGTAACTACAACAGTAGTTGCTTTGAAAACTGTATTTTTCGCCTAAAGAGTGGAGGAATTTTTGTATGACGTGTGAGTATAAAAGATGGACTCTGAAATTGTGATGGCAGAATTCTCAATGAATAAACATCTCTGACTATGCAGACCGGGACTCTGTCCGTTTCTTGATTTTGGGAGACGCACAGAGACACTGAAATAGTTTGTTAAATAATTCACATAACAGCTTGGCCTTCTGAGCCGGAATCCAATACCTGCCTCTGTCATTCCAGGTAACTCTGAAAACCGTAGACTGGCGAATGATCCATTCGTAAATAGAAAGTCCTGCCCTTTGACATTAAGGGTTCAGACAGGCCAGAGGACACCTGTTTAATGACAGAGACGGTGACGGAATCCAAACCTACATTGAATCTCGGCTGCAAGGATAAGGTCAGTAGTCTTTATTCATTACTTGGTGAAATTGATTTGAGAACTTGCTAAAATATTGACTGAGGGTAACGTCATAATTTAAAGTAGTAAATTGATCAATGCGTAGCCATTTTAAGGTAGCCAATTTAAGGTTGTAGCCGGTAGCCGATTTAAGGTTGTAGCCAATTTAAGGTTGGTGGGTCTGTAACGATTCACGGTAATAGGTCAATTACCAAAAGAAACTACCCAGTGTTGAAATAGAAGGAACTATTAAAAGTACACCAAAGGGATGTAACCTGTAAGAGATTATAGAACAGTCAACAAATAATCCAGGTTAAACAAATACAAAAAGTACACCAGAAGGAATTAAAATAGCATGTGTGAGAAATAGAATATTAGTAAAGTCAAAAGTCACAAACAACTGTAGATTTTGCCGTAACTCTATCCGTTTCATGAAACTGGAGCCTTACAAACTCTGGGTTACTGATGGTGTTAACCAATAATCATGTAAGGTTGTATACGTGTGAGACCTAATATTTGCTCAAAAGTCACATCTATGAATAATTCCAGGTGGTTGTATCGAGAGGAAGGAGAACCCATTCCTGTTGTATGAGACTGTCATGAATAATTAAGATTACATTGTGGGAATAAATTCCTCCGTAGAGTATAAGATAATTCTGGGGGACTAGTCAATAATACCTATACAGAGTGATTCCAATTGTTGTGTGAAACTGTTTTGAAAAACTTGTTATATAAAAAAGGTGGCTAAGGGATTTTTAACAGTACCAACCATGGGAGGCAAATCCTCACAAGAGGTCCCAGAATTTACTGGGGACGAGAAATACATGGAAATTAGAGACAAACGAAATGTGTATTATGGACCTAATTGAAAAAGAAAATGGCTTTACTGGGCGACTTGGTGTAATTAAACTGGAATCCATGATTAAACAAATGCATGTAAATTGTGGTACTGATCTAAATTAAACAGAAAGGAGAGTAATAGCCAGTACCCACTGATAGCCTTACAAAATATATTGGCAGGGAATGAAGGGGCCCCAGCAACCTTAGATGTATACAGTAATAATAATAATAATAATAATAAGCCATTTAGCAGACAGGCCATG